TGGTGGAAGCACCTGACAAAATCAGTTTTTGGAATTGTAAACAGCTACTTGTAGTATATTCATTAAACTGTTTTCACACCATGAAATTCTTCATATTTAAAATTTATTTTTCTCAGTTTAAGGAGCAGAAAAAAGGCATAGTGAGTCTTATTTGGTGAACAGGGAAGCTCTCTCATCTGTGAAATACTGTATAAAGATAAAAAGTGCTGCACAAGCTAGCATCAGTGGGCAGATGCACTGCCATGGGGAATTTTCCATCCACCAAATTTCCACATCTGAGGTCATTTACAACACATTACATCACAGAAATATCTCGACACTTGTAAATAAATGTGTTGGTGAATAGCATGGCCTTTTGTGGAGTATATTTACAGTGCACACCTTTGGAAACAAACAAAACAATCAGCACCACCTGACATGATTTTGTCAGTCATGGTGAGAAAACAGATTTCCATTGTGATGACTGTTGCTTAATTTCATGGTCATATCCACAGAACCATGTCTCAACACCTGTCATAACATCTTTTAAAAAATTGTCACCACCTTCTCCAACTAAAGAACGATAGAAGCCAAATACAAGCAGTTTTACATCTACTGCTGTGTCACCAGTATTGAAACAAACTTTGCTGAGACACTTCTCATTCTAAAATCTTCAGTTAAAATGGCCTGAAAAATGCCACAAGTAATTCCACTTAATTCATTTTGTGAGTAATCAATCTTGTCATTTTAAGTACAGTGTGTCCATAAAATAATGGTGGGGTAACAAACAGTCATAGTTTTGGAACAAAGCATTATAGAGACATGAAATAAATGTCAAAATAAAGAGAAACTCTCCAAGAATCTTACCTGTTCAGTAGATTTTGATATGCGCTCCTTTAATTGCCCTGCTGACATGAAGACGATATTCAAGCTCTTGCCATACACGACCCCACTTCCTCACCCTGCAAGTCTCAAGATTACAGTCGCGAACAGTAAACATGTTTGGACATGTAGTAACATCAGGTACATTCATTCAGCTGCATCCCCATGCACCATGATTTATATGAGAGATAAATTCAGTCTTTATATTTTCTGATGAGACTTTGTACATAAGATCATCACTCTTAATCTGGCTTTGAAACATGGTCTCTTAATCTGAGGAAATAACAAATTTCAAGAATCTGAAAAAAAGATCAACATACATACGCATTCAAGCACATGCATGTGTACTTCTAGAGACAGGGTTATATATTGTCATCCTTCATTTCTTACAAAACACTGGAAAATTTTATTAACTCTTATGTGTTGCCACTGCTGGTAACGTGAAGTGTCTCTATTGCAGGCATTGAAGCCACTAGGAATTGGAGTGGCCACAGGAGAGATGTGCTGCAATCGTGTCATGTTTAAGCAGTTCCTTCAAGCAAGAGCAATGCAGTATTGCCAAATTGACTCATGTCGTATAGGCGGGGTCAATGAGGTTCTCTCAGTTTACTTCATGGCCAAAAAACTTGGAGGTTTGTATCAACAGACAACAAATTAGATTATGCAGGTCATTCCTGAAGCACAAATTAGGGTATGGTACTGGGTGGCACAGATAAAAATGTGACTCTGTTACTATATATCTCTCAAATTATTCCTGCTCAATGTTCAGCATACATAGCCTGCAGATCTTCTACTTAAATCGGTTAAACCAATTGCAATACTGAAATGTGTATTCCAATGGAATACTCACATTTTCCAAATGTGTTCTTTACATTCTTTTATAATCTTGATGTTCATTTACTGCAGATAGAAATAAATTTATTAGTTTCTTTCATCAACTCCATTTTGTGCTGTTCTCTGCCATGAAGGCTGAAAATTCATTACATAAACTGACATGTAAGTTTAATGCTGACAAAAGCTATCAGAAATGTATCATTTTTCTTTGTATTTAAAGAAACATTTAACACTCAACATGTCAGGAACAGAAAGCCTATTAACACTAAGTCATTAAATAATGTACTGTGCATGAGCAAAGTTTACATTCTGTATACTGAATGTTAATGTTCAATGATTGCTGATATAAATAAATATGTTGTTGACAATGTTAATCAGAAAATGAGCCATACCCTTATTTTTTCTTAACAACTTTGAGACTCAGCTGATAATGAATTAGTAATTCTTTCTGAAAACAACATGTTTATAAGATCACCCTGCTAATATAGCTAAAAATAATAAGTGTATACATTAGTTTTCCCTTGTGTCTCATGTCCAAGTCATTAGCAACAAGTAAACATTTGGGGAGAGAGAATTTTCTGAGTTTATAAGGGTCACAAAATCCATTGCAGTTTGTTAAATATACATCATATTTACACATTTTCAAGCAAAAGATATAGCCTAGATACCTATCAGATCAATATTTTACATCATGTATGAAGTTTTTACATGATGATCTGCTTTTCTAAACAATTGTACATTTTGTACATTTGGATTTGGGCTAATTTTATTTCTTGCTCTCCCAATTGCAACAATGTATCCCTACTCACACCATCCCTATATATCCATACATGCACATAAATCAAAACTTACATATGAACTACATCACAATGCAGATGCTATGAAGTTCTCAAACTCTCTGACTGTACCATGCATTAATTACTGTCTTATTGATGAAGTATGAGGAACTGAGTCACAGCCTGTTTCAGTGCCCGTGTGTCCCCATGCAGGTGGTGTGGGTCTATGTGAAATGGTACAACACCTCCAAATATTTGACTACATTTGCCTGACTGGCACAACAGAGGGCCGAATGATTGAGTACACAAACCAGCAACATGAACATTTTGAGAACCCAATAAAGGTCATACATGCTCACTACATTGCACCTAAGGTAAGTTTAACACCAAATCCGTGGAACAGGGGTGGGAGGGCAGAAATTTGATGGGGAGATAAGCAATTATAGTCAAGTACATACTGAATGTTGCATTATAGTTGAAACTACTGCTGCATTCAGGTATTCTTGATGGTTTTATAGCATTCCTTTGTTCCTCTAAGCAAATGATAACATAGTAACCTAACAGGCCATCTCTATCATCAGAGCAGTTTAGACCAATTATAACACACCTGGCAGTATTTGGAATGAACCAAGTTTGAATCATGGCAGGGTCACTAGATATTCTGTGGATTTTGGTGATTGAATTTTGCATATGGAGGTCATGTTTATATATATGTCTGTATGTCTATATTGTTTACAACAAATGTTCATAAATCTTTGATATTATCATATTAAGCTAATCAATGTGTGTACTACAGTGTCCCATTCTCACAGAAGGAAGATTCTGTAGTCAGGTTATTCTAAAAGCATACATTTTAATAAGGTTTATAACAAAACTGTTGTTCCTATTAAAATGGAGAATACTTTCAAAATTTATTGCAGATGCCTGGTTACAGCACAGTGATGAAACCTGACTCTGTTGAGGCTTATGAATATCCACATGGAAGTAAATGGCAAGAAATGTTTGCCAAAGGATTATTTCCTGATCCAACTAAGCAAAATGTATTTGTATGCCCAGCCAAATAAATAATTTGTATCAAAAAAGAAGTGTCTGTATATTACCTCCCTACAATAAGTGTAAGTCTTTACTGTATAGGAATGTAGAAATGTTATATTCATGCATGAAACAGCTTTCAATCCATTAAAACTATAACCATGCCAATAGGATATATTTTATGATTTTAAAATACAAAATTTCATAACAACAAAACTAATTGTGATATAATTTCATCCTGTAACCCCAAACTGAAAAAAAGAAATTTTTGGTCATGCCACTGCACATGACTTTTTGAATTACTTATATCTGTTGTTTAATTTCATGTGATCTTGCTAGTGTGACTAATTCTTTTTCTTTTAATTCCTTTATATACAGCTAGTTCAGGCCTTGAGCTTTGCAGTACTTACTTGAGTGGAGAACATATCAAGTTCACAGCTCATGTCCCACTGAACTAACTTTACAAGACATTCTCTGTCATTCAGTTTCAAAAACTGAACACATTAAAAATGCCAATACATTGCAAGACTAGGTGTTAAATCAGTGAAGATGGTGGTTCATACTTATGCTAATTAAAAATCCTTCTTAAAAATAAAGTTGGCTATAAGTCATAAAATTTATATGATGATACGGGGCACTATAATAATATATATAATAATAATAATATAACAAATAAACCAAACACAGGACACAGGAAAAGTGGCACTGTCCTGAGAGGGTGATATTCTTATACCAAAGTCTTTGATGTGGATTTATCATATTATATGCAGGAGATTAAATTATATTACCCACAATTTTCCAGATATGATAACAAAATAATAAAATGTATGTAGAAAATAAAACTACCTTTTATTAAATTAATATGTATTTTATTTATGCACAAAACTCTTTCCTATGACCTACATATCCAATACAAATTGTACTGGATTCATAACAGATAACAAATACCACAATAAAGCTGTCCCTCTTACAAGTAATTCAATAGAGATGGAAATTTGCTATACAATTACTGTCAATCTAACTCATTTAACAAACACCAAATGATTTAGTAGTCCTCTCTTTGGAGTTGTAACCAAAATCACTGACAATTAAACACCAAGACAGCATAGGAAATATCTGGACAAAATACTTGTAAGAAATCAGGATTATAGTACATTCAAGTTTTATATGCTACTGTAGCTCTACCAAAGACTTCTATAAAAAATTGTAATTTTATAATATGAAAACCTGCCAAAACAGGAACATATAACTTTTAGTCTTTAAAAGAAATATGATCCATTATTTGATAGATGGCCACAGTGATCAGTCAAAATACCAACTGTTCTATTTATTTCTGGAGAAAACTAAACAGAACTAAATGAATTAATATGACAAAATACCTCAATATCAAAATACTTGAACTAAAAAATGGCCATTTAAAGCTGTTACCATGTTTGATATCAGTGTGTCTGACTCAACATCATGCTGAAGTGACAGCAGTTAAAATGTTTGGAAGCCACAAATATTATTTTTAGCAGTGATTCTGTATATATTTTAATAAAGATGAAAATTGTTTTTGTCTATGATAAAAAGTAAATAGTTCTAAGTTGTTATAATGAAACTTAATCAGACAAAATGTGTCACATGCCTGACCATAAAAATCAAGACAAAAATAAAGAAATTAGTTTATAACTTAAAAAGTTATAGCATTTTATTATCCCCTACAGGTAAAGCTCCCTGTGCTGATCTTGGCACTCCTAGATGGGTGGTAAGTTTAATATCATGGCCACTTTACCTCTAGGTAGTCTCCAGTAACTACTGAACAGGAGGCTGGGTGGGCACCAGAATCATTAAGAACATGATGAAGAAAAGAGTCCTATGACTACATGGAATCAAACTCAGGCACTCCAGCCCATAGCCAGCAATTTTATTGACCTCGCTATTTTGCTCATTGCACTGATGCAAAATTTTCAGAATTATTTTACAAAAGATAAGCATACACATCTGACTTTTGATGGCAAATTTCAAGGAATAAATATACAATAGACATGAGGAAATTATGATATTCCATTCTGTGTTCAACATCCATACATCAAACAATTTTTCAATCTGTTAAGTATTTAATTTATAAGTGAATCAACTTAAACCATCTTAAGTAATGTAATGTATATTAATAGCTATGTTTACTCAAGAAATTTTGTACCATTAGCATAAATTTCTTTGAACTGATCTGTAAATATACTTGAATCAGTATATGAGGGCAACAGCTACTGATTGCACATTGTCCTTCACAACAAAAATATTCCCAGAAACTGCAAAGTAGGAATGCAAATCAAAACTTACAAACTGCAAAGTGTTGTGTGGAAACACTACAGGCGGGATGTCACATACTCTGGCTATAAGAAGAGAATACATCATGGAGTAATTAATCTCTCTGAACAGGGTATGTAAAGTGGCAAAACTGACAATGTTATAAAACCAACAATGTGAAAATTATGTCCCAATTTTACGGCACCAAAGGGTTTGATACCATGTTCATAAGAATTTACTGTCATCCTATCAAGTTCATACCTCCACACTCCAAGATCATTTTCAGTATCAAGAGCACCTTGTAATAATATAATCTTTCAATAAGCCTGAATTATTAATGTTTCTTCGCCTATCAATCACTGGTATCACATTCATCTCAGCAACACCAAGACAAGAAAGGGCAGAATTATAAAAAATACTTACTGAAACAAACCACCATGAATTTGGGCGGAAGATTAGACGAGATACAAAACCCAAGCTACTAGCTGGAGATATTGCATGCAGATGGAGGTGCTGAATGGAGTTGAATGGAGGCCAATGGAAACCAAACCTGTCAAAATTGAAACAACAAATAACTAAACCATGATAAAACATGTCAGTCAGTATAGTGACTGGCTACGGACTGGGCGACCGGGGTTCGATCCCTGACGGGGGTAGAGGATTTTTCCTCTAGACTCTGCGTACAGACCGGCTCTGGGGCCCACCCAGCCTCCTCTACAATGGGTACCGGGGTCCTTTCCCGGGTGTAAAGCCGGCCAGGGCGTGATGCTGACCACTCACCCCCATCTAGTGCTGAGGTAAAGAATGAGTAGGAGCTATACTTCCTCTCCCCCCAAGCGCCTACATGGCATATAGTGGAACAGCTTTACTTTACTTTACTTTTCATTCAGTATAACATTTTTCAGATTCTGTCAGAACATGGGACAACAGCACATCTAGAATTTTACTATGTGTGTAATGAGCAGTCAGTTCACAATAAATAGTGTCAAATGACAGGTTGATTAATGAGTAATTAATTAGAAATATACAGAAGGAAGGAAACATGGCCTGATTTAATCTATGATCCTGACATGTGCCAAAAGGGATCAAATAAAATAATGGAAAATCAGGATAGCAGATCTCTGGGAAAAGATTTGAACCCTGGACCTTCCAAATATGAAGCAGGAGGGCTAATTAATCAGCCACTATGGTTGGTACAAAACAAAAGGTGTATTATTTTAAGCACTGCAGGTGATATTAAATTTCACCATGATTTCTAAATTATTTGTGGAAAGCTGGGCTGTGGAGTCGGAGTCAGATTGTAACTTTGGCTCCAGTACTTTAAGAATATAAAATGTCTACAAATCAATCGATTTCTGCAATAACTATTAGACATGTATTTAAATATAGGTTATAAGTGTAAAAAGTATGCTGATGATTCATGTGGTGGTTATGAAATCTCCTATAGTGTGCCATTTACGATTTTAGTAGGTTTACCCTTATTAATATATATTGAGCTTTTATGAAGGAGTCGGAGATTTTAGTACGGATTCCACAGCCCTGGTGGAAAGGGTTAAATTTATCTTACCTTACATCTGATAAGTCAGCACCCTCTTCAGTAAGAACCTGTTTTGCTATTTCAATGAGTTTCTCCACTGAAAAAGACAGAAAACACTATTATAGTCATTAAATTTCTGGATGCCTTGTTGCATGAGGTGCCTATATATAATATCTAATCTGAACATACACTTTAAATGAAAGCAATTGATCTTTATAAAGACAAGCAGATTAACTGCAAACTGTTCTAAGCCTGACCTAAAATACAACCTGTTTCTGCAAATGGTTCTGCTGTTCACAGTTCTAGAGACTGGGTTTCCACTATGTGTTACAGTGAAACAGGATTCCATGTCATTCCTCTATAACAGGGGTCGTCAACCTTTTTATACCTACCGCCCACTTTTGTATCTTTGTTGATGTTAAAATTTCCTTACCGCCCACCGGTGCCGCACGTACTGCCCATCACCATACAGCTCGAAGACCGAGTGACGGTGGTAAGCCCCCACCCTCGTTATGTGCACTAAACTTGTGCCTTTGATATGGAGCTCATTCGTTGTTCCCTCGTCCACGAGTATACTTCGAGAAGTATCCGGTGAATTATTATCTATATTCAAATTTTAGAGATGAAATTCAAAAGTAAATTGCAAAAACATATTTTAAAAAGTCAAACTCGCAAAGTTGTTAGCAATGTATTCGATATATGGAGGAAGAACAAAATTTGTAACAATGGACAAAATCCCCCACTGCCCACCATGAAAGCTTGAATTGCCCACTAGTGGGCGGTAGGGACCAGGTTGACGACCCCTGCTCTATAACATAATCTTGTTTATAATTTCATGAAGTGTGATTCATGGTTCCCTCAAAACAATGCTAATACCTTAAGAGTTAATAACAACATTTGTTCATCATGAACAAACATTTTACAGCCAACAGCATATACACTACTTTATACAACTTATTATAATCTGTTTACTATAAGTTTTGACATGACTTAAAAATCTGGCCATATCCCCCATCTCTAGTCAGGAGATTCCAAAAAGTGGTTTCCATCATACTTTAGAGAGTATTGTTTTGGTGGTGGTTATTATAAAGTAGTGATACCAAAATTGAACAGCACTTGAAAAGAGCAATGAACTAACAATGGTTGGAATATCAAAATGATAATAAACACCTTGACTTATATACAGCATGTAACCACTGTACTCATATATCAACACTCAATACAACTTAAAAGGTACAATTAATCACACTTATAAGCATTTACATGAATGACTTTCTAAATATCTAGAAGAATTTAATACAAAACGTGAAAAATATGGTAGGTCACAGAAAGAACACTGTTATGAAGAACGCAGCCAAGTGCATTACAGATATTCAGAAATATACAGAACTACAAGTAGATTACATAGAAATTCTGTGAAACCACAAATCTCCAAAATCAATCCTTTCAGAGTATGCATAAAAAATATATCTCATCTTAAAAAACCTTAAATTTGTATATTGCTGTCATGCATCAGTAATGAAAATAATTTGTAGCTGTGCTTAATAATCACTGATCTAGAATAATGCCTAGATTTTAATATTTATAAAATTCATAACAAATTCACTTACCAACATGTCTATGCTCTGTAGTTAACTGTTTTGCATTTTGAATATGTTCACGTGTAACAATCAAGTAATGATGTTTGGCAGCTGGTTTGATATCTGGGAAGACAACATATTCATCATCCTGAAAAGAGTAAATAAACAAGGTGGATTATCAGGAGTCTCTATACGGCTGGGGTACTGAAATCAGTGAGAAGGGAATTGGAGGTGCGATGGGAGGGGGACAGTGTGTTCCCAATGGAAAATTTCACGTTTTTATATGGAAGGAGGAATGACAATCATCAATTACGGACAGGTTTCTTTGTTCATAGCAGAATTAGGGCAGCAGTTAAGAGAGTAAAATATGTTAGTGACCAGTTGACTTACATAATTCTGGAAGGACACTGGTGCGACATTATTGTCCTTAATGTTCATGCTCCAACAGAGGACAAAAGTGATGATGACAAGGATAGCTTTTATTGGTACTGGTATTGGTCGGGAGGCCTGAGGAGAAGAGACCACTGGGGAGACCTAGACGTAGATGGGAGGATAATATCAGGTGGGATCTATAGGAGACAGAAGTTGAAGAAGACTGGATTTTGTTGGCCTAGGACAGGGTCTGGTGGAGGGCTTTGGTTAATTTGGTGACGAACCTTCGAGTTCCTTAAGCCATCTAGTTAGTTAGTAATACTAGAGTCACTTTGAATCTCAGCCATTTTATCTGATGGGAAAATTTGGCAGCTGCTAGGGCAATGATATTTTGGGGGATCCAACTGCATGAACATTGGTACTGTGTGCTTAAACGTTCATGAACTGTTCATAAATATCTAAAAAATACATCTGTAAAGTTTTGAGGCACAATAATTCTGCTATGCTCTGTGATGTCAGAAGCACAATCAATAAATGGGAGAAACAGTGACTACATGGCCTAAATGTAACATCAGCAATTACAAAGACCAACAGTCAACCAAAAATTAAAACAAAAACCTTTGTACTGGTATTAAACAGTAAGGTAGTTTCTTTTAAAAAAAAGGAGCAGAGATGTGGCATCCATATCATACATGTAACACATCCTTGAGTTGTACTGTAAAGGTTCAATGAAATGTGAATAAACTATACTTTATTCTAGTTTTAAAAAAACTATAGTTATGTAGTAGCCCTCTTGCTGACGGTGATGGAAATGAGTTTACTTCCGCAAAGAACTTGTCAAATTAAACACAGGTTAGAATTGGCCATGTTGTATTTTGAGTAATATTATATACCTTGTACAGGATTTCACTTTGTTCTTTCCCATTACAAATTCTGCAAAAAACACAGTTGTCGTTCTGTTGCAACATTGACTTCACACACTATGACATTCGACGAAACGATGGCCCACCTTCAACAACCTACACTCTCAAGGAGATAAGGATTACCAAACATTAACACCATCACAAGATAAGGGCTCTGACAATCAACGAGTATTCAGATCGCGGGATACCAACCGACGTAATTGTGCACTGTAGCAATCAAGACTTGTTTTATTGTATACCATAAGCTTCGATTGCGTCATTATGTTGATAGCGGGTTATATGGTCGATAACTATTAGTCAAACTATTTTGAATTATTCACTGATCACCTATGAAAGGAATTAGTACTAAATACTAGAAAGTCATGGCAGAAGACATTTCTGATGATTACTATTTGGAACTGTCTGCTACACCTGTTCGTTTTGAATCTGTTAGCAAGGTTACGAATGTATTTTTTGACGATTCTAATAAACAGGCAAGAAAATTGTAAACATATTATATTGAGCGTAATATGAAAATTCGAAATGAGGTTAGGTATATTAATCTAGTGATGTAATTTTTTTTTTAGGTATTTGCAGTCCGCTCAGGTGGTGTTACAGGAGTAATTGTCAAGGGTCCAACAGACCAGATTACAACTAGTTTTCGCATGGAAGATAAGGGCCCCGTCCTTTCAATCAAGTTTTCGCCTGACCAACATGTTCTGGCAATTCAAAGGACCAAGACTTCAGTGGTTGTTATATTTATTATGCTTTGTTTAGAGACAATCTGTAGAGAAGAAATCACATTATATTCATTTCTCCCTTCACAGATGTATTATGTGGGTGACTGACACTCAGCCACAGCTGGAAAAGCAATTAGTAACAGATGGCTGTCTTCTTGGCTGTAGTGCCATGTAGTTCAGTAGATGTCTACTGATGTTGATAAGTACTTGCTGCCTCAATTGTCAGGATGTCCCAATGACAAGAGGCAGCAAGTACCTCTGAAACGTCTGTACACTTTAACCAGACTACATGGCATTACAACTCAGAAGATAGCCATATTTATACTTGCCATGATGAGAACCTTAAATCCTACAATTGGGAACAGCCTCATGGTGATGGGAATGATATCTGGTATTTCCTATTTATCTGTATCTTTCCATTAACTCCTTTCAATCCTATCACAGATTATCTTGACAAGTTGTTCTGCCATCCCTAATCCTGTAGGGAATAGCTCTGCATAATGACAGGATATATCCAAGTTACAGTGGTGTAGCTAGTGAATTTTTAAGTAGCATAGCTTCACTTTACATCTTCCATTTTTAATTTGAAATTTAATGAATTATAAATTGTTTCTTGAAAGTGTAATGTGTGATTAAAGAATGGTTCCAACTATATATTAATTTTCTGGGGTGATGAAACCTCACTGTAAGTAGCTGATTTGCCATTGCAGTCTCCATCTTAGGATAAACCTATCAACACAGCCACCCTAGTTCAGATGTTAACAATTCTTTACCATCAAGTTTTGCGGGATTCTTATATTCATTCTGGTAGGTCTGGAAGTGTATACAGTTCAGTGAGAGCCAACATTTAGAAACAAAGCGCTTGAAAAGCTGACATTTTTATGCTGGATATCTGATTAATAGAACATCCCCTGCATCTTTCTGAATACTGGGCTCACATAGGTTTACACATACTTCAGATCCTCCAATTAGAATTCTACAGAGCCATATGTACAGAATTATAAAAGTGAGGATCAGTCAGATGTCTGCGATTTTGCCCAGAAGGTGGAGATTGTAGTACTTCTCGAATATCAACAACTAGCCAACCATATGGTCTTTATATTCCCCAAAAAAGTATCCAACTGTTTGTTAAAGTTAATATACTATGTAAATACACAGGTGAAATAGGAAAGATCAGTGTCATGTAAATGCTGTATCACAGCCTAGAAATTAAACATGGTTTTGTTGTCAACTTGGTTCATGATGAAAAATAGTAACCTGTGTCAGAAGACTTAGCTATTGTCAGTATTTGGCACTACCTGTTGTGGGAAACTGTTCAGTGTAGTGTAGAATGTAAAATTAAAAACTAGGTCGTCCTATCAATGAAAAATTTAGAGGTGTATGACAATTGCAGTAACAAATTAAACCTGATATTGAAAGATTAATCAAGAAAAAGCAATGTTATATATTTTAAGGATATTATAGAATATGTGAACCTGCTTGCAATAGTAAGTTAGTAGTATTTTCAGTAAAATGTCCTTAATTATAATGCAGTTGCTGGCTGGCAAGTAAAAGGGGAAGGGTAAATGTGGCCCCTGGTCTTGACAATTTGAAAACACCTTGTTATGCTTCAACTAAATAACTGCTAGATGGATTTTGATTAAATTTGGTATGGATGTTATTACATAGGAGGTTACCCTAAAGTCTTCCTTTTTAATTTTCTACAATCAGGTAATATTAGCATGACAGATGCATGAACTTGAAGTGGTGCCATGTAGTACAGGGTAATATCATGAAAAAGGTAATACACCTTAACAAAATACTGAACACTGGTACAAAAAAAATTTGTGTAATGCTTAACAACATGATGGCTGCATGAAACAATAATAAAAAAAAATAACGACCAGGATTTGATCCATGGACCATCTGTACACAAGTCCAACACATTACCACAGAGCTAACTCATATTTGCTTATGACTTTTTGGATTTAAATTACTTACAGAAGACATTAAGAACACATGGCTGGTAAAGTTAGAAATTAAAGTTAAGTAAAACAAAAAATTGCTTTTTTCATGAATACGTTTTCGTTAAAATTAACAGCTAAGATACATTTCAGCCTTCTTGTAGGCTACACATTTCATCCACTGATTAGTTTATTTGTGGAAACTGTTAGTTATTCTGGCATGGGTTACATCTTCTCAGTTTTGTTTTGTACAGTGGGTAATTCCTAGCATGTCAATTGCTGTTTTGTATTTTCAGGAATTTGTCAATTTTACCACGGATGGAGAAGGGTTGGATTCAGTTGAGTATTCTCAAAGTTGTAAAGGCAAGAACACTGTGATTCTTGGTTTTGTCTGGACACATAACAATGAAATTGTGTTTGTGACAGATCATGGTGTGGAGCTATTCCAGGTATAGTAGTCCTCCAGAAGGCAAGTATGTAGGCATACTGTGGCAAGATGAGAGAAAGAGTATTTAACTTATGCACTACATTTATTCCATAATTAACATACATGATTTCCTAAAAGTTTGTGATCAGAAACTTGGTGTTACATGATTTACTTGGGTTTTCTGCAAACTGCAATATTTTCTCCTCCCACTCCAAAAATTATACTCTGTACTAAAGGTAGCATATATATTAATATAAACTCTATGAGTTTATCAGACTTCATCAATTTCATATCATATTTCTGATAAATGGTATACATATAAGATCTGAAGGAAGCAAAATATCAGTCGTGAAACTTTCAGACAAATACTTTAATTTGAAGCATCAGTCTCCATCATATTTCTTTGATATGGCATAGTTTGCTGCCTATCATATTCACGTAGCTGCATGTGATGCAAACAAAACTATTCTCACCAAGCCATGCTGAATATAATGTCTGCCTGCTGTCTCGTCATGATCACATTTTATGTCTGTTACCATCCCTATTAGACTTGGTGCCTCTCATACATAAGAATGGATGCATGAAATATACAGGGATATTCTTCTCTTTGAATTCTACAGTGAAATATGATGGTGGGTGAATTATGTGATGAAATGTGGTAATTGATTTAAAATATGCTTATTGTACTTGGCACAAGGTTTTATGAGCAGTATTTAACTTTCACCATCCACAGTTATTAATATGGATGGAACTAAATAAACATAGGTCCAGTCAGTCACTTATTGTGGTCTCTAAAGCTATTTTGATACCAGAAATAATCTTTTCACTACTGCCTTGATTGCTCAAATGGATAATCTTGCCTCTCTGGCAAATGGTGGTAAATAACACTTATGTAAGCAGTGGGTGAAAGTAAATTAGAATTCAGTTGTGTATAATATAATTGGAAGAACTCAAGGTTAATGGCCACTTAGGAGTGACAGGCATAGAGTTAGAAGATACTATTAAAATTAATCTTAGAGAAATAGTCTGTGATATGAAGTGATCTGAACTGGCTCATGAGAGTGACCAGCAATATACAATTTTACTACAGTAATACACATTTGGATTCCAGAAAAGCAGGGAATTTCTTGACATGCTGAATAATATTAACAGCTCAATGTAAATCAAGTACCATGGAGTCAATCAGGTAGTACAGTACATGGGCTTTCACATTTTTCAGCAGTCACAGAAAAATATTCAGTTAACCTGCAGATTTACCATTAACTGTTATTTGGTTTCAGATATACAAAGAAATTGTAATGTGGTGTATGTATCATTACTTTTAGGTGGTTCCTGAGAAGCACTGCCTGAAGGCCCTTAAGTCCCATAGCCTGAGTGTCAATTGGTTTGTGTTCTGCCCTCAGAACTGTCTTTTATTGCTTTCCTCAGGGACTCTTGGTAACCAGATGCAACCACTGTATTTCAAACCTGGAAATATTATTAAGCTTACAAAATTTGAGAGTGAGTGGATAGTTTAATTACTCATGTGTGTTAATATTATTTTTTTTTTTACCATTTATGGGAATAGGGGATTAAAACCCTCATACTAAAATGCTGCTGGCTCCAGTTTACAGTTTAGTGGTATGTTGCTGTGAATCATGGCTAACTGACTGCATGTAAGCTGTGACACAGCCAGAAAAGATTAAAATTAAATGTAAAGGAGAGAAAAGTGAAGTAAAGTAAAGTAAAGTTTCCACAGTACGTAAGCAACACATCAAGAAGGTGCAGAGGGCATGGAGGGCCAGTATAATTTGCTCCTGTTGCTCTGCCCTTTAAGAAATTTCTCTTACTATCTATCTGATAGGTTAGATGGGCTCTGGATCCTTTCTGGATTGATGGCAAATAGATAAGTACCTTCCTTTACTGGGAATAAAATCCAAGCTGTCCAGACTACAGTCACTTTGTGTATTAAAAGTTAATAGTGAAACTAAATGATTGCAGATATCCCCATATGTTCTCTTATCAGCATTATAATTTTTTAGTTGGCACTCTGATATAAAGGTAGGGAGATGAAAGGAATAATTTGGGGAGTTTTAACAAGCCATGAATATGTTTGGTAAATGAAAAACACCTGTAGTGTCTTTAAGAGAAATCATCTAAGCTTATTACAGCCAGTGAAAATGGTCGAGAAATGTTACTCTATAGTACTAAGCTTAACAAACCTTAGTAGCTTGTACAATGTAACATTCAAGAAACAGTTGTTGACCTCAGAGGTAAAAGTATTAACTCAGTATCACATGACTTTTTGGTAGAGGGAGCTGCCATTCTATACTGTTATTCCAAATGAAAGTGGAGGCTGAATTATCACATGTTAAATTTATGGTTTTTGATTTACTGCTTTGTACTGCTAAATATATATATAAGGATTTATTGTAATAATTACTAGAAAAAAAGGATAATATCAGTTGTTGAATTTACATTTGATGTAAAAAAGAAGTCCAGGTGGTATCAAATAAACATGGTAAGTTCAGTTACATACATCTTTTAACATATTGATACTTAATTATACTTAGGATGTATTAGCATAAATTATAAGAAAATCAGTTCTGTAATCAGTAATGAAGGCTATTTAGTGCACCACAAATATAATTTGCTCATGCATTTTGTAGTTGAACTGGGAGTTGTTCCAAAGCCTGCCAAGTTATGTTTGCTGGAAAGAGATGTGACCCTGGCAACACTATATGGATCCCCTAGCATTGTGGTATTGCGACACCAGCCACGTGGAGTTACTGGGCAAGGAGCAGAAATTGTCATTTATACTATACAGAAGTAATTATCCATAATTATATTGATGTATACTAGTGGTCAAAAGTGTTACTGATCCTGGCTTTATGTGCTGTTTAGTGACCATTAAGCAGTTTAACTGAGGTAATAATGACAGGAATAAATGTCAGTAAAATATGACCTCCATATACATAATTTATAATAATTTTACTTTACAGGATGCTTACAGCTAAAATGAGCCACATTCTGAGGTTAGATATGAGTGGCCGATTTGCAATAAATGTAATTGATAACCTCATTGTAGTACATCATCAGGCTTCAAAGGTATACTAACTACATTTTTTTATTCTCTATTTGAAAATAGTACTGAAGGTTTTAGTAAAAGGATGTATCAGTGTGTTTTGTTTATTAGACTTCAATGCTCTTCGATATCAACATGGCAGGCGAATCTGATGGATTTGTGACATATCACCAGCCTATAGTTGGCATGCAACCTATCAAACCATTCAGCTTGCGTTTACCTATGGCAACAGGCAGTCAGATGCTGGGAGAGCCAGCACACATCAGTTGTGAACTTTGTATCCTTGGCTGATATTATTCAGTGTGAAAGTGTCGTTTAAAATACAAATTACATTGCTAAGTGTATGTATCTGAGTTATTCATGTCCATTAACCTAGCATGTCTGGGAAACACTGATATACATAAAAGATATAATACCTGAAGACTTGTATAAAATGGAAGTGATGCTAGAATAAGGAGGATCAAATTTCATAAAGAAGTTAATAAGAGTGGAAGGGTGTACTATATTTGAGTTCCAAATATACTCTTTGAAAATATTTCCATTGTGGTCTCATACTCATATAAAATTCAGTTAGAAACTGATTCACACCCTTCATCTTATCACTGTTTTTGCTGAAGTCTTGTGGTGGAAGTGAGCAATAAACTTTCATAATACAGAGTAACATAGAAGTTTACTTCACCTCTGCTTCACTCAATGACATCCCCTTTGTACATTCATTTTATGCACATTGAACAAAGACTACATATAAATTTATATGCAGCGTAAGTCCATTGGTACAATGATTTATAAAATGAAGCAAATGCTCACTTTATAAAGAAGTCATGTTTTAAAGAAATGCATCCCCCCCGCCTTATGTTGCCTTGAACAATGTCGACTTAGAGTTGGTCTTATCCCTGTTTCTGTATCTTCATCATCACTAGAAGAACATGCGGGTAGAGATTTTGTACCATTTATGGTTACTGATTCATGAAAAGTTTTCTGCAGTGTGTCATATATGTACTGTGTAGAGAAAAGTCAGTTTGAATGTACCTTAACTATATGCAGATTCTCCCAATTGGGTTGTTTTCCAGCCAAATATTGTGATCGATGCAAAGATTGGTTGTCTGTGGTAATTAATATTGTTTATAATACACTAATAATATTATCAGTATTACCTGACTACAGTAATTTGGGATGGCAAATGAAGTTAGCTTGTCACCTTTACATGAGTGTTTCTTCTTTCTGTCCTACAATCAATTCTGTTTATCCAGATCAAGCGAATTAAACATTAATGTAGTCAGTTGTGATTCAATGTTAATTATATTTATATGTAAATGAGTATGTTAACCATATCAGTTAATAAAATATAACAGTACTGTTGTTCATCTTTCATCTATATATAGGATTTTTCATTCTGATGAGTGGTCTTTCTTGGATCAGCTGTTTTGATTTTACTGATCATGTCAGAAAACAAAATTAAAATAGTACAAAACACTAAGAGGCAATCTATCAATCTGTTTGCATGAAAGTGAATGGTAGATCATGTAGCAGCGTAATACAAGTGAATGTTTTCAGCAGTAAATTGGAATTTTAATCCTTGCAATGACACTATCACAGAAGATGTTTAAATTCATTATTTTCTTTGTATGCATCTTTTGGGTCTTAAAAGGGGATGCAGTTTTATCAGTACCTTTGAAAGAAGCTAAGAGAATAGCAGTTTCATTCTAAATTACTTCGTTTTACAGGTATGTTGGTCTTAGGTTGCATCCATTAGTTAATCTCATCCAAGATAAATGCTTGTTGGTGGATTTCCTGCTCCAGAGGAAGGACTCTAAGCCTGTTATCATTCAGGTACAGTCTTGATTTGTTTCATTATCTTAAATAATGAGTTAATCTTACAGGTAGAACCATGATGATAATGATCATATGGTTTTCTTTCCAGTTTAAGCATTAGTGAAAAAATGCCAAAGCTGTAGTTAAATGAGAGTTCAACACCACTAAAGGTAAAACTCACTATTGGACATGATCTTGACATGTTTCCTTCCTACTCTTTTCCAATTCACTTTTACACATTTTAACAATCATTATCAAAATTAGCCTTGAAAGAAGAGATAAGAGTAAAGTTTGTTTGAATGAATAAAGGTGAGCAATAGAATATAAGGAATATTTTGTAGTCTAAAATTATCCCTTCAGATTGTGTTTCTCACTTGAACCATATCCAGAAATACATATTGGTAACATAACAGGAAAGTGCTTACTCTTGCAGGTTCTTCAGAAAATTTTAGAACCATCAGAAAAAAATCTAAGTCACATAGTGGCCATTGCAGAACTGTTTGACCATCTCAATGATGTATATAGAAGTTTCTTGGAAGTTGAAATGCAGAGTCAGGTGAGCTTAATTTGATTGAACCTATACTGTTATTGAATATAAACATGGGTGGGTTTAAGAAGAACATATTTGAATGTGAGAAATATCTTAATAAATCCCAAGTTCAAGCTGGTGAACCAGACTGGTTGTTTATGTCTTTGCAGATGGGAACACCTGCATCAAGTGGACTGAGTGTTTCTCCAGCTCGCCCTTCAGCTCCTGTATTACCAAAGGCCCCAGTTGTAATAGATCAGTCAGACATGTACACTAACGTATTTTCTCGATTTGCAGACCGTCATACAAAAGATGGTGACGTGGTTGGTATGTTCACTCAGTTTTCAAATGAACTCTGCATACTTTATACCTTCATGTAGCACTCTTTACACTATATAATTCATCTTCTGTCATCCATTCAAATGTTTAGAGTTTAATTCTAGAGACTCTGAAAGGTTAAAATGTGCAGAAACAGTTAATTATTTCCATAATTTTCGTAGATTGAATATTTTTAACTTTGAAAGCTTTATGGAACCGTTCTTTAATTTGTGCCTGCTTAGCAGGATTTGGACATACGTAGACAATTATCATTGGGTCACCTCCTGTGTTAAAAAAGGATTACACAGAAAGTACTTGTAAAAAAGTACTCGAGTATGAACTATGTCATTTAGTAAATGTTTCAACCTGCCTTCAATAAAACCAAAAGTGTCCATTCTTGTTGTTATTAAGTTTATATTTACCCTGTACTTGTTTCCTTCTTTCCTAGGTGGAGGAAAGTTTGTAGTATGGGTTCTACTGGAATATATCCGGTCACTCACAGACTTCCATATACCAGTTCAGCATTATCTGCATGAATTGGTTATCAACTCCCTAGTTCAACATAAAGCTTATTATCAACTGCACCAGTTGCTTCAGTACCACGTTGTGTCTGACTCCAAGCCATTGGTCAGTACATTTCTTAGAAGTAATAAGACCTTGCATATAAGGTGATCCCACTCTGCTGCATTATTGCACTACACATTGCAATGGTGTTGCTATAATAGCATCATGTTTTCTAAATGTTGGACAAAGTCACTATTGGACAATCTATACTATTCTGCGCATGATGTCCAAAATTATCATATACTCTACATCATTTCAGGCATGCCTACTTTTATCACTGGAAAATCTATACCCAGCTGCACATCAGCTGGCACTTGACATGTTAAAACGTTTGTCTACAGCCAATGAGGAGATCATAGAAGTTCTGCTTTCCAAGCAACAAATTCTGCCAGCACTCAGGTACCTAAAATTGTTATTTTGACATTTGCTGCCCATTTATGCAAATTTTATTGTTAATTTTGGATTATAATAGTTTGGGAGTGACACAGGCATGCCAAATGTGCAAACATAAATCATCTTACGATAGGCAGTAACCCATCTTAGATTTGAATAAGGGACCTATGAACATATTCTAGAGCATTGGTGTTTCTTACTGTACAGAAAATTAGTATGGGTATTATTATCTTTAGTATAAATATAAATCCGTGTGCATTCATTTATGATAGGTTTGTGCGCAGCGTTGGAGTTGTGGATCAGGTCTCAGCACGAAAATTTTTGGAAGCAGCAAAGTCTATGGGAGATTCAGCCATATTCTATGCTGTTTTCAAATTTTTTGAACAGAGGAACCAACGTCTCAAAGGCAGTACTGCATTTAGCAAAGGTGAATAACTGTAAAGCAATTTCTTGGGATTAATTGGGACTAAATATAATGGTAGAAAACTATTCTTTTCCTTTCAACAGTATCAAAGGTAAGATCAGTAATACAAGGCATTTATTGTGCATAAGCCACAATTATTTACTTAAGCTTGAATGTTAATAGGATTTAAATTTATAACAAACTACTAAGCATACCAGAAGGAAATAAATATATTTGCTTGAAAAGGGATAAACAGTCATCAGGGAGAAGTTTAACTAGTCTTTAAAATTGAAGAGAAAAATAAGTTTCCATGAGTTTTAAGTCCTCCATTATTCAGACCACTGCATATTTGGTTACATAATGAGTTATAATTTCAGAACCAGTGGTAACTATATATACAAATGCTTTAAAAATGACAAATTCTGCATTTTACCCACAGAAATATTCTCAGAACAAACAGCATTTCCCAACTAATCTTTGTAATGAAGTTTGAGGTAGGGACTGAATGTTTATGTATTAATTACATGAGCTCTGGCTTCAAATGGTTAAAGAATGGTTGTATTAACATTTGATTTTGTTCATTCTAGGTGAACACTGTGAGACGTATGTGCAGTATTACCAGACACTGTTCAATAATAATGATAACAATGCAGCTTGTAACATTTTAGAGAACTAAGAGAATTCAACAGAATGAAAGAACTTTAATTTGATAGGAAAGAATGTATGTAAATTCTTTTCTTAAATAAAACGCGGTTTCATTCCTTTGTCTGTGTCCTTATTTCCATCTGTTCATAGAGCAAGATGCTATCCGGTGGATGCCTTTCTCCAGAAAAGATAACGTGCTACCACAATCTAATTGGAGGTTCCATCCATATTCAAAAATGTTTTCCATAAAGGCACATAGCTGCTAAAAATGGTGTTCTCCCAACATTTAAGAACATTATTTCACACCAATGTCACATGCTGGGAAGTTCACCTTTCATTTCTGTAGATTTTCAAGTTTCTATACATATATGTTGCTTTAAAAACATTTTGGGAGTATTATTTCACTTCCTCCATCAGGGAATGTAACCAGTTGATATATACTTACAGATAGATATACAGATATACTTCAAGGATAACCCCTGGCCTATGAAAAACAATGGGAAAAGTAAACTTCCACTTGTGAAAGTTATCCTAATTATACATATTGTTCTGCCCTTACTGAAATTCAATTTTATTAGTGGGGGAGACTTAATCCAAAACCTATGGATTTGGTACAACAATACAAGTTTTCCAAAAATAACTAATATTTTTATAACACATGAAACTGTATCTCCTCCACAGGCTATTTTGTTCATTGACAACAGAATTAAATAAAACTATAACTCTTAGTATTGTTTATTTCCTGTTACACAATGCTGTTTTAATACAATACAATTATATGTCTTGGTTAATTGTTTTGAAAAATGGAGTATATTTAAAGGCTGGAGAACATAAAATTTTACTAGTAAATATGAACCAAGTGTTCAAAGTTTCAAGATCACCACATACTTTTGCTTCTTTTCTAAATGGACATACAATCTGAAAATATTTACAAATTCAGAATTAGGTTTTTTGCCAGATATTGTGCAAAACAGCTTCTGATAATGAGTCAGTTCTTGCATCACATTCCTTTTAGCTTCATTATAAGGCTAATGTGATATTTCAACTACATCCTTATTGGTTTGGTTAAGCACATGCGTTTGTATGTATAAAATCCCAAAAGAAGAGTATCCATCATCCAGTTCCAGACATCTGAAAAAGTACCCAGTATTTTTCAGGACAAGTTATTTTTTGCTGCACTATGATTACAAATATTTATTCCAACATATGCAATTAAAAAGTATTTAGGCAGTGGCACACTTATAATTTCATAAAACATGAAAAATACTATGCAATTTTGAAGATTTAGAGACAGGCAGGAACTGACATGATATGACATCTGCGAAGTTATGTAGGCGACACTGGATAACTATGTGGAGAAAAGAATTAACAAAAATACACTAACTTACTTTGAATAACTCTTACCTGGCAATATTTACTTTTCTAGAAAAATATTTACTGAAGAGACTTCATGATGGATCAATCCCCAGTCCATAGAGTCCTACCAAATGACTAGGGATTTATAGTTTCTAAATAACTAAAAATCATAACAGGCAACATCTAAAGAGCAAAGTAAAAATTAACTATGAGATCATAACACTATCAATATTTTAATTATTTTTCTAACAAAAGAACCATCACAAACTTTACTTACAGCAGGTAAAGTTCCTTTACAAAAATCCCTTATGCTATGCAAGAACACGTTTTTCAAATGGTTAATTCCAAATATTTTTGACTTGGTTACATAACTGAGATACTCCTTTCTGTTTGCTGTAATGTAAACTTACAAATGCTTACTTTACCAGCTTTTCCTGCAGTGTCGAAGGACTCGGCATTAATCACTCCAAAATGGGTGGCCGGTGTTCATTAACTAAGACTGATTTCTGTTCGGCACATACACATCCTACAGCCACCATTTCCATTCGCCTTCTCACATTTCTAATGTGGTCTCTACCGTCTCTTGTGTCCCTAATTAATGATACCACAGCAACTTTAACAGTAATACATCGATGAGTTCCATGAAGTGCACATCGTAAGCCATCACACACACATTTTGCCATTAACAGAATTCGTGGCCATATGCGGGCTGGGTTGGCATGGGGCCACAATTGTGTGGGGCAACCACCTAGGGGTTCTCTGGGTTGATATGGGAGCCAGGATGGCTGAACTGGAAGGGAGTTTAAAATATGAGGATCAACTTGGTGGATCAATGGTTCATTCATATTGGAAGGGCAAGAGGTAGAGCTATACGAAAGGAACTCTAAGGCTGCTTTGGGCAAATGAGCAAATTCTGTGTCAAGTTCCAAATCAAATCTACTGGACCGTTTTCTTCCAGGTTGAAGAACTTCAGTCTTGCAAGAAAAGTTTCTTACGTTACAGTTTGGAGACATGACATGACTCCACACAGAAGAATCAGGCTGGATTCTGGTGTGTACTTCAGACTGGGCAGAATATTGTTCACTATTGTCACTGAACTCTTTTGTAAATGTTGAACTATGGTTTTGTTGTTTCTTCATGAGATGATGAATAATAGTTGGTGCAACTGAATATTCTATTTTACTGCTTAAATAATTACTATTTAGTGAAGCAGACACTGTATCAGAGAAGTCTTTCAAAATTCTCAAAATTTCAATCAGAATGGCCACTGGCAAAAGAATGAATGGTTTACCATTTATTTCCTTATCTCCTGGAACAGGCATATTTAGAAACATTTTCAAAAATTTCTTCATGTTCACAAGTAATGATCTTTTCCGCTCATCATAAACTGAATATGCAAATCTTTTCCGTCCCATATCAGGTTGAGCAGCATCAAATTGTTTCTGTATATCTAATAACAAACACTTCTTACATGCATAAAGACTGGCCTCTAGCACATCTGTTACACCTTTTGACTTAGGAATTATGTCTTGAAGAATCTGTTTCATTAAACATCCATGATCTTCAAGGACTGTAACAAAACAAAAACCATTACTTAATTTATAAATTGTAAACTGATATGTTTCTGTGTACTAAAAATAATGGAATAAATAAAAACACATAAAATTAATTAGTTCAGTGCCTAACTGAGCCATTCAGATTGCTACATTTTTGGTTCAGTGTGACAATATTTCAGTATTTATTATATCACTATTACTTATCTTCAAACCTATACCATCATCTTCAGTACATTTCTTCAAATGCATACCTGTACTTTCTGTAGCTCTGTATCCAGAGAGATTATTTAAAATTAATTTTTTTGCATTATTTGTCCTGGCAGACACTGGCGAGAGTAGAGCCACAACTATGCTTATGTTGTGAAGTGTGGCTGGATGCAGATTGTAGGTGCTTGAATAAGCCAACCAGATGGCTGACATGGAACAGCAGACAATGATAATGGTGTGTTTTGACATTACATCTATTATAACAAGTAACATTAAGAGGTTGAATAGGATCTAAAATATCTAATATTACACATGTTTCTTCAGAAAAGCACATGTCACACTAAGATTTACTGAATCCATGAGGACAGTAAAAATAAAATACCAAAACACTGTGTGAAAGTACTTGTAGAAATACTGCAAATTAAAACTGAAGATTGTCACTATTCAGGATGTTGAAATTCCAAATGAAACAACTTGAGTTAAAAACTTCGACAAGAGAAGTAATGTATAGAATATCACTGTCCTTGTCTAAATTATGTATTTGGTAAATAACTTCAAAACAAACCTCTGCCTAAGAAGATAGAAACTGAAGGAATACTGTAGTTTGCATGTTCTTATAAGTACCTTTGAAACTGCCTACAGTAAAGCCTCCTCCCACACACATGCTGCCCTGTACATACAAAGGAACATGTACCACGCATGCGAGTTTTTTTACAGTAATACCCATATGCCATTTTTAAAGTTATGGAAGAAGCAACATTCAGCTTATATTTCTATATCAAAGGGACTCTGACTGATTCATTTTTATTTTTACTTAAAATACAGAGGGAATGACACAACTCTTGAGAGGTGTGCAGAGAAGAGCAATTACTTTGTCTTAGGTCAGCTGATCATGATGTATCAACTGCTCAGTTTATGCACAACAGCTCATGGTTATGAATAGTAAGTTGAAAGCAGCATAAAAAACTATGTCAGGATAGTCTTTGGCACGTTTTTCATAATCTTAACTGGTATTCAAATTGGAAACAGCTTAAAATCAAAGTAGCAATGCTAATCATAATATAATGTTCAGCAAAACTGAGAAAAATTATGCGTAGTTTTTTATGTGAATTTTGAGCAAAATGAATGCATATTGGGCATATCATATTCATCCATCTTGCATCATGTTTCATCTCCAAAACTGGTAATTTATTTCCTTCATATTGATATAACCCCTACTTTACACAAAGTTCAATTCTAATGCCATTAATTTTTCCATGATAAATGACAGATTTCATTAACATCAACATTTATTTGACACATTTATCAATGTAATATATACTTGATGAAACATAAAGAAAACCAATTTCTGATGATATAAATAACTGGTAAAGGATACGGTTGGTAAAAGTATTATATTTTCAGAATTGTGTGTTGCAGAGGAAAAAATGCATGCAATATAATTTTCAATTAGAAAAGTTAATGAAATTATTAACTACATAACTACAGAATCAGTAATGATTTGAGGAAGGAGGGAAAAAACATACAGAAATACATTGCAATATATTAACAGTGTGATAATGTTAAGGCACTTGATCCTAGGCCACAGCATTTAGGTTCAAGACTGACCAGATGCCTTGTTGATCTGTGCACACTAATTTCCCATGCCTTTTCTCTACAAGACAAAAATTTATAAACGTCAGAAAATACCACTCTAACTTGACTTGAAGTATATGTGAAATTAAAACTTTCCTTTGCTGGGCACCACTTTCATCATCCTACAGCTGGAGGAAACTGGAATCCCAGAGATGGGCATTTTCATCTGAGACATAGATTCCTTATTGTTGTCAGGTAAAGCAGAAGGCAGGTCTGTCAAGACTATACCTGGGGACATCAGAATCACACCCCAGAAAATTAGCAATATACAAAGATAAATGTGTCTAGCAGTGAAATGTTAAATACCTTTGTATTCCATTACAAGCAAGCTTTACAGTATCTCAAAATACTGCTCTAGGAAATATTCCTGAACGTCTCATTTTATCTAGTACATACTTGCCGTTATAGCTCTTTCTTTGAATTAAATGATATGCACATACTGACAGACATATATTTTTAAAAATATCACATTTCACAAGCACTAATGTAGATCAACCTCTGCAGCAAAACAGGAAGCCTTAAACTTCTAGCATTGTGAAGGATAATGCATTTTCCAGTACTCCTACATGACTCACAGGGATCCTTAATCTTCTTCGGTTATTGATCTCTGGCTAGCAAAATCACCAAGTACATCTTTTGCTTCAGTATAAATCTTCTTATGCCAAAATAAAACACAAAGGCCTCTCACCTTACTTTTATACACATAGTTTTGTATTGTGTAAGGAGATTAAGATAGGCCTACAAATGCTCGCCTACTCTCTTGAGAACCCAGAGGGATTATCTCCCACACTCTTTTGAAAAGCAAGAGTGGCATACATGTACAGCCACAATAAAGTAAAGTAAAGCTGTCCCACTATACGCCATGTAGATGCTTGGTGGGGGGGGGATGAGATATAGCTCCTACACATTCTTAACCTCAGCACTAGGTGGGGGTGAGTGGTTAGTGTCACACCCCAGCCACGCTTTACCCCTGGGAAAGAACCCCAGTACCCATTAGACAGGAGGCTGGGTCGGTCCCACAGCCGGTCTGGACGCAGAAAAATCCTCTGTCCGTCAGGGATCAAACCCCAGTCATCCAGACAGGCACAAGACCTTCACAGTATAAAACTACCAAAGACCCTGTCCTGTGTTGGATTTATGGTAAATAGTACACTTGCAGCACATTTAGTTAGAATCCTTGCATTTATCCTAGCATTGAACACACTTAAATTCCTATTCTTTCAGAAATGAAAAAAAAAATCTTGGGGGGTTAAACCGCCATCAGGAACATAAGTTTAACAAAATGTTAGAAAGTAAAATAACTGTGTCTTTTGTTACTTTACTTCAAAAATACCTGTTAATGTCTTGCACTATAACCAATATTAAATAACCTTATTTTATAATCTTCTAACACCAACTGCATTGAAACATATTTTAACAATGATACAAAAGGCCAATTATTAAAAAGCATGGCAGGGTTCAGAACTCCAAGAAGCAATGACAATTTTATTATAAAATGAAAAGAGGGGTGAAGAGGTTGATTCTTATTCCTAAACATATGTTACTTATTTATAGTCTTTAAAAGCCTGAACTACGAATTGTCCAACAGTATTTTTAACACACCCCAATTAGATTAGATCAAAGCACAACATAATTAGCACAAAACTGGAGAAAACCTGAAAACATCTGGAAGATCTTCTCACAAGACTGTTTTAAGGCTAGCAATCTCATTTTAAAATTACATTTAGAACACGGTATTGGAAAACAGCTTCACTGATGTGAGGAGAACTGAAAAGGCTTATACATAATATATAATTTTTGTACTTCTCTCACCACACAGAACATGAAAATTATAAAATAAAAGCTTCTTTAGCTTGTTCCCACTTAAGACGTTCAAGTAACTGCTGCATATGATATCAGGATACTAAAGAATTATATTAGTTTATTTAATGATGCTGTCAGTAGCTCGGATTATATAGCAATGACTGATAGGATGATTAATGAATTGGAAAGAATGCCTAATTTAATGCACTATCCTGGCATTTTCCTTGAGGGATTAAGGTAAAGCACAGAAACCTCCATCATGATAGGCATTCTCTGGACAAAGATTCAAACCCAGTACCTCCTGCATATGAAGCAGGTGTGTGTGGCCTATAATAACATAATATTCAAGTTAAATGAAACTAGTTCACAAATTATTACTGGCAAACAAAGGCAAAATGTACATCTACTTTCCTTACAAGGTATGAAAGGGGGCAAACAACACAAAACATTTTTAAAATTCTGATTTCATAATGTAATGTACCAGCATTTAATGACGAGTAAATTGAAGGTAAGCAAATTGTAGAAAAAAACATTTTATTAACATACATGAATTCATATATAACAAAGGAAAATAAATATATTACATTTGGCTATAATATATGCAAGATTATACTAATGGAATGAATGCATTTTGGAATATAAAACCAGTCTTTCTTTTGTTTCATCTGCTTCAACTAAACATCAAAGGATGGAAATGTGTCCATCAAAACTAATACCCTGAATGAAATATGAACTGCTTCCTGCTTCAGCTTGACTTAAACACAATTAAAACAGATATTTTGTGACATTTCCACTTACATCACCTAGGAAAATACTTAAGAAGGGCCCAACAGTCCTGGCAATGTATGTTTCTTTCATACATAAAGTGTTATCAGAAAAACAAATTCCTTCTAATCTCTTTACAAACATTTAATGATAGAATCTGGGGGATACTTAAACATCTTTAGGGCATGATAATTTTGGTTCTCACAGCAAAGGTTATGAAGACAGCTGCATTCTGGGATATTGCATTGTGTAGTCTGGCAGATGCTGACTGACATTTTAGTGGCATTTACTGTCTCTATTATTAGGGCTCAGGGTGCATTACCTCAGGAGACAGCCAGCTTCAACCATGGTCAGCAATTTCTATGGCAACTCATGGCTGCCCATGCAACCACCCCCCACTGCATTTGCTTCTGTTTCTCACTGACAGCCTAAAAGGTAATGAACAAAGACTATTCATTTCTATTCAAAACAGGTTTGAGTACAGTGGCAAAATGAAGTATAGCCTAATATTTGAAATAGAACTTTTCATAAAGCATTTTTATTGTCATGGAGTAAATGTCACTGAAAATATTTTGGTTTTATTGTGCTTCATAATAAAAAAGGCTTGTGCTGGAAGAAAAGACAACATGAAAATCCTACACTGGACTAAATACAAATTGGATAACACTGTGGAGGATTTGAGGTTCTCACGGCAGAGAGTTCAAAGATGGCCGTCTTCTGGGTTGTTGTGTTGCATAGTCTAGTACAAATTTACTGACGTTTCAGAGGTCCCTGCTGCCTCCAATATAAATTTCTACCAGACTACATGGCACAACAAACCAGAAGACAGATACCTTCTGGATAACACAGTACTTGATTACATGCCCCAAAAGGTCATTGTTGCACTTGGCTCTTCAGTGGTGCATGCCATAAATCTCATGTTGAAACAAAACTGTGTACAAAATACCATGTCCATACACTATAAAGCAGGAATCCATTACTAGTGGTTTTGTGTTTTCTCCAGATGAGGCATAGTTTACTCTAAGAGGCCACATAAAAGCTTTAAAACAACCACTTTTGGACTGCAAAAAAGTTGCCAAGTAGTTAATCAAATTATGCCAACAGCTTCATCATGTGTTCAGAAATAATGCAACAATATATAAAGCAGAACTTTAGGCTCTTCTGCAAAAGTGGGCAACCAGAATTTTAAAGGAAGAGCAAACTGGCATTTTCTTGCACATACCTGTTTGTTGGCTCCATGGCAGATGAACTGGATACCTAGTATTCCCCAAAGTTATGAGCAGAAAATTAACTACTAATAGGGAAACCCACTGCAAATCTATATGTTTCCAGAAATTCATTTTGGGCAAACTTCAATTCCTTACCAACTAATTTTATAAAATTGCAATAATGGGCTGGATGCATTTTTATAGACAAGATGTATCTACAGACACTTACAAGATGGAAAAATTAAGCCAAGCTAAACTTCAGTATAGTAATGATGATTATAATAAAGATGAATTTTCTCAATTTTCTTTTAAAATCTGGATAATACTGCAATCAATTATGTTGCTTTATCACCATTACTAACAGGTACTTCATAATATGTATAAGAGACAGTGAGAAATAATTTGTTTCTGGGCTTCCAAAATTGCAATGCACATAAAACAGATCGCAAAAAGCGAACGTACTCTGATTTTCAGCAGTTTGATTAGCAAGTGTGCCCTGGGTTAAAGACACATGGCTTACATGTCAGCTGCTGGCACCAGAGTGCATGTCCTCTCTGTGCTATGACATAACACGGACACACGAAATATATGGATGACTAACAAAAGAAAGGGATCGCACATAAAATAAGAATTCAATTTCATTTTCATGTAACTCATGTCTCTGTACTGTGTGCCATTTGTAGTATTTCACAAATATTTATTATAACTGGGATTTTCTCCAAATAGTGTTGTACCTTCAAAACATTTTGGCACACAAGTCTTATCACATATCCAGAAGTAACACTGTCTTTCAGCAGCTAAACACTTTTGCCAGCTGTCTGAAATATTTCCGGGAGCCATCACTTATGACCTGAATCACTTGAACCTTCACTGCGTCCTTCAAGGACAGTCAGTCTAACTGCAGAAAGAGATAACATGGGCTCTAATTAAAAAAGTAATAAATCAATTAAATATATGATAGCATTTTAAACACCACATGAGAAAAATTAATAATGTGGATAAAATAGCATGTGTTATCTTTTGTTAGATGTGTCCTTGCTTTGTAAGTAATCTTCTCTTATATCAACCATCTGATTTTTATACAGTACAAAATATTTTAAAATATAACCAGAAAATTAACTCTGTTTCCAAAATTTCAGAACTAGATGTTGTAAACTTTAGCTTAATCTTCTATTTTGTTTAAATCCCAATTAGGCAAGTAATGTTTCAAACATGTCTTCACATAATAAAAGAAGGAAAAGTTCAACAACATAACTTTTGTCACATAAAAACAGGTAACAAATTTGGAAATTCAGAAAAGTAATTTCTCCCAATGCCTCTTAAAGTGAAAATTTTTGACTTTGCAATCAACTGACAGACACTAGCTGTATACAATAACATAGCACCACATTTTCAATTTAATCTTATCTTGACACAAATCTGTTGACTAGAATATTCCTTCCAGGTCTGGAGGTGGTGGAGGTGCCAATCTAAGACCAAAGTCCTGACTCTGAAGGAGTCCCTGTGAGACCAGTGAAGCAGGTGCAGAGTGAGTTGGAGACACAACAGACTGTGGTAGACTTTGTGGCCTTATTGGGGGACTTGTAGGAGTGGAGGCTGTGGCTACACAATGGCAGCACTTCCATGGTGTCTCCAGGCAACTTGCATGGTATGCATGGCCACACCTGCAACACAAGATACACTCTGCCATACATACAAGCACTCATTTTAAGGTTCAGTAGGATTCGATTTTTATAGGTTTAAATATCACTTGCACTGCTAATAGATGTATTTATAATGTTACCATACAAATTTAAAATATCAAGAAGATACAATCTGACCACAATCTCAATAATTTTCCACTTGTCTCAAACTTTTCACATAATAAAAATTTATCTAAACCATTAGAGTAGGTGCAAAGAAGAAGTGTACTTCTTTCTTTACTGTAAAAGCCACTATGACATATTTCCTATTAATACCTGATGTGTTATTGCTTTTTTTCAGTGTGTGTATTATAGACAAACACTTTAGTATGAACTGAAAACAAAACATTTCACATTAATGCAGTAGTTGCCACCTTCATTTATTTATTTACTTATTAATCTTGCAATAAATATTAAAAGTGATACCTAAAAACAATATCATGATCATCATCTCTGAGGTTATGAAGAAAGTTCTGACACATGGCACAGAAAAGACTGCGGGGTGAAATTCCTTGATTTGATGCTGCTAATAGTTTTGCCAACTGATGATGCAGATCAGTACTTAGCAAACGAGCAGTTGCTTGCAGAAGAGTCTCCTCATAACAAGAACTACTCAGCATACCTGTTAAAACAAAGAAAAAGTTATACCAAATACCATTACAAGATAGCATATAAGACTAAAATCTTTAAATATATCATGAAGACCATGACTGTATAAGAAAACACAACAGTAATAAGATACCACTGCTTATCTGAACAGTACATACTGAACTTAAATTCGGGGGTTACTTACATTTCATCACAGTCAACTACTGATCAGAAATCAAGGCAATATATATAATAGACTGGAGAAGATTGTGTTATTTTTCAAGATGGTTCTACTTCCAACTTCATATAAAAGGATGACAAAAGTATAATCTGTTAGGCCCCCTGGTCAAGCTAGTCCAGGCTTCAGACTAGCTCAATCAGGGGGACCAACAGATTCGACTTTTGTCCTCCTTTCATCTGAAGACAGAAATACTCACCCTCAATGTAGTTGTTCACGCTGTCAAAACCACTTACAAGAAAAGCAGTCCAAAATCTGCCTAACATTCTTGACTTAGTGCTATATATGATCTTAACCTTCTTTCAACCAGTAAACAATATATTACAAAATTGAAAATTCTTCAGTGATGACGAAGAACTAGTGTAAGATTGGCTTAAGGCCCAACCAAAAACATTTTATTCTGATGGAATAAGGAAACTTGTGGACTAGTGAACCAAATGCACTGAATAGCAGTGCAATTATTGATTATTCTATCAAAACTAATAAAATTATATTTAACTTTTTAGTCACCTTTGAATATAGTGACCATATAAGAAAGCATGAGATATGTTGTCCCCACTATAAACTTTCTGAATTAATCTTTATCATATGGTAATAGGGTATTTAAACTCCATACTACAGGTGGACTTAACTGCAGAGTTCAATATGGTACAACAATGCACAGCCAGCTGAATCAGGTGTAAGCAGTGACATGTAGATGATAAAGATTAAAAATTGCATCAAGATAATAAAATTATTCCCATGTTTCTTCAGCTCAGGTAAAGGCTTCTTTATTTACTACACAATGTAATTATTTCTACTTTAACAGGTTTCATATGAATAATTAATTCTCTCAGAAACTGATGAAAGAGATACTGTATTTTTCCCAAGCTTCACGAAAAAGATGCAAGCAACTCACCGATCATGAGCTCTCTAATGTCACCAAATTTTCCTCCTTTGTAAGCTGGATCCATGAGTATAACCTGGATCACTGCAGGCAATGATACATAAGCACTCATTGACATGAGCAACTGCTGTGTCATCTCCTTTAATACTGCTGGTCAACAAACATAGAAATATCACCAATCAATATACAAGCTTAAGACAGTACCTTTCAGAGCAATGTGATAAAAGTTATGCGAGGACAATCAAAAAATAATTCCCAGGCAGAACAGACTTACTGGAATGTATGAAGTCAAAAGGTGAATACCATGGAGGTGACCATACACTGAAGTTATTATAATATAGTTTTCTTTTTCACAGACTAAGTCTGGTTATTATTAAGATTTCATACACAAACAGAACTTTCACTCACCTTCAATCATTTCATAGAATAATAAAGACAACCATTTTCACTTGCACTTGGATAACAATAAAAACAATAGAGAAGAGTAACCGTAAGTACGTAAGATTTGAGGTTTTCACAGCGGTGAGTATGAAGATTTCTGTCTTCTGGGTTGTTGCGCTGTGTAGTCTTGTCGATGTTATCCAACGTTTCAGAGGTCATACTGCCTCCGTCATTAGGGTCCTGACTACACAGCGCAACAACCCAGAAAACAGAAATCTTTCAATTGTAAGTACATTTTTATCTTGATTTATATTTGATCTGAAAGCCATTACTTTAACAGTAAGGCCACAACAGAGCTGCAAAATTAATGCCATATTCATACTGCAGGATATCAGATTGTGGAAAGTTAAGAGGCTGCAGTGAAAATATATGAAAAACATCACACCAGAACTCCAAGAACACTCTATGTGCATACTTTAATAATGCAACAAATTTGCATAAACCTCCTTTGTTTTGTATTTCTTAAAAAAATTGATTCACAGTTTTTCCAAGGGTGTGGGATATTCAAGAAAATATGGTACAGCAGTTAATAAAATAAAAATTTGAAAATACATTTCTGGGTAAATTAAATTATACTTCCTAACATACACAAAGTTTCATGGCATGTCAACTTACTAACACTTACCTGATAAATGCACAGGTTTCTCCCTTCTTTGTGGGTGCATTAAAGTTTCAAGTAGAGGAAACCAGAGAGCTTGGCGTGACTTTTCATCCAACATGGCAGAACCACGCTGACACAGGCCAACACATTTGCTTGACAAACTAGACAACTCATTTGTGTCTATGTTCTCAGTAGTTTCTTCAGCCAGAAGTCCATTCAGCTTCTCCATCATCAGACTCAGTGCACCCTGGAAATCTCCAGTCTTCTCCAGAAGAAATGCTGTGGCTTCAACTTGAGAAAACCTTTTTGTGATCTGTACAGTGTACATTAATAAAAAGTCAGGACAAGTCATTCAAATGATGATTCCTTAAATGAGGAAAAGCAAATGTGTTTCACAATTACCAGTTTATCTGAAAATTATGTGTACAATCAGGTATTTTGCCATTCTTCAGGGCATGTTTGCTATTGCATTAAGATACTGGCCATATGAAGTCTAACTGCATCACACTGTGCAATCACCTAGATATGCAAATCCACAACTTACAAAGGAACTTACAAATTGAGGGTTATAATGATGTTGACGCAAGCGTGTTTCAAAAGCAACAATGCATCACTTTGGATTCCACTCGTGCAAGCACTATGTGATGAAAAATCATCACATAGTGCTTGTACAAATTATAAATTACACTGGAAACAAGCTCGGAATCACAGTGTTGATGAGAGGACCATTATGAATGCATGTAATTCAGAACAACTGTACCATTTGTGAAAAAGAAACAGTTCACTCCCCTTCAAACACAATAGTTAAAATTAAGTCACAACCCAGTTTAAAACCAAAACGTTATTTCCAATCAACCAATCCTTGTTCTATGAATTTACATGTTTGTAAACACACATTTCAGTCCCCTATGCTGCAGTCAATATGACCAAAATTGAGAAACTGGTCTCCTGTACACAGCTTAATGATTAACAGACAAGGTGAAAACAGGTAAGTCCATTAATTTTTTTTTTAAGATTTAATTGTACAAAAAGTAATTAAATAAATAAATGCAAAACTTACGGTAGAATAGGAAACAACAAATGAATGCACAAAATAAAATAAGCAACTACTTACAATTCATGACACCCTTTACGCAAAGATGGCATACCTTTAAAGCATTATCCAGTCGATAACCTTCACTGCTTATAATGTATGGATAGACCTTCTCAGGACTGAATTCACAAAGTAGTTCAATATATTGCTCTACCAATTCTGGATCAAAATTTGACTCATCTTTCAGCTGAGCCAACCCAGAATGCGAGTCCCTTGGAAGTAAAAAGAGAGAGAGAAAAATATATACACACACACACTTCAAGCACCTCTCAAATCATATTTAACAAATATTAAAATTATGGTTCAAAATGTACATGCAATAACATTTTTTACAAGACTGACTATTAGTACTGTTCACTTAAAAGTCTGTACTACACATGTTCAGAATTAGAAGGGATCGTTGGCACAAAACAGAATTATCAGATGTCAGATGAGTCTGGGGATCTGAGGGACCAATGTTCAAAATAAAACGTGTGCATGATATTCAGGTTCACAGACATACCTTAACATATTCTAGGATTACTCATTAGTTGGTGCAACAACACCTGTAAATAATTTAGCACAGTAACTTCATATAATTAAATTAATTTCTCCAGCATACCTACCTATAGTCAAAAAGGCCCTGTAGAAATTGGAATAGTACTTTGGACTCTTCTTGTAGTTTCTCAACTATCTTAGGTATAAGTTGAGGTACATGTATTAACAGAATCTGTGCTGTTTTGGTCGCATCTATGTCCAGTAAGTCCTGAAAGTACAATAAGCACTTCTACTATTCAAACATGATCATACACATTTGAAACATACCCTCTAGTCTCTAGTCTACCTTTACGGATATTTAGAGATACATATATCCATGCCAATATCATTCTATTAACTGATAAACACACACACAAACATATATATATATATATATATATATATAGATGCACTGAAAGTAGCAGGATCATAGCTTATTTAATGATGATGTATGAACTGAAGCAATTATTTAGAAACAGTTGAGTGATTTTGGAAAGGTCTGAAGAGAAAGCAATCATGGGCTGTTTAATGATATTATCCCAGCCTTCATCTGGAGGGATTGAGAAAAAAAACATGAAAAATCACAGTCAGGATAATCAGTGTTCTGGGAGACATTCACACTAGGCACCTCTTGAATAAAAATCAAAAGTATTACTGCTTCAACCTACAGAAAGAAAGTGATATATTGGGTGTGTTTGTGGTGGAATTTGTCATAGACTATCTATGACCTTGTAATGCTGAATGTTACCTGTATATTGTCTAAGATTTGTGCTTCCACTTTAGCTTTGTCAGTAGCACTTGTGTAAAGCAGGAGTATGTTGCGAAGGTATGAGAAAACTTGAGGCTTTCTCAATGGATCCTTTAGGTAGCAGTGAAGAATTCTGTCATACTCTTGTCTCTGCTCATACAGGAACTCGCATACTCGGTAACTGTCAACACCACAGAACATGCATGATTGGCAACGCTCTGACATATGAAGTTCACCTCTTTACTCACAGTGTTATACATATTTAATTGTTAGTTACAGTGGCACAGTATAATTTTGTTCATTTCACAAATAATGAACAAAACATTTTCCATAATCTTCTGCTACCATCATGTTATTCATATTTCTTGTTGGCTCTTATATACAATACCTGTGTTCTTTTATTACATGTGTTCTATGTGCTAAAAGTTATAAGGAAGAAAGAATGCATATTACATCTTACACATCTGTGAATGTTAACTTTATTTTCTTAAAGAAGGAAATGAAACTTACATTATCACTATGCAGTCTGTGTGTGATGCTAGCATGATGGACTGAACTACACATTTGCAAATGAGGAGAAGGGATATGTTATGTTTGCAAACATTTAATGTGGAATAATAGTACAGTTCATGTAAAGATTTCACACCATTCTAAAAGGAGAGAACCTAGACTCTAAAGTGATGGCAGTAAATTATACAAAATTAATGGAGCACCTGTATTAAAATATATTAATAAAGAAAATTTAATATAACATAACTGCTTGTCAGTATAATAATTTCTTGCATTATTTTCCTTTCTTTGACCATTAAACTTCTACGTTCAGAGAAGAGTATTAGATTCAAGACTGTTTTGGATTAGATTAAATGTGATACTCCTTCATATAATGAGTGTCAGAAAATATATAATCATGCTGCAATATAAAATATGCAAGTTAAGAAAAATTACATGAAACACAAGATTACACAGGAAAGAAAACAACTCACAAAGCAGCTTTATCAGCCAGCTGCAACAGCCTTTCTTGATTGTAATGGGCAAGTCCACCAGCTCTCATCAGTTCCAGCAGTGCCTGCTGCCGTTCCTCATGATGTCCCAATGTGCTAGTGGAACAAGAGTCAGTGGTGAGAAATTCTACCACTTGTTCAAAAAGCTGGCGTTCAACATGCAGGCTGCACCACGGTTTGGCCAACTGACGAGCCAAGAAAGTGAACAAGGATCCTACCTGACTAGGCTGTAAGAAATTACCACAAAATATTACAGAACTATTCAGCAAACATGCTTAAAGTAATATGAAAAATAACTAGCCTTAAAACCAAATATATCATTGTTGCATGTCAGTTTCACAAAATTAAATAACTCCTGCAAGTCTAATAATTAAGATTTGAATTTGAGTTCTAAGCCTGCAGTGCTAGTCTACACTTCTACCATGCTAAATCCATAAATTAACTTCAGATACAACCCCTATTATACACCTTCACATTAAGAAAAGCTTAACTTAATTCTTCCAAAATTGACGAGTTTTAGTAGTCTGACTACACTTAATTTGGTAAATTTCTTTTGAAACAATTCCAACATACAACTGCTTTGTTTTGAACTACATTTATTACAGATTGTGAAGATTTCAACTGACATATGAGTTGCCAATATTACAGTTCAGATGAAAGGTGGCAGGAGTTCCCACATTAAAGCACAAACTGTAGTGAAACCAAGTATCAATGCTGAATTCCACTTGAACCCAATAGCATGAAATGCAATGTCTGAACTGGAAGGGGTTAAAGTAGCAGGTACCTTGGAACATGATCCTGAATTCAATTATTTACCGCCTATGATATGCCTGAAGATTGTTCTATGCAACACAGACTGGCTGGAGGTAAGATTAATATTGGTTAAGTGACACACTGTATAACTTCTGCAAGTGATATGCTACAAAACAACAAATATAAAAGAAAGGCATGTTTACTTGCCATATCTATACAACAGAAAACAAGAAGGAACACAAAATAAATGGCACTAACCGTGAAACCATCACCTTGCTGGACCATGACTAAGAGGAGGATGTCAACAAGCCTCTGCACTTGTTGCAGGCCCAATTCAGATGTGAACTCAGGTTCTTCAAATGCCAGTGCCAACACATTCAGGAATTCCCGAGTGTCAAAATGAAGGAATGCCCTTATAAAAAACAATGGAATATAAAGAGTTATGGCTTTCCCAACACAATGTGATAATTTCAACAAGTTTCATATTAAGTTTCTTATGGCACTTTTTGCTATAAAGAGGAAAATGACCTCCACATATGTATTCAGATCCATTACACAGTACCACACAACAGGAATAGTATCTTTCAAATACAATTTTAATTTGTTAGAACTGAAGATGAGTTGTAGGATTTAAGGCTCTCACGGCGCTGAGTCTTCTAGGTTGTTGTGCTGTGTAGTCTTGCTGCCTCCATCATCAGGGTGATCATCGCCCTGATGACGGAGGCAGCAAGGACCTCTGAAATGTCGGTAAACTTCTACCAGACTACATGGTGCAACAACCCAGAAGACAGCAATCTCCTGAAGATGAGTTGTTTCATGAAGTATAGGAGTTCTACTTACCTCAAATATGGATAGGAATGTTCGAAGTCTGAGGCATTCTTGCTATGAAGACATGTCAGACATTTGAATACATCATGTTTCACTCTTTGGTTATCTTCTGAAGGGACATTACCAGATAGTTTTAGCAAGACAACAGCTGATGTATACAAGAAGTTTATTGCCCAGAGCAATATGGTTATCACTCAGCTGTTTACCTGTGAGGTCCCATCAGATTTTATGTAAGTAAAAAGTGAAACCCAAACATCATGTCTCCTGTGCATTAAGCATCTGGACACATTCCACTTTGGCTCAGATTACAGTATAGATTATCAGGTATTTTAAATAACAGTACTATAACACAACAATTCTACTAACCTGTTGCTAGTGCAGCCTGAAGGATAGGCATCAGTTCTTCAAGGGGAGTGACATAATCTCTCAATCCACGATTATAAATGTGTATTGTTGCATCATAGAGACCATTTGTTTTACAGAGCCTCATGACCTGATCAATGTCTAGTGAAGACACATCCAGGTGCACAATGCAGGCTTCCAATGCTTCAAGCATTCCCTGCCTCTCATAGTGACTCACAAATTGCTGTGTGATGGATGGAGGAACCATAGGCAGACGATCACTTAGAAGCCATGGTTCAAGTGACTCTAGGTAACATGCTTGGGCTGTGTGATGGATACATGCATCCCAAAGTTTTCCAAACAGAACATCTCTATAAAAGAATCAAAAGACAAAAACACGTCAAGCGAAGAACTGTTTTATGATAAAAACATCAACAAATAAATAATCCATCTTTTAAGAAGGCACAGAGTATGTTCTCTAACAATTTGAAATTCTACTGAAAAAGGTTTATAAGTTTTGTAAAGAATACATTTAGGTTTCAGTTTTAAATTAAAAATGTCATTGATATGATCAGTATAATAACTTATTGGGTATAAAATTGTAAAGTGTAGAAGCAATTACACAGATTCCCTTCAGTTACTTAGGCAGCACTTACAAGTTGCTCTGGAATAAAAATTATGTTATTGCTTAAATATGCCCGAGTTAAATCATAATTTATTATAACAAATCTTTAAAATTCACTCTTTCAATATAACTTCATTCCGAGTTGTATTCTTATTTTTACAGTTCACTACAACTATCTGGAATTTGATGTGATATCAGAACAGTAACATTAGCATTTGTTTCTGTCCCAAAGATTTCAAGGGTTTATTCCACTTGTAGATGCATGCTGGCACATGCCCCACAAACACATAATACAACTCAGTATTCAGTGTCACTGAGAGCCCCAGTAAGGAAGTACAGAATAGGGAAATACTGTCAACTATATCAATTTGTGCACGTAATACAAAGACTATGGGCACAGTAATATCAAACAGAACTAAACTGCCAAAACAAGCATAATCAGGTAATGTGAAAATGGGTGAATAAATTTCACAAGCAAAGGCTATGCAGGTTTTTACATGTTCACTGCAGCTCATGAAGATGAACTTTTTTTGTGTGTGTGTGTGTGTGTGTGTGTCCAGTACACACCATTCAGCATGGTGGTTAGCAGGATTCACGACCCATCAGTATATAGGTTCGATCGGGACCGCGACATTTAACGCTCCTGCTGTGACCCCCTTTTTGCGAGATGATGATGAAAGTGGAGTAATTGTTGGGATGCCACAGAGAAACCGGGGAAACCCCGGAGGAAAACTCCGTGATGCCTGGACCACAGCCTTGCCCAACACAAGTTGTAAATCTGAGCACCGCCAGGAATCAAACCCGGGGCCCCATTATTACAAGCCCAGCGTTCTAACCGCTAAACCACCGTGGCGGTTGATGAACTGTTGAAGCACCAACAGAAGAGGGAGGGGGAAAAATTGCAAAATGACTGATAACAATAAAATCAGCACAGACAAAAGATGCTGTTGTTCTGGGTTTTGGCACCATACAGATTCATTAATAGATGCCAAAATTTTGAAGAAACAAACCATCTCCATCTTCAGGGCTGAAGTGGCAAGGCATCCCAGCAAAAACACAGAACAGCATAAACATCCTCACCCCTGCGAAAACCAGAAATCTAGCACAGACAAGCCTGACTGACAAGATAGCATATTATTCTCTGCAGAGAAAACTGAATGATGGGAGAAAGTATTTCTTTAATTATTTAATCTAACGATGGTGAATGCTCACACCTTGCTCACTGACAAGTACAGAAAAAAGTTTTCATATAATAAATTGCAGGACTGTTCAATAACACAGAAAGAAAATTTTGAGAACAATTCTAGAGTACTTCCGCAGACATACTTAAGAAAAAGGAAAATTTTCTACACAATATTTCTGCATCATAATGCCTAAAGAAAAATCTCAGTGGCCTTGCAAAGCAAGCACTATACAGCAAATTACTAGGAGTGGGTCTAGACACAAACTTTCGTTTCAAGTGACAAACTTAAGTTAATCTGAAGACAGCATATACATTCAGTATAAAATTGTGTCCATATGTGGACATACTAACAGACCTGGACACAAAAATAAAGTTGTATGATCAACTTACATGACTTCCAACTCAATACAGTACTCAATACAAGCAGGTACAGCTTCCTGGCAAAGTTCTACATCACCACTGCCAGGCTCCAAGATTTCCTCAATATATGTATGTAGAATTTCCAAAACCTAACATTCAATATGATACATGTTAGTTTATTTGTTTCAATAAATATTAATATGTTTAACATGTTACAATTCCATTACCATTCCTATCTCAATCAAATTACAAAGATATTATGTGAAGGTAAAAAAACAAGTACATCAATAAAATAATACAAAATAATTAGAAAAGTGTGTACAATATACATAAAACAATAAACATGCAAGCATTGCAAGTGTGCATGCATTCACATACAATCACAAAGATACGGTAACATTTTATTCAAAATTTCTGATCAGTATCTGGACTTGCATCATACACAGTATTAACATTAGAACATTACACAGCAAGGTTTCATCACTGTGAACTATACAGTTTACACAACGGATGAACAAGAGGCACATAAGTTTCATGTCCCTGAAACAACACAAATAAAGTACAGTGCATCAGCATATTTCTGCCACAAGTAAACTTCTTGCAAAAATAAAAGTATTAAAACTTTGTATCACACGAAGATGACACTGTACTTACAATGTCAAACATGCAACATTAGTAGAAGAGTAAAATCATGACACAGATTCATATGTATGCACATTATTCAGTGATACGAAAATATTTTGTTCTTTTTAGACTCATTTCTACAGTCTTATGAAGTTTACTAGAAGGCAATGGCAAACCACTTCTGTATCACCTGCCTAAAAAACATATATGAACAGGTCCCAGTCCGAGAAGGATGGAAGGATCGTGTTCATAATGTTGCCAACCTCCTGTAAAGGAGACAGCGTAATAAAGAAGATGAAGTTTACTGGGTCAATATTTTACTGACCTTCCCCCCCTTTTGTTGTCAATAACACTGATAGTTTAATTTGCATTCATACCTTCTCACATGCCATTTCTTTGCGCTTGTGTTTTGGTCCTTTTAGCCCCACTACTGCTTTAGCTTTGTCTTGGTAGAATGCCATTCCTAACACCAATGCATCCAAATACCGATTCTGGCAACAGAACACAGAAAGTTATAGTCTTTAAATTACAGTAATGTTACTTGTATTTATTTTCATATAATTCTGGCGAAGGTTATAAAGATTCTTTAAATGTTGAAGTAACAAGGCATGAGAAGAGTAGCCAATGTCAAAAAGATGAAAAATGTTTCTTACCTGCTTAATGAGATGGTTCAAACGCTCATTCCATGCACGAATAGTTAAAACATGGAATGTCTTTGTTCCCAAAAGCAGCATCTGATTTCCAAAGCTAACAATAGAGTTGTAACATGCACGTTCACCAGCCAATGCCTAGAAGGAAAACAAAATGATTTTTAGGTTCTGATATCACTAAAAGCATAGCAAAAGTCGTAAATAATCAAATGGCACAAAGTCTGAACCAAGTGAAAGGGTAAATACCTCTCACCCCTCCACAAAAAACAACAGGAATTTAATTAAAGACCAACAATTTTATATGATCTAAACACATTAAGAAATTGTAAAGATGCAGAATTTATAAAAAAAATTATTTAAATTGAAAGGAAGATTAATGGGGCAGCCAAGATAAAATTGCCTAAATGGTGCAACAAGGAAGATATCATAACAAGATTTTGGATTTGGAATGTAGAAAGATAGTAAAAACAGAACATTTTTACAAAACATCTGATCTATATGATGTAAGGTGGAGAAGAAACAAAACCGCAATATTTTCCAAATGTATACCTTGTGAATTTGCAAACCTCACTTGCATCGATGTTAATATACTGCAGACAAATTCAACAGAAAAACCATGACACTGCATACATGCACAAATTATTGTTACATGTATTTTGTTAAATATATTAGATTAAAAATCTTTCAATAAAAGTTATAGATATTAATGAAAGTTGTATATTAAATAATGTACCATTACTTTATTTTGAATACTGCACCACTTAAAAAACTGGTGAAATTACAGTCAAGCTTAATACAAAGAAAAGTTAATACTAAACTGATATGCTAAAGTAAAAGTGTGAAGATTAAACATATGGGCAGACAACTCCCATAATATATTTAATGCACTTGTGCAAAGAATGCATAAAAAAAATGCTCTTCCCTGCTTCACGCACAACTAAACAACTTGTAACTTACCATAGCTTTACTGACATTGCCACCTGTGGCCAATCCCTTGAAGTGACTTGTCCCGTACACTAAGCGAACATCTGCCAAATCAAGAACCTCCAGCTCCTCCTGTGTTCGCACATCCAGAAGGTGAAGCTGTTCCATGGTGTCCACAGTGGCAAGGGTGCGTGTGTTCAACCAATGCAGACTTAGCAATAAATACGAAACAGTCAGACGTTGAAGAGGTACAAACCGGATTTTACTTCTTCCATCTATAACAGACACCTGGAAAAAGATACACAAGTAACTTGCACAAGCCACAAGAGATAATGTGAACTCCACTTGATAAGGCAGAAGGCTACAAGGATTTTCAACAACCAAAAGGCTAGTGTTTACTGGTGTTTATTTACATGAAAAATGAGCTGTGTTTAAGTTTATTACTTCCCTCAAACAGATTATCATCATAATATGCATAATTTCCTTATCTTTTGCAATTTTAAGGAATCAATTAATGAAGGATATCAAGGCTCCATTGTATTTACTTCGTTCATATCACAGTATGTGATGAAAAACATTATTGGTACTGTATGAAAAATCAGACTCCATTCTAGCAATATTCTCAAACATATAAGCATTCTTGTTTAATGTAAGTACCGGGTCTCCAATTCATGAGCTTACGGTCGTGCTACATTAACATGTTTCGAAATACACGACAAAGCTCTTCTTGGGAAATTGTCGAATATTTTCTTTTTGTGATTTAAGGTAAAAACAATTAATGTAATAACATGTATTAGTGATGAGAAATATTCGTAATTCGCTGTTACTAGCGGCACCGAAACTGACTCGCCCATGACTCACACGTTAAAGTCCCGCCTACGTCAACAGCAGCGGCCGATAACGCAATGTAAGCACGGCCGTAAGCTCATAAATTGGAGACCCGGTAGTTGATTTTGAAGATCAGTTTCACATAAAAATTTTAGGTATAATTTGGCAAATGTTAAAAATTCAATATTATCTTCTTTTCACAGAACAGGTGGTAAAATATAGATATTTTAATTTTCATCCATTTTATGAGGAACAGTTTGAGATGTCTCTATGACTTTGTACACCTTGTTATGCTACAAGCTATGTGCATTTCCCAAATTTTAGGCACATACACATGCCTAAAGAGTGCCTATTAATATTGCTCCATTTGCCTATCCATCTACATGTGGCCAAGAAACAACTTTAGAATGCCCCAGCGGATTTTTAAAAAGCCTAATATTGGAAACTTTGTTAAAATCTGTAAACACATTCAAACTTTGGTTAAAATTGGACAACATTAATAGGCACTTTACATGAAGACCTACATGTTTCTGAACACAAAACTGACTGGGTGGGGAATCTCCAGACCAGCTTGGGTACCACAGTTATTATTATTACTTGTTTAAGTGTAAAAGGCCAGATTTCAATAACCATTCCAGAATTGTTACATCATGGATACATTTCATAACCTGACTCCAACTTAAAGTTCACATATTTCTTGTGAACTTATTTTTTATGTAACACAAAGGTACAAATTAAAACTCCTTGTTCTTATGTAAGATTTGAATGTTTTCACAGCGGTGACTATGAAGATTTCTGTCTTCTGCGTTGTTGCGCTGTGCAGTCTGGTCGACGTTAACCAACATTTCAATATTCATCGCCCTGATAACCTCTGAAACGTTGGTTAACATCGACCAGACTACACGGCGCAACAACCCAGAAGACAGAAATCTTCTTTGTTCTTAATTTTTATTTCCCACAGTCCACAAACCCATGTCCTTGGGAACTGATATTTAGGCAAGTTGTATCTAATTTTATAACTTTAAAATTTTCCATTTTTCATAGATTTATCTTCTTCCACTTTTCTACTTGTTATTTAGAAGATAAAATTCTCTTGTAAATAGATGTATTATGCCTGCTCAAATATCAGAAATCAAACTACTTACTTACTTTGTTACAACACACAATTTAAAAACAAACATTCTTGTGTCATTTGCATATTTTCTTTCGCAAGATACAAAATGTAGAAAAATATCCAAAGAACTGTCCCAGGATTTGCTATGGCTTTTATTTTAAGAGGCACTAACTAGTGAGCCTTCCATGTGTAAATAATAACACATTTCAATTCTATTTCTTAATGATTTAAGGAGGTGTGACTCATAGACACTTGTCAATAATTATAAATAGATAATTTCATAGCTTTATTCTGCTAAAATTTTAAGAACTTAAACTAATTTACCTGAAAGAAAAATATAGTAGATTCTCTTGCAAATGCTAGAACGGGATCAATAACTCGTGCTCCATCTGCCATTTGAATTATGACAAACTGCCATGATAAAAGTGGCAGTGTGGCTGGACTAGTATGAAGCAAAGACTGTGTGAAGAGAACCCTCATCCTTGGTCGAATACTGACTACTATGACCTGAAAAATAAAACAGTATGAGGACTAGATGCAGGAAAAATCCAACAGTAATCCCCATTTTCTTTTATATATCACTGGTGCCATGAATTTCAAGAAATTGAAAGAAAAAATCCAAGAAGTACTAATAAACAACTTTTACTATTATTTTAAAAATATACACAAATATTATTATGTAATTCTGATAACAATTTAAAATTAAACTGCTATTTTGCTAAATTACATGTAGTAGGTCATAAATTAGGAAAGATGTTTTACTTGTAATTTATGACTTAAAGCCCTCTACCTCTCTCTAACAGTTATTCAGAATATTTAATGGTCTAAAAAAACTCCTTTTGTGATACATAAACAATGTATACATCCCAGTTTCCTTAATTTCACAACCTTTTCTTACCGTGTTTCTAAACTCAAATTTTGCTTAACGCCACAGTTTATGATTTTATTACTTCTTATTCACATCTTATCCATAGAAACTTCACTTCCAGTACTTGTATCTGCAATTAACATATTTTATTAAACATAAATGTAACTTTTCTGAAATACTGTACGTGTACACATCCCTTGAATGTGCCAGAATCACACACTAACCATAAACTGGTAAAGTATTATGGGAAAGCAATTTTATATATATATATATCTGTGTGTGTGTGTGTGTTTTATGAAAAACGGTTCTGCAACATTTCATGAGTAAATTCCTAATGTTTTTGAAGTTCTGGTACAGGGTTTAAGATTAGCTTCATCCAACGGACCCAACAGATGTATAGTTTCAACTGATGATGATGATGAAATGGAGTCAGGTTTACATATGCTTAGTGTGTTTTAACTAATAAACAAGAAAAATTGCTAAAGAATATGCATCAGTGACTAATTTGTGTTTAAGATTTTCCAGGATGTTTCCTCACCTTTGACAGAGTGGCCATGGCAACAAGCACAACACCATGCAGCGGATGTGCGTTAAACTGATGTAATAGCAGAGGTTCTAGGCAGCAAACTTCACCTCTGCTGCCAGAAAACAAGCACTTGGAATCACAACCTCGAATACCCATAGTACGGCGAAAGTTTAGCTCAAATACAGATCCGCCACTGTCACTGCACAGTGCCAATGTAGGAGAATCTGTAAACTAGAAAGTAAGACAAATTATAAAGTAATCTAGTACCTTTACTAATTTAGTTTATTGCATGAGAAAATTTTTAAGCATATAATTATACACTCTGATTGACTGACTGACTAACTGACTATGATCGTTACTTGTTGGAAAAATTATGGAATCATATGCATACATTAATTTAACTAATGGATAATTAGTTATCCATATAAGCAAAGGTTGGGAAGGCTAAAAACAATGCTAATGGGGCTCATCTGATAAGGAAAAGAGTACTCTGTCCATGATGTCACATAAAAGAAATATGCCATAAAAACAAACCAATTGAAGGATAAATAAATATATCTAGTTAAAACCTTAATGCATCTTGCCTTAAATTTTTACTCTGGGCAAGTAAAGTTTAAAGCACCTGTACGTACAGTGGCTTACAATTAAACATTAACTAGTAACACTAGTGACAGTACATGCTGGATCATATAACTACATGAGTCAAGTGCTTTGTGCCAAACATTTGCTGGGATTCAGTATATATTTTAGTTGCAATAAGTATGTCATTACAGAAGTGTTTCATCTTTTTCTTAAAAACAGATCATAAAATGTTGGAACAGAGAATCAGTATCAGATCTTTCAGTTAATTTGGAGCAAAATGCCACTGACATTTACTAAAACAAACATAAAGCTTACAAACAAGGTAAAACAGGGTTTTGTGTGGAACAAAGGTTTTAAAGGCAGAAAGAAATACACTACAAATGTTAAAAAATTCAGGTGCTAGTAACGTCAGGAACTGATCCAAATGAGGAAAAGGTGACCAAAGCAGTGAGAAATAATAATGAATCGACTGTCTGGAAGATAGTACAGGAAATTCCCTCATACGTAACAGCTGTTCTCCTAGACAAAACCCAAAGATACTATAATCACAGAAAATCAACACTGGATCAGCCAGTTCAATCCAAACATCCTAATTCTTTAAAATGTATTTTATTATTAGCCTTCCATGTATGACTGCAAAAATTTTTTCCAAATAAAATTTGTTCTGCATTTCTCACTTCTCCCATGCATGTTGTCGAAATAATTAAGTTACTTGAGTTTATTCTGCTGATCAACTTAATTCTTCTAAAAAACATAATTACTGCTGATATCTTCCTACTGAGCACAATTAAGAAACTTGCCTTCACATGCAAAACTGCTGTCCCAGGTGGGTGCACATCAGACATAGTCCTTAAAAGCCTTCCATTGACTATGTCAAACATGAGTATATGCCCTCTGGCAAAACCAGCTAGTAATCTTGTACAGTCATGATTGAAACTTAAGCTTGCAACAGAACCCTGATCTTGAGCAGTTTCTCCCAAGCACCACCTCAGTGTCTGTGCTGAATCAAACACAAGTACCAGTCCATGAGAAGTACCAACTGCAATCATTGTGGTGGCAGCCATTGCAGTGGGCAATCCAGCATTCACACGCTCCTGTAGGAACAAATACATATGCATCTCGACATTGCTTTCTTTTTGGGGGAAGAAATTTAAAAACACTTTCATAAATTTCTTAGATCCTCAACCAGACATTTTTTTAATCACTTGCAATTTCCTGTACCTGTGCTTGATGAGATCGGATGATAATTATCCTTACTGATATGGAGTAGATGCAAGTATGGAACTATTCTAACAAACCATTTAAACTGTCATAGTGCTAGATGTCTCCGTCTGGCAAGGATGTTATACTCTTTTATGATTCAATGATTGAAACTGAAGTTCCTACTGGTTACTAAAGCAGACAAACAGTGAAGATGTGAACTACTACTGATTAACCCCTCATTTAAAGAAAATGTAGAGTGGGACTTAAATTTCTAAGTACTGGCACATAACACCAAAACCAAATTATACTTACAGACAAAAACAGGCTTTCATGAGTCAATTATTTTATAGTAACAAAACATGTAAAAAATTTCATACAATTTTTGGTACATACTTGCCATCAAAAAGCAAAACAAAAATCCTGTAAAGCATGATATTAAATGACACATTAAATTCAAAAACTTCTTTATACATATTTAATCTTGTACACATAATGGTAAAAAACCTAGTGTAAGCTTTGCCAGTCAGTACCTCGATAAAGACTTCTTGGTAGATCACAAAGACGGGCAATTCCTTTAATATGCCCATATATATGCCTACACAAAACAATTAACTTAGCAAACATAACATGATATGAAGCTTTCTGTCTTCTGGGTTGTTGCGCTGTGTAATCTGGTCAATGGTTATTCACCGCTGTGAAAACCTCAAATCTTACATAACATGATATGTCTGTGCTATTGTCATATTGATAGCTTCCAACATACAAAAATGTTTAATGTGCAATGTATTGTATGTCACATTACCAAATTTCATCATATGACCATACACATTTAGTGTCACTGAACTGAAATGCAAAGCAAGTACAGTAAAACATCGTTAGAAAATTGTTCTAATAAAAATGTATTCAACGTAGTGAAATGTTGATATTATAAACAATTAAAAATGTTATTCAAATTTAAACAACTATCTTCCTTAGAACTAAATAAATGCAATAAAACATTAAATTATGACCAATACTCACAGATGCAGATGTTAACTGTGTTGAGATGCCCTTCAGAATAACATGACGCAAAATGGAACCTGTTCTATGACTAGCTTCAGTGTTAACATTGTTCCAGCGACTGCCTCCACGAGCCTCGTGCCTCCGCTCTGATGAACTGCGACTCCTGCTATCTAGACTGCCTAATGATAAGGTTTCACTACCTTCAAATCCACCCTGCAGAAGCAAAATTTCCAATCATACTGGTAAAGGTATACATGTGCCAATGGAAAAGGTCATGAAGACATATGGGGAAGAGTAGGTGAAGTTCCATGTATTCTTAATCTCAGCATCTAGACTGATGTGTGCAGCCAGCTTCACACTATGGCCACTTTACTACCGAGGAATGAATTCCTGATGCTAACTGGAGAAGTAGCTGGACTGGAAACAGAGCTGGTATGGATGTGGCAGTGCCCAGAAAAAACTGTCCAGTCCACAGCTTTACTGTTTGAGCAACCATGCCTCCTGATCATGTTGACTTTCATATATAATCTATATCAGTAAATGCAATATTGTTCAGTTCACACCACTCTTTGGAAATCATTTATTAGGGTTGGCTGTTTCCAGTATATTTGGACAAATCCTCACCTCAATGCAAAACATTCAGTCTCCTTCAAGTACTGGATGAAAACAGCGTATGCTTTGCCCTTTTATATTATTAGCCCCTTGAAGACTTCTTTAAACATCACCCTACTTGACCATACAGTTACACATAAAAGCCAGAAGCTCCCAAATCACAGCGACAAGAATGTAAAACATAGGAACTGATATGAATTCATCTGCTCAGAGAATAAAATTTTATTTTAAAAATAATTTAATTCAAATCATTGTCCTTTTCCTTGTTATAAATCATGTCACAGCCTTCTCATTGCCTGCCTGTCCATATCACTTGCAAACTCACTTCTGTAGCTGGCACAAATGAACTGGACATTTCATCTTCACTGAGCGATGCCTGATCTTCCAAATTGTTGAGAATGCTTTCCAGTGTTGGGGTACAGTCAACTGGAGGAATGTCATATTCTGCATCATCAAGCTGAAAATCAAAAGTATGCACAGTATACTATCAACGGCAGCTAACTTACATAGTAAAACAAAAGAAGTCCTAGCAAGAATTTATGGTGCCTACCTTCCATCGAGTGTTTCAATCTACTGTCCACAGATTGCGAGCTGGCAAAGCAGTTGTGGTGGGAGAACAGGTGACCTTGGGCATTTTGCTATCATTTATGTAAAAATAACTTATGCTTGCGTTGTAAAGCACAGATGCAGTTTTGTCTTACCAATGCTTGTATGTATGTAAATGGGATGGACATCAAAGTGACTCTAGCACTGTGTGCACTAACTGATCTTTTGTACTTCTCCATTCTTCTAATGTGCCAGTAATGATGTGCTTACAATGAAGCACAGCATCCTACATAGCAATCTTTCATGATACTTGCTTGGTTTTAAAAAAATTCCTGCTTAAATAGCAAATACCTTGCAATCACAAGGCTGTTTCTTTATAGTACCTTCTGCAAATGGGGTGTTTACTTTTCTGAATTTGAAGGTGTGTCGCCTTAAGTGACAGTATCCTAGTAATATTCCTGTCACTTGTTTTATTTGGAACCTACTAAGCTTTGATAGCTTAATGGTTCTTTTAGCAGAGGACCCATCTAAGAAGCCCTTTCTACATTTCTGCCCTAAAGTGAACTGCCAATATTTATGGCATGTATCAACTCAGTCCCTGACAACCTGCCCTCCTACCCTCACAGAGATGTCAAAGGCTGGTTTAGGTCCTATAAATGGGTGAAGGAAACACCGGCCAATTGGTCTGCAATCTCATTGCCATTATGTCCTGGCAACCATATCAAACAAATTTCATTGAATTCAGCCAGGATCTGATGGCAATACCGGACCAACACTTATTCACAGTCGTTTTGGCCTGTTATAGTAGTAAACAGTTTTGTAAAACTGCCTCAACTCCCTCAATCTGTGAACAGTATATGATGAAGGTAACAAAAACTACAAATAAACAATTATACAATTTACTGGTCCACTTTTTTTAAGAACTGAGATTCGTTCATACTACCCAAGAATTACATTACTACACAAATATTCAGAACACGGGTATTATTTTTCTGGATAAAGACTGACACTAGGAACAAAGCTTTCTGGCATCCGGCAACAATAAATGGTACTTATGCCAAGAAACTACTAGCAAATGGTAACTGCGATTACAATGTTACTAAGGATGTTGAATAATTTTTTTCTTCCCCTGAAAGCACATTTCAGTTTTACTTATTGCTACAAATAGTGTTTTTTCAACGAAAATTACCTCCTCAATATTAAGATTAAGAGAGTCTGCCATCGAATTTTCTGACGTATCATTCACTAACATGCCTACAGCCTCAGCCATATTTAACCATGGACTGACTTTACTAGCACAAAAAAACTAGCAAATATTGTGCTGCTATCTATCCGCAGCGGTATACTACTATAAAACCGATCAGACGGTAACATTTAATTCTAAAGCCTAACCACCGCGAAGAGGTCAGTCTTTAACATAACCTACCATCCAATTTATTCAACCTACCTTCACATTCATAACAAAGGAATAAGCAATATCAGAATTCCGATGATAAATGTCTTCTGGGATATTTTTTTTTCAAATACTCCAGTAGAAATTGACCGACGTTGCAGAGGTTCACTGATGATGGAGGCAGTAGGGAACTCTGAAATGTCAATTTTTACCAGAACCTGCAATCTTACAATTCTACCAGACTACATGGTACAAACTCGCAAAATAATCTTGGTCCCTGATACTGTGGACAAAATTACTCTGTTTTTAAAAATAAATATATGTGAAATGGTTTAGCCACTATCACTACATTAGTAGCAATCAGAATAATCTTTCTCAACAGTTCCAGTACAAATATTTCATCCAAATCAATCAATCTAGAATTCCCTTACTGAAATGTACTGGAACATTTTATGACAATACTATATCACAGATAAAAAAAGTTTGGTTTTCATAAGCATTTCCAACAGTTGATACTGCTTAACCTTGATTGAAAAATATCTTATCATTACAGATATCTGTATTCAACCTCATAACTTTGGTTCACAACTTACACTTGAAAGTCACATAAAACACTGTTTCCAGTTAATATAACTTATTATAAATGACGTGTAACAAATAATACTGAGGTTTCCATTTATTATTCATATGTTTACCACTTTTACACAAGAAAAAGCCCAGTAAACCAGAGAATATTAATTACTATTTAAAAATCTCCAAGTAAACTGATTGTCTGAAGTATCTCTGCAACAAACCAAAGTAAAACATTTGCTAAAACACAGTTTTACAATACTAAAAATGATATTAAATATAGGCTGTAGTTTCTAAATGAAACCTAATTCTTGCAAAAACTGAAAATTTTCAAATATTATAATTATTCAGTTTTACTCCACAAAACCTGATACCAACAACAAAATGCATATGAAGTTAAATATAAGTTATGATAATAAAACGAATGAAATAGTGTCAACAACTAATTTCCTGGCCAACAAATTGATAAACTGGAGGACTTTATAACCCCCTTGGTTTATGTATAATATATTTAATGTGCGCTTCCTCAAGAGGTCTCAGATATTAAACTTGATGACATCATGTTGGTATGTACATATGTCCTCTGTCTTTAAATTAAGTTACATAAGCTATTAATTAAGTACATGTAGTGTAAAATTGTATCAAAATTGCTAGCTTAATTTCGGGTAGTCAAAACAAAAACAAATTCTAGCAAAATACTTAAATTTAGACCATACATTTGATTAATAAAGGATAGATTTGTAGCAAATCCAAGAATGAAGGTTCACAGTTACAATACCCTATTTTATATTATGGGGGACATATCAATTTGCGCTGATCTTTACACTAGCACCCTGGCACTTCTAGACAACATTCCAATTTGTCAGGTTACAGGTTCAATGTACACAGCAGCTCCTCATTTAACACACTGAATAGGGAGTGCTTTGTGCTAAATGTAGTTTACAATTAAAATAAAATTGAAGTTTATAAGATTTGAAGATTTCAGGATGACTGAATTTCAAGAGAATTATTTAGTTTCTATTGTTTCCCTGGCCATCAAGGCAAATGATGGACTGCAGAGATTGAGAAAACCACAAAAAGTCCTCATTTATGACAGCCAGTCTCCTGGCTCAGATCTGAAAACAGAACCTCCCAAATATGAAGCAGGAGTGCTAACCTCTTAACCATGACATTCAGCAGCAAAAAATTATCCATTGTGAATCACAGGTTAGCTCAGATCACAGTTTTAGAAGGTCTTCTGGATGGATATATTCATTCATTATTACTCTGTGTTTTTTAATGGCACTTTCATAATGCCATTTACTTTCAACTGTTTGTATCTATATGCACAGTAAAATTCATTTTTTTTGGAATAATGTCACTTCATTTAAAACAAATTACTAGTTAATTAATGCTGAGATTAATCACACATGCCAAAATCCATTTATTATAATTTACTAATAAATATTTACAGTGTATATTATAATATATTTAGGTGTTGGAAGGCACAAGAATCACAGTATGAGAACCATCACAAAATATAACAAAATTCATAAACTAACTAGTTATATAACATGAGCCAACTGAATCAGTATGAGTCATTGTTGACTATTCTATAACAACCTGCATAACATCAATATAAACATCTAAATTCACTATATAAATAATTTATTATTTTAAATCTGTAAGATAGAAACAAACTTTAACCCTTACTTGATGAGGTGATAACCATACAAAATATTAATATTGTTCAAATAAAACAAAACTGAGGTGCTGCTAGCAAATACAGCCAAGAGCAGGTGATAAACCACATGGCTGTAGGCATGACAAAATAGCAGTCAACCACAAGTTGTCCAACAGAATTGGTACATAATGAGGAAATGGGAAGTGTCACATGGTTAAAAGCCAGCACTGAAGGATGGCTGCCAATGTTCCAAGGACCCTGACATACACAGCACTATTATGGAACCCTCCAAGACCTACATGACACGCTCACGATGGAAGTTATGGTTTTGCACAACACTAATCCCAATGTGGCCACAATATCTAGGATATGTACTGTAAGGGGTTGGACCTTCCCCCACACAGCCTGGACCTGTCACCATGTATTTAGACTCTCCAGAAAGTCCTAAACGGCTGGAAATTTGAGTTTGATGAAGACATCAAGACTGAGGAGGTGCAATGCAATATCCGTGTTAACGCCTCTATTCCTTCACATCTGCAATTAGATTTCACTTCAGGAAGTCTTCGATATCAAATTCCCCCACCTTGTGATTCGTTTAGATATGGCACGAAAAGTTTACACATTAACCAAGCTGTACTTTCCTCCAATGCCTCAGTACAGAACACTGTTAGACAAATCATAGCTTCTCTGAATACATCACACAGTACCATGCTTATGCAATGCATGACCTTACATGTCACTGTTAAAGTATAAAGAAGGAACTAACATGGCAAAATAGAAAAGGAAATGTCCTGGATTTAATTAAGCAGGCATTTAATACAGAGAAATGGAGGTAATACCTCCACACATTCTGAATCTCAGAACTCATCTCCAAGACACCTTGCTAACTTTCTTGCATTACTAGTTCCAAGAACATGACACAGTATTATGTGAAATCAGATCCACATAAGGTAAAGAATATATGTAAGAGGATACAAACATCAAAGGTGTAACTGGAATTCAAACTGTACAATTCTGAAACTTCCTACCTTCATCTGTTGACTTAAGAAGACAGCTGGGTTGGTTAAGTAATATATTAATTTGGTAACAAAGATCATCAAAGCAAACCTGCATAGAATTTAAACTGTATACTATAAGAAACATACTAAACCTGATAGGTTGTTTACTTTGTTATGGAATCCAGTAAATGGTATAATAAGTGATTTGAAATCTACATCTGTTTTACAGAGATTTCCTTTATGAAGAATTTTGAGACCTGTGTTAACTATAATACCACAAGAGAGCATGAATATTTTTATATCAAAGACATGGCAATTACAACTACAAGTATTTTGTTGCCAGATATGCAACACATCAATGAAAAAGAACAAAGATGCAGTTTCTTTTATGGACATGTCTCCAAATGCTGAGAACATAGTATTCAGCTATGGGGTATAAAATCCACTTGATGAAGTCTCTGGCTTGCTCAAATTGCACTATTTCTATAAGAAACTCAAATTATTTAATTAATACAGACAATGCTTAAACTCCAAAATGATGTTTTACCAATCACTGTTCCAACATGGCTTTCAGTCACACAACTGTCAATCAATATGGAAAAAAGGTAAAGTGACATATGGTACTTATTGATGAATATCAGGTCATGCAAATGTGTGGGAAAGTGGATGTATAGCTTCCCCATTCTGGACCTCAGCATTAGATGGAAGTGAGTCATCAGCTTCACATCCCATCCACTATAACCCAATTAAAAAGATCTGATATCTACTGCATGCATCATATAACATAACCCCAAATATCTTAAATGTGGAAAGTTTCCTTACAGCATTGGGTGTGGGGGTGGAAGAATCTCTCTTGACCTTCACTTTAAATTCATTTCACTTTTGGCCAATTTTTATCCGTGGTACAATTAAGAGACAATGCTTGTATCTTTTTTAGTGCTGTCTTGGACAGACTTCCAATAAAACTAGTAAACTAGTCATTAAAGCTTTTGGAGCAACATCAAGACCAAATCCTATGCTGGTCAAGGATGTTTGTGTCCATCTTCATCATTGCCAATCATCCCATATTACTCTCATTTCAGGAGTTCTGACTCACACAAAGAGCAATTACAACAAAGATAGCTAAATATGGGGGATGATTTACAAGATTATAGGGTAGGTTGTCTGTAACTCAGTCCAGATTAAACTCACAAGAGGGACAATATACTCTTCAGCATATGTTACTGGATTTGCTAAAAACTGTAAAAACACTGTTATATGGCAGTTTCTGCTATATCTGTCTGAAGTGATTAGAAAATAAACCATTATATATTACCTCACTTCTGAACAAGATTTTCACAAAACATTATACTCAGTAAATTTTTAAAGGTAATATTACAAGTTCCAACAAGCAAACAGCATCAGAATTTCACTCTCTCCTAACACCTCCTAGTATCAGTCATGTAACAAAGAGTGCTGCATGAGCTTGTCCTTGCGACTAAAAGGTTTCTGACAAACTTTGCACTGGTGTGGCTTCTCTTTTGTGTGGACCAAGGAATGCCTGTTGAGATGATACTTATCTCTAAACATTTTACTGCAAATATCACACCTGTGTTGCTTTATTGGACTGTACTGCGGAGAATGGGGAACACATCTACAACAGTTACGAGGCATCTTGCACAATTTGCAGTCTGGAGCCGTTTCTCCGGAATGCACAGATAAGTGTCTTACTAGGTGATATCGGTCACGGAACCTTTTATTACAGAACATACACTCATGCTGAGCTAATTTTCTCCTACTTGCTAAAGATGTTTGAGATGCTGAACTCTCCTCTTTCAGAGTATCTATTCTACCATATTTCTGACTTCCTGACTCTGAGATGTGTTTCATTTTCCTCTTCTTCTTCTTCTTCTTCTTCTTCTCCTGAGGCAGTGGACTCAGTGGAATATCCCTTGATATCAATGTTCCATTAGCATTCAGATGTCCTCTTCTTTCCTTATTTTGCCTGCCATCTTCAGTATTCTGAGTACCAAGTACACCAGATTCCCACTCAGGACCATCAGAGTCTGTACATGAGGAGAAATCAGCTTTCACTTCAATATTCTCTGCAGACTTGTAGCTACTGCTACTTTTGGCACTGAGACTGGCATATGGGGATGACGATGCAGAATCTGAGTCATGGTCAGCATTTGCCTGTACAATGCATACAGACCTTATGTACATTGCAAAATGTACACCTACTATCAGTAAATTAAAGAATGCAGTGATGGTTATGCCTTTACGATTATTTTGTTGCTAGTATAGAATTACTATAGGGAGCCACAAATACTAAAATCTTCATAAACAAATTCAACAAATTAAGCTAAAAAATTCAATAGCTATTAGAAGGCAGGCAGGTACAAGCAGGGTTGTACCATGAATTTTGTTTTAAATAAAGAATGAGGAACCTAGTTACAAATAAAAGTAATTATAAAGTGTATTCTGTCAAAGGTCAGTGGTTATCTACAAGGGCTTGCATCCATACCCAGCTAATACAAAGAATAATGAGGTCATTAGTTCCATTCGCCTTAACTGAGATATGCATGCATTTATTCAAAATCTGTAGTGCCATATTAAAGCAAATAGTAACAGCTTCTAAAATGATTTCAAGTTTACTCATAATCAAATGGTACAGGTCAATCATAACCAGGAAAAGAAAAGTGCAGGCCTCCAAAAATACAATATATGTAAAAGTTTTCACTCAAATTTTGGGTGAAACTGTATTAATTACAATTTCTAATTAATTGTATTTGTTCTGGAATAAAACACTTCCCATCATCGCTAGCACAAATTTTGTCGTCTCTGCCATCAGAGGCAGTTCTGTGTAGCAATACAAAATGAAGGAGAACAGAGAACCAGTCTCATTGATACTAGTACTTCATGCATTTTGCCTAAATCTATTAAATTTTGGCACTATAAGAATTAACAGTAATGGGCTTCAACACTACATACCGCACAGTTGAATAAATATACTTACAACATATTCTTGAAGAGGTGATGATACATCCACTGCCTTCTCCATAGTTAACACATGTACAGGATTCTATTAAACTCCTGCAGAAAACTAAACATTCTATAGATTATTAACCCACATTTTTAAATGTCAACTTTGTGGCTTTAAGAAACTGGTGGCAATAATAATAAAACAGTAATTTTTATAAGTTGGGAAAGCAGCAATTATGATTTATTTGTGATACACTCATAAAATTTGTCTTGGAGGAAAGAAGCAATACTATGAATGGGATAATATTCAATATTTAACATATTTAATGGTGACCATCCACTAAGAATCCAAATCCACAGGATATCTTAGCTTTGTACTACCATCCTTCTGCAACATAAGAAATTTAAAAATGAAATAAGAACCTCAAATCCTGCTTCCATGAATTGCTATCCACTGTCCACCCAAAATTTATTAATTAAATTCATACATATGGACATAACTTGTGAAGACATTAGGTTAGGCTGAGTTTGGTAAGAGACATGTGCAGACGATCATGCGCAATGGGGTCATTATTATTCGACCTCACAAATTCAAGCACGTATTATGTTGGTGTTATCAAGTTTTCGAATTTAAAAACTATTTGTTTAGAATGACAACACACATCATAACAACAATGCCAAATTTAATAAATTACGGTCCAGCCATTTTATAGTTATAAAATGCGTGCCGTGTAATATCACTAAATGGGTAAGGTTAGGTTACATAGGGTTAGGTAAGAGATGTGCACGCACAAACCATTATTCGCTCTGGCGTCATCGTTATTCCACGTCACGGCTTTGAACAAAGATCACGCTGCTATTACAGCATTTTGAAATCTTAAAATTACTTGCTTACAGTAACGACATATGCTTAGAGCAGCAACATATGGCACAAAATCCATACCATTTTTAATTAATGTTGGTCCAGCAATTCTGTAGTATCGAAAGCGTGTCGTCGGTTATCACTTGCTAACGGATTACGTTAGACGTAAACATTTAAAATCTATAAACATGGAGTAGCGACGTATGGCATAATGTCTAAATGAAAATTCATTAATTTCTTTAGCGCCATCCTGTGATTATTAAATCTTCAGGTAGTTGCAACCTGTCGCGGATTACGCTGAGTTGGGTCGGGTTAGGTTAGTGATGTGAAAACGCAGACCATGGGCATTGGTATTATAATTATTCCACCAACAACTTCAAGCGTCACACTGCTTTAACTGCGTAAAGGGATCAAAAACCCACATGTTTGTGTTGGAGTAGTAACCTGTGGCATAACGCCCATTAGAAATTTGATTATGATTGTGAAAGACGAAAAATTACATCACACGAAATTTATGTGCACTTCCTGCACATTACTTGCCAGACTTACAAATCACAACCCGAAACAGTATTAAAATTTACACCAACATTGCCTTCAGTGAAAGGTGTTCAAAAAAGATTCTTAAACCGAACCTCAATTCCCAAGTTTTCAACAGTAATATATATTGTATAACAAGTTTTAACGTTCCATTTTCCCTTTATAAGTAGCGTGCTACTTGCTGTATTGATAATTTTATTTTCCACTAATTTTGTATGTTCCTTTCAACAAATAAAGTTCCTCTATGCTAGAATTCACATTAACAACGCACTCACCTCGTCCACAACTACATACACGTCAGGTACACTGCCTCCCAGAACAAATGTACAGTTCCACAGATGGACTGTTTTCTTTCGAAGAGAATTGGATATAAGCATGGCCTTCTATGTGAGTTTTTACAGGTGTTGTACTTCAATTTGTAGCAACGTGTTGCCCAAACGTTAATACAATCGTTTGGTTTTGACGAAACTATGGTTGGCACGTAAGATTTGAGGTTTTCACAGCGGTGAGTATTAAGATTTCTGTCTTCTGGTCTTCATCGTTGACAACTTTATACAGCGTATTTGTCTCAGAATTCCAAGTTTTAATAATATGTGGTCCCTGCTTCCACCCACAATTCAGTTTTAATCCGTTTTTATAAAAATTCTGGGATTAAGTAAACTACCTCCCCTCAGGGGCTCACAAGTGAGTCCAGGTCCTCCAGGTTAGGGGTTGGGCAATAGGTTAACAATCTATCCCAGTAAAAAGAAACTGCAAGGCACAAGCCAAGACCTGATCTGGATTGTAGTGCACTTGAGCCAGTTTTTCTATTAATAACCTTTGTTGACTAAGGCAACCAACAGCTTCTAATGATTTTAAAGGCTATTGATTAAACACTGCATAATCATCAGCAAATACTCATTACACTGGAGATTTGAACTGTATGAAATCAAGTATCATTTTACCATTAAATCTCATGGTAATCTGTTTACAAGTGTGGTAAATAAATTTATAAATATGTAATACAGAAAATAAATCTTGAGAAAGTGATACTAGCTCACGTAGTCAAACTCCTGACCTTTTATGAAACTGGAAGTTTCTATTACCATATAGGTTTTTATCCTGCCAATTACAACCAGTCCACACCCTCCCTCCACAAGATTTGAGGGTCTTATGACCTCAACCTTTTGTAACACCATGTACAGGTATATACTGTTTTAGAGAATGTCTTCATCTTCCGACACAAAATTCTAATTTGTTACTCTACCAAGTATGTACAAGCATACGCAACTTAAATTTTCAATATATTCTAAGAATGCATTAATTCCCTGAAGTGTACGAGTTGTTTATTAAGAAAATTACTTTCCCTCTGCTTGACTGCAAACTTAAAACATCTCCAAGAACAGAACACAAGGAAGGTACTTCTTATATACCCTTGGTTAGCATTAACAAATGATGGGGAACATTTATTTCAACTGACAAACAGTATTTAACACTGGCAATATCTTGTCCAAATATGGGCAGAATGAAATGCAAGCAATGAACTGATTCATCATCTTCATATTTAATACATGTGCCATCTTCTGTGGCTAGACACAACGTAAGGGCTTGGGGTCAACCAACCCTATTCTATTTTTTTTAAATAAACACAGGCATCCACATTCTAGACCAGGGGTCATCAACCTGGTCCCTACTGCCCACTAGTGGGCAATTCAACCTTTCATGGTGGGTGGTGGGTTTTTTTTGGCCGTTGTTACAAATTTTGTTCTTCCTCCATATATCGAATACTTTGCTAACAACTTCGCGAGTTTGACTTTTTAAAATATGCTTTTGCAATTTACTTTTGAATTCCATCTCTAACCTTTGAATATAGATAATAATTCACCGGACACTTGTCGAAGTATACTCGTGGACGAGGGAGCAACGAATGAGCACCATAGCCAAAGGCACGAGTTTAGTGTGCATAACAAGGGCGGGGCTTACCACCGGCCATCACTGTCTTCGAGCTGTACCACTTTCATGGTGGTGGGCAGTACATGCGGCACCGGTGGGCGGTAAGGAAATTTTACCATCAACAAAGATACAAAAGTGGGCGGTAGGTATAAAAAGGTTGATGACCCCTGTTCTAGACCATTGCTAATTAACCCATCAAAGCTTAATATCCCAATTACATCTCCAAAGTTCTAACATGAACCACACTTTTCAAGTCTGAAATCACGGACTGAACCGCACAAGTCACCTGCTGTGGATAATACTTAGAACTATTTCTTTTCATAAATAAGTCTGAAGAAACATATTATAGCATCTACAAAGACTAATGACACACTGAATATTTTTACTTGTATCACAATGGTTTTTCTAATATTAAAACAAATTATACAACCAAACACAAAATACTTTTACAAGTACAATAAAGCGTAGCATTTTATAATGTGTAGATTTATTTGAAACACACCACATAACCTGAAATGGCACAGGCCCCCCTCCCACATGCACATCAGCGTTCAAATTAAAATGCATAGCGTGTACGAATATCTTCTAGTTTCTTCGATACTTCACTTGGAGTGCGGTCCAAATCATCAGCAATACTCTTTTGCTTGGCTATGTCTATGGAGTTGAACTGTTCACACAAGTCTCCATCCAGAACATTCTGCAAAGGCACAACACAACTTTCATTATTTAACACCATGTTTAATACAAAAGTATAACAACATCCTGCCAACCAGCAAAACTTTCTGTATCTGAAAACATCAACAGCAGTAAAAAATTGTGAGCCTTCACACACGTTTATATATATATATATACACACACACACATACAAATAAAAACTCTAAGCTCAAAAAGCTTACAGAAAAATCACTGTAATTACCTTAACAGGATAATAATAAGAGCGGAATGAAAGATGATCCCGACCACATAATGGAGGGTTCTCAGACCGCATGTGCATTTCCAAATGCTGGAAGAAGTCCTGGTCCTCATGTGATGTGAAAGGTACCAACACACCCACTGTACCAGATAGTGTTGTGTACACCAACGATTCACTGCCACCAGGAATCAGAGTTGCTCTCTGCAATGTGCAGGAATTACAAGACACAATATAACAGCAATGCAACTGTACACTACCCAAGATAAATCACAGCAAAATCCCCATTTTATTATCCCTGGAGGTATAACATTTTATGCAGATTCTACCAAGTTGCTCAAAGTTTACAAAACTCCTGCAAACAGGTAACCAAAAAGGAAATACTATATAAACTGAAATGGGAATGGGAAATAAAATGAAACAAACACAGCAATTGCCAATATTACCTGCAATGACATGCAGATTTCTCCCACATGGAAGTTAGCAACAATACCAGCTTTTTGGGCAGCACCATTTAGAAGTCCACGATCCCATAGTGCTTTGTTCCCTGTTGGATCTTCATCTACATCATCTGTTACATTTCCTGTCAGACGGATCTTTGGGCAGACACACAAAAAATAAATATTAGTATGAGAAGGGAAGTTTGTTTTGTAAAAGAATACATGTATAAATAGTTGGAGATCAGCACTTTGAAAAAAATCAATAAGAAATTCATAAACACGGACCAAAGTAGAATCATCATGTCTCCAATCAATTACGTTGTCAAGAATACAATTTATAACTCGCTTTCAAAAACATCCTGTAAGTAAGTTCAGTAATATGGAATGGCAGCATGAACTTGCAACAAAATCAATGCAATTTTTTTTAAATGTTTCAAATGGAAATATTAGTGTCAAACAAGTTGGAAATATGTTCATGAATTAGGGTTAAGAATTTACAGAAAAGTGTTGCCTATTTCACAGTTAACATGCATGTTTCTTACTTGATACAGTATTTACTGAGCAAAAACTGGAAACTTCTGTAATTTCAATTCAGGCACATATGCTCACTGCTGACAGAAAATCTGAAATCATCTAAGCATTATCAAATGGTGGGCAATTGCTCATTTATGTGGCAGGTGTTTCCCCCAAAATTACGTAAATGTACATTTCAACATACTACATATAATCTGAAACACAATGCAACATAAGAAACAAAGTGATGTCTTACAACTGCGATATTCCCAAATTTGTCAGCTGTTGCTACAGTATCAAAGTCAAGGACTGTGGCTATTGTTATCCAACGTGGATGAGTGTCATCAGCAAAAATGATGAGCTGGTTCTCTTGTCTCTTGTACCGCACCATATACAAACTTTCTTGTACATCAGACACAAAGATACGACGCCCCATGGCTTGGATATTCACTATCAGATTTGGGATATGCTGAGAAAGATAAAGAAAGTATTATATATTCAATCAATATATTTTATAAAACATTTAATACATGAGGCATGCACAGAAAACCTCATCAGAATTATGTTGAAATCATGATTATTTCATTAGTCTAACATGTTTCAAGCATCATATGAAGATTACTGTAAACTGTGTGAAAAGTGGGTAACCCATTACAGGGAAACCTCCATTTAATGTTCCCTGACTTAAGGTTTTCCCTCATTTATTGTCAAATTTCAATAATTCAAAGTCAAATTATCTCAATGTTAAGTTTTGTCTATTTAATGTTCACTAAAAAAGTCACACTGAACAGTAACGATCCAGTATATTCCTCCATCCAAATGCAAGGAATTAAAAAAAGCAACATTTTTCAGTTTCTCCAGAAATTATACATGGTTATTCATAATTCTCCGACACATTACGAAAAATCGCTAACTTGAATGGTGCAATGCACAAAAAGAGAAACTCTCCAAGTTTATTTTATATACTTCATAAATGCTCTATGTGTCCGCCCTTTGTGACACGGCAGGCGTTAAGCCAATAATCCATTTCTGCCCATACTCAATGCAGCATGTCTTGATCGATTTGTGAAATGGCAGCAATGATAAGTCTTCATAGCTCAGGCACATCTCGTGGCAGAGGTGGTACAAAGACCTGGTCCTTAACATACCCTAAGAATAAAACCACACGGCCTCAGGTCAGGTGATCGGGGTGTCCAAGGAAGCAGCACATTTTTATTGGCAGCCACGTGTCCAATCCAACGTTGTAGAAAATGCTGATTGAGGTAGCAGTGGATGAGGCGGTGGTAGTGTAACAGAGCCCTATCTTGCTAATAAATGAAGTCATCGTTGTGATCATGAAGCTGCAGTATTAGCCATCCCTGCGTCATCTCAAGATAGGACATGCCAGTGATGGTTGTCTCAGAGAAGAATTGCCTGTACACATTCTCTCTGTATACGGCACAGAAAACGTTTCGGTGAATCCTAAAAGTGCTCAATTGTACCATATGGGTTTTCACTTCCCCATACCCGCACATTGTCTGTTCACCTTCCCATTGACGTGAAACGTAGCTTCGTCATTGAAAATCAGTTTTTCAGTCATCCTTCAAGTGCTGCTGCAAACTTGGAGAGTTTCTCTTTCTATCGACATGTCGCATGTTACCATCCTTTGCACCATTCAAGTCTGCCAGGGAATTATGAATAACCTGTATACTCCCAAGATAATTTTACCCACAGCTACACAATTATTAATATTAATTTATGTCCTTACCTTGTTCTCACATTTCCGAAGAAGTTTTTTCCTTCCCATATCATACAGACGTAACATGCGGCCAACCCCCACCAAGATACGGCCTTGGAATGGAGCGATTGCCGAGGGAACTTCATCTACTGGAGTCTTATGGACCAGTTCCAAATGTGTGCAATCTGCATTCACTCTGTTCAGACAATTATATTTGCTATACAGACATTATTATAAATAACTATAATAAGTATCCAAAACAGACTCAGCAAGCAAGCTCAGTTTGTGAAAATTATGAAAACATTGTATAGTATAATACGGTTAAATCACGTGACCCAAATCTCCAAAAGCAAAAATTTTTAGGAAGCAAAAATCATATTTGTTACCATATAAAATAACAGTTAAGAAACTACCATAAAATAATTTCAGGACTACAAATACGAGGTGCGATCGGAAAGTTTCAAGACTGTGTCAATAGATGGCGAACCGGATGTAGTACGAGCTTCTGCCACTAGGGGGTGCGGCCTACATTCATAGTGAACCAGTGTGCCAGCCGGCATCATCGAATTAGCATTTGTTTCTTAGTTACGGGCGTTTTGGTAGTGCATTACACCGACCCTCCTGCGATTTCGGAATGGTGTGCGCATCAAATTTTGCCAAAGACTCGCCAAAACGGCTACGGAAACCTATGAAATGCTAAAGCAAGCATTTGGGGAGTCCGCAATGGGTCGTGCACAAACTTTTGTGTGGCATTCACGAAGACTGCGCCTATAAAAACTCGTACACTTATCTCAGGTATTAAATTCATCCATCACCCTCGAAGTAGTTCTCCTGGGAGTGAACACAACGATCCCAGCGCCGCTGCCAAGCCTGGAAGCATCCCTGGAAATCTTTCTTTGTCAGCCTGTCAAGCACCATCTGCGATTCTGCCTGAATCTCTTGCCAAAACGGCTACGGAAACCTATGAAATGCTAAAGCAAGCATTTGGGGAGTCCGCAATGGGTCGTGCACAAACTTTTGTGTGGCATTCACGTTTTAAAAATGGCCGAACCTCTGTCGATGATGACGAGCGTTCTGGACGACCATCTTCGAGCACAACGCCCGAAACTGTTACGAAGATCGACGTCGTACCATCAACGACTTGTGCGACCTTGTTGGGATAGGCTATGGGACCTGTCCGCTGATTCTAAAGGAAGAACTCCACATGCGACGGATCATGACAACGCGCCAGCGCACACCGCCCTCAAAGTTCGGCAGTTTTTGGCCTCAAACACCATGGCCGTCATCCCGCCCCCTCCTTATTCGCCGTGTGACTTCTTCCTCTTCCGAAAGATGAAAATTCAGCTAAAGGGAAGGAGATTTGAGACGATAGAAGAGATTCAGGCAGAATCGCAGATGGTGCTTGACAGGCTGACAAAGAAAGATTTCCAGGGATGCTTCCAGGCTTGGCAGCAGAGCTGGAATCGTTGTGTTCACTCCCAGGGGAACTACTTCGAGGGTGATGGGTGAATTTAATACCTGAGATAAGTGTACAGGTTTTTATAGGCGCAGTCTGGAAACTTTCCGATCGCACCTCGTATGCCTTCTCCCTCGTCTGAAAAACCGCACTTTTGCAGGTTGAAGTTTTGATATATGTCAATTATAAATACTATAAACATCAACCACTATAAAAACAATTCTACAGAAGTACTCAAATTAACTGTTCAGTCAATCAAAATATATTCACTAACTTGTATGTGTATAGGAAACCTCCTCCAACCTGACGAGGATTCAGCTGCAGCTCTTTTGCTACTCCAACAACAACAAACTGCTGGTTATCAGCTTGGTTTGCAAACTTAACCAAGGCAATGCTAAAATGTAAAGAATGAAGAGCAAATGGTATACTGTTTCAGACAATTCACATAAGAACACAATCTCCAGACACTTCCAAAACCTTTATTGTCAGATGGACACAGCCTATGCACTATCCAGTTAACTGTGCACACTACAGGCATTAAATTCTCTTTTCCCATATGAGAGGTTAATAAATGAGTCAGTTCTCAGCTTTCATGGAACAGAATGAACGTTATCGCCTAAATTAGCATGAATTAAATCACCATATTACGACATGGTGCAACTGCAGACAGATGCAAGAGCATCTACTCATATGTCCAAAAATGAGCGAATTCTGTACAAAACAGGATTTGATGTTAGTTAATGACAAGGCGATTATCACCGCAGAATTTTTTGAAAATAATATTTAGGAGTTGCCAGCCACAGAAATGAATGAATGACCATATTACAACAAAACTTTCCCTTTCAACCACGAATTCATTCAAAGCTGTCCGTAATTTAAAACGTTACATTCCTTCAACATTCGATGTAACTGACAAAGTTCACTGTCAGTTCTGTGTCAGTTACAGATCACTTCCCTCTGAACTACTAAGCTATTATGTTGTCTAGGAATTCTTTTTTACCTCAGAGCAGCTTCATTTTGATCTAACTTTATGAGTTGCTCTGTCCTGCCTTCAACTGGATCCAACACACGAATTACAGAAGCCCACATTCCTGGTCCTGCCTTGGGGGCACTGAACACACTTTCTGGCAAGTCCTCATTCAAAAAAGCCTCTGCCATTTCACGAGCAAGCTCCTGCTCCTCCTCTCCAGCTGCTTCTTGCATTTCCTGCAAATATGCCAGTGTACTATACAACATGCAGGCACGTGTTCCTAGCAAATTCCTCAAGAAATTACAACAGAAATCAGAACTGCAGGACTTTACATCAATGGCAAGTCAGTAGTACATGTAATGTTTTCATCATTTTCTCTGTAGCTGTCTACAAATTTAGGCACAAACACTGCAACAATTCTTTGATACCTACAGTTTTATAGATATATATTAGTATAAGACCTGGATCTTTGAAACCGTCTTTTGTTTTTATACATTAATAACACATTTTCAAATATGTGCAGCTCACATGCAATATTACAATGGATCTACATACCTCGGCCATTTGTATTCGTCTCTGTTTCTTTGTATCTTCAGTGTAAGCATTATGTTCAGTTTCTGTAATAATAAGGTGAGCAGACTCCTGGTGGATTACAAATTTACGAGGTGTGTAGTCCACTGGGAAAGATACCTGCAAAACCGAAACTAAATATTTAACACAATGTGCGACCCAAAATATTAATCACTGAATTCATAAAACTAATATTTTATGAAACACAAAGTATCAACAGTTTGCTGATATTGCACAACCAAATTTGAGAGCCAGTCAGTTACCAAATTGTTATCATTTTTTAGATAAAACACAGATTAACCAGTGAATCATTCCATGGCTACCATCAGACCTATGTGTCATGAACAATTCCAAATGTCACTAAAGAGATACATTGTGTCAACAAACTCAAGTTATCATCCATTAATTACAGTTACCAAGGTAAACAGACATGTATATGCACCCCGTCCCCCATTTCAAAATTTTACAGTAAATAGTGTATCCACAATGATGTATAAACAGAACTTCACCAGTGACAAAAACATCACATAAAACAAGATCTACAATTCCTGCACCTTCATTACAGTGAGCAATATTCCTAATTAGAAATGACTTTTCTCCACAAATTTTTGCAGAGTACTTCCAGATATTTATTGCTGGTGGTCCCTGAAGGCATCATTAATACTGATGGTATCGGGATCATTGACCCACCGTCTATCGGCAGCACTTGCTGACTGATGCTCCACTGCTACAGCTTTCCTCACTGTGTACGTGTCCTTTTGCATGGGAGTCATTTCATGATTCAGAGAGTAAGCTCTGGCTTCAAAATGTTCAAGTCCCCCTAAAGTCCTCACATACACTGGACACACAATATCTAAAGTCTGGGCTACATCACAGCAAAAGGGGAAGGGAAGGCAGAAAAGGCAATGAGGAAGCAATACACCCTATGCACCATTATTTCCCCTTCCTCCCCGTGCCTCAGGATTCATAATGATGTATGTATTTATAATGGACAACAAAGCTCAGGTATCTTGTGACAAGTATAAACAGGAGAATACATAAGCATGAACACTTAAATATCAAGCTTGAATACATGCCTGAAGTTGGCTGTTCATCACAGAAAATACGAATATGCCACGGAATGACTTTTTTTTGAACAAGCATTATTCAAAACTCACACCAAGGTTGCACTGTATAAATAAACTGAAACACACACCTGATTGAATACTGCACCCAACTTCTCCAGAGCCAATATACGAAGTGTATTTGTGGAAATGGCAACAACTCCCTCTGGACACTGTTCTGATGAGAAGCCTGAAGCATATTCCAGTGACTCATATGACAACGGAGTCAGGTGGAAACGATTCTGATAATAGTAACTCAACCATGATCGGCTTGACATGGCCAAAACCTGTGAAAGAGAAGATCAAATTTGATGGAGACACAATATCACAATAGGTGTTGCAAATTTGCTACTTTATCTTCTTCCTAAGATGTCTCCACCTTACGTGGGGCACCTACCAACCAAACCTCCCCATATTACAATCAAATGTAACAAATAAAAAGTATTTCAGAACTGTGATCAGATATAATTATTTAATCATGTTGTCAGGTGAAACACGGAAGAATACATCACATCACAGCAAGAGTAAGAAATTCTTCTTAAAGAAATACAAAGAGCTTCTCAATAAGAAAACATGAAAATCCTAGTTGCCAAGATAAATTATGTAGAACCTTCTCATGATTTATTGTATATCACTAATTCACTGCTTGGCAATTCTGAAAGCTCTATATAAACATTTTGAAAACATATTTCAAATTAAAATGCTTCAAGGTTATCATGGGCTGCCACACATTTGTGGAAGTTTTGAAATATACTACTTTTATTCTGAACTAGACAAAAGGTTTCAGTCCTTTGGAAAAGACCGCAACCATTTAAGACCATTTTATTTACCAACACCATAAACTTTGTTCTGGGGGTTTCCTAGGGAAGGACCTTGCATATATGAGAAGATACAATGACCATATGACTTCAAGTCCTCCCCCTGCTACATTACTAACTGCAATACAGCTATTAACTTTTTACACACTTTCAATTATATGCGTAAGGGAAAAGTGGGACAAGAGAAACACAACTTCACAATTAAATGTACAAATTCTCTTGTACCTTGTTCATGTACAAATGCAAATATTCTGAAAACACTCACAGCCTCACTGCCTTGCATTCTGATGCGGAATAATTTTACAGGACGAGATCCAAGGTATCGTGTCCGTGTATCTGCCAAGTCACCCGTGACTTGATCCAATACTGTTCGTAGCAACACGCCATTCTGCAGACCTATATTGAGATACAGTGAACCAGTTGTCCCAGGTTCACCTTCACCTCCTGTTTCACCTGCACCCATCTCTACTATACAAAGAGATTCAGCAGCTGCAGGAAGAGCTTGCATACTCAACGGGGAAAGGCAGTCCTGTAAAAAAATCATCTCTAGCCAAAATCCCACATAAATGACATTGCTTTCCATACCACCTATTACAACAACAATTCATACAATGCAGCTGTTTCTTTTTCACAAGTTAATTAAATTTAAAAATGTCTGAACTTCAACTAACTGCCTTATACTTCACATTCCTAAGATTCAATCACAAGTTAACATAAGACATTTCTTTAACTACTGTTGTATTTACAACTACAATTTCGAGTCTTTCACGTAGATGTATCAAGAATTTGAGGAGAAATGTCAAATTTCAAATTCTTAAATTATGCAAGTCTTGAGTCAACCTGCAGACATTTATCAGGTCAAGTCTACTGATTTAATTTCCACATTTTGTGCAATCAAGGAAAAACCGATAAACAATAGAAAAACTGGTTTCTAGAACACCCACAACTTGAAGACAGTTAAAAATCATGCATACAAACAAAAACTGTTTACACTTTAAAAAGACACCTAGTGCCCAACGTGTTTCGACCTCAAGAGGTGATCATCAGTGGCAAACAAATTAATTCATACAATTCATAAGATGATGGTTTGTTATAAAGCATAAAAGGTCACACTTTATAAAACCATACTTTATGCAATACCATACTGGGCATTAATTGCACAAGAGGTGGTATATTATCTAAACTGAGCTCAATTGCATAAAGTGCGACCTTTTACGAGTTATAACAAACCATTGTCCAATGAATTGTATGTTTTAACATGAATTAATTTGCTTGCCACCGATTATGACCGCTTGAGGTCGAAATGCATTTGGCACTATGTGTCTTTTCAAAGTGTAAACAGTTTTTGTTTGTATGCATAATTTTATCTATCAATACACTGCACGGTATGCAAGGTTAAAATACCACATCTTCAGGAGGGTGATAAAAACTTACCAAGGGATCAAGAGAGATGATGCGCACTGTGTTATCTGCCAAGCCCACAGCAAGGAAACGAGACCTCTGCTCTCCAGCAGGCACATTTGCCAGTGCCATACATACTGCCTCAGATGGCATCTCTTTGCGTTCTGTGTATTCGTTAAGTTGTCCTGTCTACAAATCAACATTCCATGTAAATGTGAGGCAAGAGCTATAGTTGCCTTTGAACATTTTTTTCATGCATTCATATCCCAAACAATTACAAAATGAAGTATGTAATTAGTTCCAAGAGGAATATGTCAAATAAGACTGCTTTGTTAATGAACATAATTATATGGATGACTTCATTAAGGCTATTTCCTTTCTTATTAGAAAACAACTCTACTTTAAAATGTTTGGAATTCAAAGTGTAATATTCTTGCTACTCCGGTGACATGCTTCTTGATACTTAAACTGTAAATTAAAACAGTGCTCTGAACTTACGGGGTCCATTTCAAAGTACACAAGTTCTCCACCTGTTAGAGCTATAACAACTTGACGCTGGTTCACAGCACATTTCACTATAGTCTTTTTCCCAGGCGTTTTCCACTCATTTACACGCTTATCTGCACGGATGTGACGAATACCATCTGGGTATACCTGGGGAAAATAAGTATCAAATTGTGAACTATGGCATGATTAATAAATTCACAATTTATACATTTTACTAATAATCATGAACATATGGACACACATACCTGCACCAGAGCATCCTCTCCAAGAGCCGAACAAGAGAGAGTGGGCGTGGTGCCAAGAAACCCAGAGTCTGTTACTTCCTCAACAGTTTCACCAATTGACAATACCAGAGTAGCATTAACGAATGACACAATGATGTATGCATCATATTCTTCTGTAAGAACAGCAACACAGCACTTCACATATTTAAGAATAACACACACACACACAATAATATAGAAAACAAATTTCCTCACACAAGAATTCTTTTAAAGACCATCAACTCATAATACATCATCACACATTTTGAAACTCAGGAACTTAAACCCAACTAACCCACGAAAGACCAACAGCAGTTTATCAGACTGCCATCAAACACAAATGTTAATTTATACTACGGTTACTTTGAAGAAACAAAAAATACAATTTCTTGGGAATGTTTATTACATTCTCACGTACATGACAGCTATAAACAAAACATGGTGAGATATACACAAGGACTTTCCTGAATTGTTTTGCACAAAATTTTCTGCAGTGTGGGATTTTTTTTAAAATGTAGCAAATGCATTATGGCTAAAATGGCTATTTACATAATATTACACTATAGATCTTCTAACAAAGCACTGCTCTCCCCAGCTTATGGATTCAGCAGGCCAACAAAATACCACAAAAACCAGATTGTGACCCTGCAATATTTTGGACAACCTATGCCATGGAAAATGAATAGATCTGAAACATCAGAAATCATGTTCATTGAAAAAAGTAAAAAGAAAATTATCAAAACACAAGCTAAATTTAATGGGAAAAGGCATAACACTGAACCAGCATATATAGTTTCCTATACCCGTTGTTTTATACCAACACTTACTGCCTGGCTGCCATATTATTACTGTGAGAGATGGGGCCAAAAAAGTGTATGCAGTAATATTAGAACGCTGGCCTTGTAATCCTGGGGTCCCGGGTATGATTCCCGGCGGTGCCCGAATTTATAACTTGTGTTGGGCAAGGCTGTGGTCTAGGCAACACGGAGTTTTCCTCCGTGGCATCCCAACAATTACTCCATTCACACACAGAAGAAGGCAATGGCAAACCACTTCTGTATCACCTGCCTAAAAAAACATATATGAACAGGTCCCAGTCCGAGAAAAGGATGGAAGGATCCTGTTCATAATATGTCGCCAACCTCCTGTAAAGGAGATGGTGTAATAAAGAAGTAATATTATGGCAGTCAAATGCAATGCTACCACTCCAGTCAAACAATTATGGCTCATGTATAAAGTGAAGCTTTCACGGCGGCTGATGTTGATGAAGATTCTTGGGTTACAAGTCGCGTCAGGTGGGTGAACAGTGAATAAACAATATCTTCTGCAGTTTCGAGAGCAGATATTGTTCTCGAAACATTGACAGAAGATATGGTTTATCCACCGTTCAGCCACCTGACGCGGCTTGCAACCTGAGAATCTTTCATCAATTATGGCTCATGTCTTGCAGTACAGCCACTTACCTTAAGATTCCAGTACCTTACAGTAGAGTTGCAAAATATGAAACAGCCAAATATTTTTTGATCGGCCATGACATAACAGTGCACTTAATCCGATTAATACCTATGATTGTAGCATTATAAGTGTTAAAGAGAATGCAAATTGTGTATGTTTGAAAAAGAGGTCAGAATGAAATGCCAGGATAAAAAATTAAATGGGAGCTTCAAAATTTGCATTCATAAATCATTAATAGTATCATAAAATCAAGGATGAAATTAATGGGGCATGTAGCACACATGGGAAATGTGAGGAATTTATATATTACCCGAGATACTTTATCTCCTTAAGAAATCTGCTTCACGTAGTTAGTTCTAGTAGTGATTGCCCAGCAAAAATAAGTAACCACAGTATTGAATTTCTCTGATCTCAGCTGATGAATTTTCTCATAGGCTACACGAGATGGAAAGTGTGAACTCTGCCCACTAATGGCACATGCTACTTTTTGATATAAAGAGTTAAGAACACTAAATTCCTCTTTATGGAACAATTGTTTTTGGTGGAAGAGCTGCTCCCACTTCATTATGTCTTTCAGATCCTTACCTCTTCTTCAATTCCCACAGAATCCTCCACTATATAGCTCCCAGGTAGCCTGAAAGAAAAACCAACTGGTGTTTGATAGATTGTATCAAGTCCACCAGTTTTATTATATTCTACTTTTATTACAGCATAATTATGGTATGTATGAAATGGGAGTAACCACTTCCATAATTTAGACAAGCCAATCACAAAATACATGCATTTTCTAACCTAGACAAAGAAATAAAAAAGAAGACTGGAATAAAAAAATCGAACAGCTAAAATTTTAAATATTACCTTTAAATGTAAAAAAATAGAATAAAATGAACTCCCTAAAAGATAACACGGTATAATTAAAATTAGTCAACAGCAACTGCAAGTAAATTTGAAAGTATGTGCCAATGTGTATGGTTTAGAACACAACAAAGTCAGTCAGCAATTCTCAACACGTGAATATTTTTTCTAAATCAAGATGTTGTGTAGTCTGGAAGGTGGTAACCATTGTTTCAGAGAACTGTACTGCTTCAATCTCAGGAAGCCCCACTTAATGGTATCTGCACCTTGTCCTGGTGGTGGGGCTTGAGTACCTCAGTGACCCCAAGAGCTATGCTGGCAGAAGCATAGCTACTGGTAGGGCATCCCTAGCCAGATTGGTTGAGGGGGAGAGGTCAGACTAAGACAGATAGGTTGGTCGCAAGGTTAACAACCTTGCACCGTGAAAAGGAAGATGTTTTGAAACCTCAATCAAAGCCTCGGACAGACAGACCTAACAGAGGAGAATTGAGGAGGCCATGGACTGAATACGGACCGGAGAGCCATAGAAGAAGAGAAGAATCTCAGGAAGACCTCATACTTTTTTGTCCTGCTAATTTCAGTGACACTCTCTCAATTATATGATCTTTATATTATTATAAACACATTCACATACTTTCTGGATGCTTACAGTTTTAATTTAAAACATCCATATTAAAAAAACAGTATCTTGGTACAATTACTCACCATCGACTCGCCTCTTTACAGTCCAAACAGCATTTGGGTTGCCTGGAAGTTCTGAAACAGCCATCTCAGACACTTCCAATCCATGTCTCAAAACTCTCACCGAAGACCGCGGTCCACGGCCACACAGCATATACAATTGTGGAGTGTCTTCATTAGCTAGCAGTTAAATAAAACAATGTTAGCCTAAAATACCAGGTACGGAATGAATCGTGGAATACATACCAATTTGAAAGAGGTCAGAGCTTTGAGAATAATCCTGGCTCAATTCATAAACACGGACCAAAGCTGAGTCATCATTCACTCTGAGGTACACAATTGCAGTTCCCTACATCAGCAAAAACATTCAAAAACACTTACCTAGATCTGCAACTTGGCATGCCAAAATGGGCGAGAGCGAGTCCAACTCATCAACAAGCACTAGATTCCGCAGTGGCCTTGGTGCAAAAAAGAAAGTATCACCTTCTTCCAAGGGCATGGCAGAACTGAATTCAGGTTCATCATCATCATCACCAAGATGTGCGATCTGATATAAGTAACTGCAACAATGAACAAACGCTGCTATAAAACCATAACAGAATGCACCCTTCAGGATGCTTCACTGCTAGATGGCTCTGGCAGTCAAATCAGGAGCGAGTAGAAATTGTGCAAAGTCAGTGGGCTATTCACTCAGTACTCTTAATTGCACACTTTTAAAGACTATGAAACCTCCGAAAGGAGGCCCTATGCTCCACTTAGGAGTTACAGGAACTAAACCAACCTAACCTAACCCTTGCAAAAAATGTTGGAAGATCTGCCACAAAATTACTTATCACAATGCAACCTATGCACAATGGATATTAACCCCAATCAGTGTATGAGCAAGGTTTGGAGATTTGTGTGACAATTTTAGTTAGGTGTTCCCTAAATGAAACAACTGCAAGAACTGATTCCTTCCTCGACTACATTCATGTTATTCTTCTCAAAGCATCTCTTTTCTTCATCCAGCATTTTTCTTGTACTTATGCCATCACTCCAAGAAGTAAATTTTCTTCAGGTACTGTTTTTATCATCAAACTTACATTAGGGGAGCTTCTGTATCTGGAGGGATAAGAAATTTACTGGCAAAAGAACAGAATTCTGGGGAGAAGCCTGTAATGATTACTTACTGGTTGCCAAATTCTGATGCAACAAAAAGGAACCCTGTCTTCATAACACACATGGCAGATGCTACTGGAACTGTGTCAAAATATTTTAGCTTAATCTCAGTCACCATATCTTCATCGGTTTCCAAAGTAATTTTAAAAATATCACCCTGTTCAGTTTGTGCAAGGAAGAAGAACATTGACTTTGTCTTGTGTGTTGCTGAGCACACAAAAATCATTCCCCTCTCTGGATCATCCAAATCATTCTGCAAGAAAAGAATACAAGAGTGTATGCACAAGCAAATTTTCAAATATTTCATGGCTGGAACTCAGAACATCTTTAGTATAAATATAAAAAATTTTCCCACCCAAAGAATTACTGCTGATATTAACCTTTATCTTACTTGCGTTCCTTGTCGGGAATGTAAGTTGAGTACGCAGCCCTATGAACATTCCTTGTGCGGAACGTAAATACTTGCAACACTGTAAGGAGACTTGGCTACATCTTTTGGCCTCTTTTAGGGGCTGCAAGCATTGAATCACTCTCTCTAGGGTTCTGACAAATTCAACCTGAGCTGTCAAACCGTAAACTATAACCATGAACAGCAATAAACTTTGTTTAATGTCAAGTGGGTTTTTTCAGACCCCTATTCAAAGCTACTCACATTCCTCGGTATGATGGGTCAAAAGAATGAGTATCCACTGAAGTAGAGGGAAACAAAATTTTCTATGTGGTCAGTAGTTCACAACCATGGCTTCTAACATGTCGACTGAGCTTCCAAAAAGGAAATTTATGTTACTATAGCCTGAAGAAATACCATAAGTTATTTTGGACACTGATATTAACTGCATTTTTAAGAAACTGTTCCCTGTTCTATTCGCATAAATATGGCCTTTATTTCGTCCTTTTATCATGTCTACTTTAGATAATATTAAAGTTTTCCGTACAGCATGCACAAAAATTTAAATACCCGCAAAAAAAACTCAGTAGGGCGGCTACCACTTTGCCATTTAAATGCCTGTCGTTTAAAGGTTAATGGCAAGTATAACACCTTGCAAGTAAGTCTATAATCATTATTAAATCAATAGTACATGAAAAAGTGGCCAGTATCAAATGACATAACACAAAATGCACACCTAAAATACAAAAATAAAAAGTAAGAAATTTTACATGTAAAAAATGTTGGGGCTTACATATTTCAGAATTGGAAATTCGCCAACCTTACCTATTCATTAAATGAATGAACATTGACCTTACAATTCAACATGTATAGTACCACTATCATGTATGATCCCTTAAAATCAGAGCAACAAACTTACTTACCCTCCTTCTCGGAATAGGGCAACGGATATCATGCTGATCACCCAAGTTCTTGTACGTAAGATAGTTCTCAGAGCAAATAAGGACTCCACTGGGACCATCATTTCCACCAGGAACAGATACCAAGAAATTGGCATGCTCTTCCAAAGGCTCGCTGTATTTACGAACAACGTGGTTCAAACCAAGATCCAGCTCATAAAATGTCAATGTCTGCTGTGTTTTGTGTGCTGCTTCTCCTGTTGGATCTGTGTCTGCTTCCTACAAGGCCACATTTTTAAGCAAAATTACACGTGCAGATAAAACTGCTGTAAGGTTTAACATGTGGAAAACTGCAGAATCATAACAAGTCTATTCAAGGCAACTACCGGGAATTACTCTACACAAATTAAAATTGTAATTAATTTATTTATACAACATATTTCTAACATGAGCCTATTTTATGTGATGGCAAACAAGCAAATATTGCAATGTTCCAGCCTTGATTCACTCCAACCAAAAATGTGTCTTGGTAGGAGGCGACAAGTTGGATTGTATATGCTTTCTGCACATCTAGTCTAGAACTTGTAACGATAAATCATGAAACAGACCAACTTGTGTGCAAACAAAACCAATGCATGTGCAGGTAGAACAAATGTTCATAAAAACATGCGTGTATTACAAAGTTATCTCAAAATGCCCGATGGGAAAAACTGCAGATGCTTTCACAACTTACACATTATGCTAGTTAATATCATAATAATAACATTAACAACATACTCTACAAGAGACTAACGAACAAATTCCACTATCTCAAGCTGATATCATTTACATGACATCACAATCCCTTAATATACATATAATAATTTAGCTGAGCCATTTTTTCTTAAAATTTTATAACACAAAAAATCTGCATATAAAGTTTCATTATTATCCTGGGCTATTCAAGGCTCTTCTTGTATGTTTTGTGTTGTGCGGTAGAATATAATATTTCACTTCCGTCTACTGTCAACAGAGCTGTCCAAATCTACTTCTGACACAGAAGTATCTTGTCAGACTTGACAGAAATGTCTTCCACTTCACCATAATAACTATCAGTCACCTTTATGTTCTATAATCACAAAACAACTTGCAAATAATAACAAGCCAATAATACTATGTGTGTGCCAGTCAAAAAAAGATATAATGCATAAACGAAGCATAAAAAAATCAACCAGACACAACACATATCAACCATTGAACGATGGTTCCATTCAGTGAGGAAAAGGTAAAATTATTGCTACAATTGAATGAAATTGGGACACTGGTGGTTGCAAAATTCCAAAGCACTGTCAACGTATTCAGAGCTAAATTTCCAAAGAGCTGAGGCAATTATGTGGGATGAAGGAAGTGGTTAGTCAAATATCCATTACACAAATTCTAAAAATTTAATAATTAAAATGTATTACCTCATAATCAATTTCCAAGCAAGCAAACATCGGATTTTCAAATCCTGCGTCTACACCCACAGTGTGATACACCAAGGTGTTGCTTTTGTGGGCTTCAAGGGGTGATGAAATAGTGAGACGTGCTTCTGCATCTCGATTCAGAATATACACCAACTTCTGTTTCTCTATTGCACCTATGACATGAAATAAAATTCTGTAAATAATTTTCCTGTGTATGACAGCCAACTAAAGAAGTGACTACTTTCAGAAGTAAAACAGTAAGGAGCCTTCTCTACATGTTTACATCAGGATTAAACCATAACAGCGTAAACTCTCTCGTCACTTCGTTACATTCGAAATTTATGCTCTCCACAAACACTTGTGGTACACTTTGAGGACCACACAATCTATTCAGACATTATTCAACTGAAGTGTAAATTCAACACCTTATACTCATCTGAACAACGCACTTCAATCAACAATTCCTAATCTTGTAGAACAGTCCCATTTCTTTCAAACAAAACCTCTTATTGCTAATATTAGAGCATTTGGAATAAAAAATAATTAAAAATGTGGCAATGAAGTTCCAATTGCATGCAGTCCTTCGCTGGGTATACTGGAAAGGATTTAAAAGAAAATTCAAATATAACCACAAAAAGCACTAACATTTTGTCAGCTCTGAAAGGGGTACATCTTGTGGGTACACAGTAATACCAACTGCTTTGGGACCCAACAATGCCCAAAATGTAAAAGGAAAATATAAGATTTTTGCACATAAATGTAACAATTCAAAATAAGTGTCTCAAAATTATTACAAAACTTTGGTATAGGTAACATACATAACAAAGTACAATACTACAAGCAAGAACTCAAGTCTCTTAATATTACCAATCATAACAGCTCTTCCTTTGGGGTCAATTGCAAGATATTGGCCAGGGACAATTCTTCGGCAACCGCTTTTTCCAAATGTCTCTTGGTGCACTTTCTCAAAAATATTTTTTGTACTGATATATTCCAAGATTACAATTCTACCAGAATCTGATCCAACCACAATATAATCTGAAATATAACAATTATTAGCACAATCATATAAACATCACAACTTCATCAATAAAAATTATATTTATTTTGTTGGATGCTGAAAACCAGGCAACAAGACAAAAACAGCCTTGCACCAACGATGCTGAACACCCGATTCTGTGGCACTGTATTGACGACCTATGAGTGTAGGAAACCCAAGCACAGGAGATACCACAGTGCATCAAATCATCAACTAATTCTGGTAACATACAATAGCAATATTTGTAAGTGATGGTCTAATGGTGCAGCTGTAAATTCATTTATTAATGAAGAAGAAAGGTCACTTACAACCTGTGTGGTTTTCAGTTGGTCAGCTTAGTTCCACATTCAAAATACATAGCTAGAAATTAAAAATATGCCCAAACCTTTGTTTGATTAGACTGCACACTTTGCGGGATACCTTCCGTGAAAAGAAATGACTTTCATCTATAGTAATCCTTGCTAATAGTTCCCTTGCAACTGTTGGAAGTAAAATGGAGATTCTTATACCTGACAGGAAATGAAACCCCACATTACAAAACAACTACAGTGAAACCTCGATGCATCGTTTTTGGCGGGGGTGGGAAATAAAAACAATGAATACGGGAAAACGACAGTTGCGAGAAAGCATTAATTTTTTTAAAAAAAACTGAATGTTTCTCTTTCAAAGTTGCTTCTTTTTACCACAAAAGTCTTTAATGTACAACTGGTTTGTCAAAACTTTACGTTTCAGGTCAAATACAGCCCTTTCCACGTTCACTAATATTATGCGCATAAAAGATCGACTTCACTTTTGCCAATGCAGCATGTTCTTCGGCAAAACTCGGCACAGCTTTGGGCTCGCATTCGTTGTCTTCCTCTTCCTCACCACTCCCACCCCCTTCGCGAACAATAACAGGAAGAATGGAAATACTATTACTGCCGAACTCAAGGAAACGTAGCTGTAGAAGACACCAGAAGAATGAAAAGTGTCGCCTGCCTTTCCTTTGTACTTATAATAAAAGCATTTTTGAAGAAATTCACACTGCACATGCCATCTGGCATCGCTGGAACGAAATATGAGTGCACCCTAATTAAACACGTAAAATTTCTGACATTGGGCACCGTCATTCTCTCCAACTATCACCCCTGCACCGCTGACCCCTCATTCCAAAAGAATCTGTGCTGGTTGGGCGATGTAACAGGTTACCGCTACTGCATATTCCAAAAACATTGCGCGTCTTTCGGTATTAATTTATCTCAAAACCCAGCATTTTAAATTCTAAAAACATTGCGTAAATTTCGTTATAATTTCTCAGAAACGATCTTTGCAGGAAAATTGTGGGCCAGGACTAAGATTTTTGAACGATTGATGCGATAAAACGATAGTTCGAGGAACGATAGAAGCGGGAAAATGTAACATTACTTTATATGGGATGTATCCAGGACCGGACGATGCATCCGGGAGAACGATAGTTCAGGGTACGATGGACAGAGGTTTTACTGTAGCATCTTTACATTTGTTTCAGACTACTACCTCCTTTCCAATATTCTATCCCACTTTAAAGAATTTGTTTTTGTTTCCTAGTACTGTTAAATAGATCATACAGCAATTGAAAACAAAGCAGCACAGGTCCATGCTTAATATAAACAAGAATTATTTTATATGGAATGTCATTGCTCACATGACATGCAAGCCACCAAATGCAGCTACCATCCTATCACAGTGCAAATATGCCACTATTGCACTCATTATCACAAATTCAACCCTTTGAAGCCTAGGGGTAACCATTATATACCCCATCCACCTTATCAGCAACGGTGAATTATGTTTTTACATATTTTGCATGATTCTCACTGTAAAAAGAGAAAATTTCCTTAAACAGCTTCATCCAGTTACAGAGGTGAAGTGTTTTCTTTGAGGTGCGGACTGAAGTCTTTAATATTCAGTACATGTACAGTTCTGCATATGTAACATCTAATGCCAGCTTAACAAACTACTTGGGAGAAACAATACTTGTGCTGATGGTATACGATTGTGCAGACTATACCTGGTGCAAACAGGTTTACAAGATTACCTTTTGTTCCACCTGTCAACCTAAAAGCCATCAAAGATCGTACTATTCCAAAAACTTCAACAGTTAGCAGAGTATGTACTTTGCCAGTGTTAGGATCTGGACGTAACAACTCAAGAGACTTTCCCCTTGATACAAGAATCTCCTGCATCTTACTGCCACTGAAGTTGCCATGGACAGCATGAGTGATGCCAGTGGCACGTTGCAAGGTCAAGTTGTACAGGTGCATTCTGAATGCAACAAAACAGGCAACAGACTTAACCTCTGTAACACATTACCTGAAACACAAAGAGCAGTAATATAAGTAACAAGCACTCCTGATATACTGGGCCACTATTAGAACACTAAAAAGGAAATGAAACATAAGATATAACTTTATAGTGACTAGCTACGGGCTGGATGACTGGGGGTTTGACCCCAACAGGGGCCAGAGGATTTTTCCTCTAGCATCTGCTTCCCATCCAGCCTGCTATCCAATGGGTATCGGGATCCTTTCCGTGGGGCAAAGCACGACCAGGGCATGATGCTGACCATTCAGCGCCATCTAGAGCCGAGGTCAAGAATAAGTAGGAGCTATACCCCCTCTCCCCCAACTAACCTACAAGGCGTGTAGTGATCGGCTTTACTTTACAACATACTTTAACCTCTGCACAATGTATGTTCCTCAAATTTGCATTGCTGAACAAACAGAATGTGTTTGGAAATGTTTCTATCAAAACCCAGTATTTCATTCACCTTTACCACTCTCCTCACATACAAAAGTTTATAAAGATCTATATATAAATAAAAAAGAAAGCAGGAAACCTGATAGTCTAATATTACTGGGATCAGACTTATTACACAGCGTATTCCTATCTATGCTTCACGTAATTTTTTGCTTCGGGCGCACAAGGTATCGCGGTGAACAAAGGATTTGATACATCGAAATGTTTGATAGCGGGGCCACCTGAACGGTGTAGCGATTGTACCGCCCTAAACGCGGAACTGATATTACTTAACATGTGCAATTATGATACTGTTATATCCAATCTGGCAAAAAGTAATATACAAACAGAAAATATTCGCTGATAGCCCTAAAATATACAAATAAATTACACATGATAAGTTAATGATTGTATTGTACTTACAGGAACCAAAACGGCACAAAGTTCTCTATTCGATTGTATCGGATTACGTTCCAAAACAGCGATATTCACCATCAACCATACTCTCAACTCACTTCGGTCGCTGTATTCCGGAAAATAAAAAGCGGATGTAGCTTTCGGGGTTTTAAACTGCATGCTCATTGGTTGACAAATAAACACCACGTGATTTTTACCCAATTATTTCAAAGAAGACAATTCGCGGTAAGTACATCATTGGTTGAACTGACGAGACGCTCATTCCTATTGGTTAAAGTAACTAACTTCCAGTCCTGCTCAGATTACGCGTTACGGAAGTGACGCTTCTATAATCGATTGACATGCGCTTGCGCCCAAGGTATCGAATAGAATCAAGTAGGGCATTCGATATATCAATCAGCTGTTCCTTATACGGAGAGGGAACAGTTCAAAAGACATCTTTACGCTCCATTTCCGAAGACAATTCACCTGTTGCCATGGTAACAAGACGCAACTGGTCATCCTAAATACACTGATTATCATCTCATTTAAATATTCTTATCTAAACCGGGGTAAGTCCGCAAAACCACATGCCTATCAAGCGGATGGGAATAGGCAGCAGTAGACTGTTGTCAAGCGAAGCTTTATTTTGTAGTCAAAACAACATAAATTTTTAACACATATTAGTGTCTAGTGCCCTGTATTTATTAAAACACTATTTGGACCAATGTAGTTTACTTTAAATCACGTATTGAAAAGAATGCCATACAAATTTGAACTACAGAATCTCTGAGCCTTACTGCCTTTTCTATAGATATGTTTATAATAAAATGGTTCAGCTTGGTGATGAAATATGGTATTAAATAGATATGTTTATAACCCTTAAAATGGTTCGTCTTGGTGGTGAACTGTGGTCTTGTTTCAGGAACAATAATTCTGACATTCACAAGTCATTTTACATCATTGCAATGGATCTTACAGAAACAATGAAGAATATTGTTGCAAAAGGGATTCAGACAGAAATGGGTCCACCATTCCCTGGAACTGGTTATGTTACAGAGAAGTTATATATGTTGCTACAATTATATCTTCAAAATAAGGGCTGGAATCCTTCAGTTGAGCTCCTGCAATGCTTTACTGAGTTAAAAGAAGCTTCCATGTTGCCTAGTGCTGCATATCTACAGTAAGTTCAGGGATAAAATGGGCCATCATAATATCTCAGCGCAGTATTCAGTTATTTGAATTAGGTGCAGTGTGTGTTGAAGATGGCTGCCTTCTGGGTTGTTGTGGCATGTAGTCTGGTAGAAGTTTACCGGTATTTCAGAGGTCCTTGCCACCTCCATCATTGGGGCCCTGCTACACAGTGCAACAACCCAGAAGACAGCCATCTTCAGACTCACTGCTGTGAAACCCTCAAATCCTACATAGTATGTGTTGTTCCTATATCATTGTATGATACACGAGAGTACTGAATTTGAAATGGGCATAAAATTGTGCATAAACATTGCTGGAAATATTGTTTTTGCAGAATGATGGCCTCAAGAGTAGCACTAGATAGCCAAGGAAGACTTATTTTGAGAGAAAATGGAAAGATAATTCTTCCATATGAACATTTTGCTAATGCTGTCATGTTAAAGCATATGAATGGACCACATGGCCTTCATCTGGGACTAGAAGGCACTATCAGAGCAGTAAGTTGCTGTTTTATAAATAGATACTTACTAGATGCTTTTCTATGTACATAATTTCAATACATATAAAATCACTTTATTAAATAATATTAAAAAGTACTAATAATATGAAAATGAGATTGGTTATACTTCAGTGATTCCAGACATTGTGTTAAATGTGTAAATTTATAATTGATCAATTATTGGTGAAACATGGGTTTTCTTTTTTTCAACAGTGAACCTTCACTTAATTGATTTCATCTCTACCTTCTCTGATATTTTGTATTTTGAGACATACCCATGTCTTAGTTTTAAGTCCAGAAGTAGTGTCTTACACTTTTAATGTTCATGCTATTGCAAGAAATCATGTCTTATGTTATTGTAACGCCTCAACTTCAGAGACATGCAGTCATTCACTTGGTCATTGTATTTCCTTTGTTGAAATGTCACATGTAAGGTACTCATTCAAACATGTGAATAAGCTAATATTTTGACTTAATGTTTTATCTGTATTTTTTTAATTTGGAAAGTAGTTCTGCAGGTAATGTGAGGAGAATAATCCAGCACAGATTTCAGATGTTACACTTCCACACTGAGAAACTGAATGAATTACTTCAGTCTATATATATACATACTGTGTTGCATATAGTTGAGCATTCTTATTTTTATGTTTAACTTGCCATTAAAAAGGTGGAAATCACCAGATACTTATTAAATTCCAACAGAATTTATCCAAGCAGGAGATACAACACTACACGTTAGAGTCCACAAAGTTTCATTCTGTTTGGAGAAAGGAAAAAACTGTAATCAGCTATCAGCCATATCGGGTGGTTTAATGGTGAAAAACAATTTAAAGACAGGAAAAAACACCTTTGTGAAAGTCAACATTTGTGAATTAAATATTTCCTTATATTGAATATTGTTAATAAAGTTTAATCATTGTTAAATGTCATCACATTGAATTCATCCAGAATGAGATATTCATGTGAGGCAGGTTGACAGTGATAATTTACACATTTCTTTGAGCTGGACCAGACCATACTCAAAGTTTGCAAACACTTTTTAAAATGTTACCTGTTCACCTATTTGTGAGATACTCAGAGATTTGCTTGCATTTATTTTCCCCCCAAGTGGAATATTAGTAATTCTTACTTTGTAATCTGTAGAGTGTATCTTGTAACATGTATGTAACTATTTATTCTCTTTTCATACGGTGAATTGTCAATTGTACTTCAGTATTATAAAAACAGAATTATTTTACCTACCTGACTATTGATTGGTTATAGGTAATGGAGTCTTACACAATTGGCCGGGAATGTTTTGGGATGGAGAAGGAATTCATCATAGAAGTGGTTCAGAATTGCCCTAATCCTGCCTGCCGCTACTACAAGAACCAACTTGAATTGTCACAAAAGTCACTACATCTCAGTGCGCCTACATACATTTCTGAGTCTGGAGGTGAGGAGACTTGACAACAGAATTATCAAAAAGTCATATTTTGTCCATTTTCTATTTCATGCTGAAGTAAAAGTTATATCTATATTGAAATAAAGTGTCCTTATCATGGGCTTGGGAAATTTGGTAACTGAACATCCTGCAATTTAAATATAATACTAGCAGACTGAATACCCAATACTTTGTCTAAGAGAAATTTTTCAACTCTTTAAAAATGAATGAAATCATCAGTCATAAAATAATGTAAGACTGCATTATCAATTAAGCTTTAAAAACATTAATATGAGCCTAATATTTAATTCCCTTTTACTACAAAATATTTTAGCTGATGAAAGTTATGTGAAATGCCAACAGGAAGAAAAGGCTTGAAGATGGGGACACAAATGTATTCAAATGCAGGCTCAGCCCAGTTAGGAGTGGCTCCAGATGCAAGTGGGATGCTTCGAGGTGGGGCATACCCGAGTGGAGGACCTACAGGTGACTTCAGTGTGCCACTCTCTCATGCCCAGCAAGGGTTGCCTTTGCACCACCATGGTGCAAGTGGTGCTGGTACAGGACCAGTGGATCTGACAGGCCTAACTCCAGACAAACCACCCACATCAGTGTCCACACCAAATCGTGCACAGCAGATGCCTGATAAGTCTGGGCGACCAATTGGTGAGCCTGCACACAAACAGCAGAAGCAGCAGCACTATGAGCAACCTGGATCAGCCCCATCTACTGATCACAAGCTTACAGATTTTCTTCGGTCAAATCTTGAGAACCTGGAGGGGCTGTCCAGTGCAAATAAGGTAATTACATAGTAATTTCTTGAGAAAGTAAAGTTTTATGGTATTCCTTTATGTTTCTTATTTAGCATTTCAAATCTTACACTTATCTAGTAGACAAGCAGTTTTAGTCACATTCCCAATTATATTCTTAATAAATAAATACAATATAATGTTTATTTTATTGATGTGAAGTAAGACAGTAAAAGTAAATACGAAGTAAAATTAATTTACCCTAAAATTTATCCTTTTATCTTGTTGGAAAATGATTGTTGTTTGCAAGGCTTCCTCCTAAGAGCCATAAATTTTCTAGCATGTCCAAACATGACATGGAGGTGTCAGTTGGTTTAGTTAAAGAGAAAGGGCCATTTACTATATTGTGCAATTAGTCCTCACAACATACTCAGTTTCGGGCTCTTCCATTCACTATACTGAAATAAAGGGGATTCTTGACCCCATAGTCTTGATATTCTATGTATTTACATAAGCCAGTATGTAGTATGCTCGCTCATTTGAAAGCTACTTTGCTGTTTCATGTTATAATCACTGGGTTGCAGAATGCTGCCAGTTTCCAATTTATTGCCCTAGAGTTTTATTGATTTCATGGTGTATCTTTCTGGTTTTCTTGATGGTATTATTTATTTGTGCTTTATTTAACAATGGGGTCCGCAGTTAGCAGTTTGTAATGCAGGCAGGAGCTGTCTGTTCTGTATTTTTTTCTCAGTGTTATATATATTCTCGGCTTTGACAGGGCCATTAAATAAGCTATAAACATTATTCCTTTTCCATGTCTTTTTGTGTCATTTGCACATGCTAGATTTCATTTATGGCATGCATGTTACATTACACCACAACTGGTGAGGCGCATCGAATGCTCGTTTTGAACGCTCGGCTCGACTGTGCTCGTGTGTGCTCCATTCATTTCATTCAATATGTCGGACATGGAGGTTGTGTTATCTTTGTTTCATTTAATACGCTACTGTTATTTAAAGAACTCGTGAATGCTCGTTATGATGCCGCTCGACTGACTGACTGACTTGTAATGTAACACTCAAAGGGATTTGCGAAAAAACCGACAACACGATGGAGCGCCCGCGAGCGTGAGCGGCTCCGTTCGCTATCTTCACTTGTGTAATGCTCGATTTGTAACACGTTACATTACAGGCAAATGTTACAAGTCAGTTGCCACCTTTAGAGGCATCCCTTTGTATAAGTTTTATAATACAAGTTGCATCCATTTATATTTTCATATACCAGTAGTTAATAAATAATTCACTGATTCATAATTATTAATTAGTGGCTTATTTCTCATTTCTGTAATGTAACAATTGTTACTGTACTGATAGTATGTACTACATGCGATAAGATGTACATGAGTGAATTGAAAAAGGAAATAGAAACATCCATCTGTCAACAGCTTCGTAACCATCCTTTTCACAACATTCACTTCTTCCCTCTAAATGTAAACATTGTCAATTTGGATCATGCTCATGCAAGTGCAGAAGTTCAAAATTGCTACATTACATAGATACACATAAACACTGAAGATACAAAACAATATAGTTGACCTCACCTCCTTGGCCAATGAAACCATCATCATTATTAATCTGTTCTGAGTACTGGGCAGTGTTGGGCTCTTTGATATTATGAACAAGAATGTGTCTTTCAAAAGAGTTGTCAAAAGCATGTCTATTGTAGAATTTTCTCTTTTTTAAATTAAATGTCAGATTCACATCTTTCATGGCTAAATAGTATGTGCCCTGCTGAAGTATATTTCAGCTGATGTTAACCCTGTTCCATCAATCCTGCGGTTCATACGTTATTGTCATGCGATATAAATCTAGCAAGTGGTGTGTAACAAATTAATGAAACAATATAATGAAATAAACTACATCAAACACTTTGACAGAAATGAAACGGCAAGGCAGAATACTTTGGGAAAGATTGTAGAGTAATAGAAAACAATTCAAATGCCTGAGAATTATGTACGTATTCCTATGGATAACTTTCTGTCTTACAGGATCTTCTTGTTCTGCACAATGGTGCCTGGGCTAATGACAGTGATAAGCGAATTCCTTCAACCTCAGAAGGTGAGTGTTCAGGACATGAGAATGATTACAATGTTAGCATTAACTCTGTACTTTGGACATAAAGAATTCTTCTCGGACTACCAGCCACGTAAGGTGGTTAAATGGATAAAACACCAATGTTTCAAGAACCATCTTCATGCTCAGGGTACTGTAGTTGTAGGCAATTCCATCACTATTGGACAGTGTAACATAGGATAATACAGTATTGCTTGGCAGTTTTTTATACTAGAGATGAGAATTAGTGTTACTGCAAATATGCCTTGCAAACCAGTAGCATTATATCAAGGAACAAAATATTATTTCTATTGAAGATCAGTTCAGTATATTGTAATGTTCATTTACTTCATGAGTACAGTGCAGTCATTCTACTGATTCATTCTGTGTACTTGGTATGCAGTGTCTGCTTTTGTATTATACGTTCATTGTTATTGCACCTTTTACTTCATTTCTTTTTGTCCATGGGATGACCAAAATAGGTAGTTCAGCCAGGTACTAGAACACAAAGAATAGAAAGCTGGCAAGAAACCAAAATAGAAAAATTGTGTAAAGAAGAGATGAGACAGTTTTCACCCATTGATCGACATAAGGTCAAAGATGCTAGAAGAAGAAGATGTCCATTGACCTGATGAGAAGGAAACAATGCTAGATGAAGAAACATAAACAACATTTTAAAAACTCAGAAACCTTGTTTTTTCTTGATGCAGAATCAGTTTACAATGTCCACATGTAATATCATGTTCAATAATGAAAGCAGCTTAAATAGTTAGAAGTGGGCTCCCACTATAACAGAATCGTGGCACAAAATGAACATTTGTAGTGGACCCCAACTCAGGCCTACAAAAAACCATAAAATATGTTTGTGAATTCTAGCACTAGGTTGCAGATGTAGAAATTATTCTCCATGGGCAATGTTATATTTGTTTAGAATTTGTCATTTCTTTGTCAGTTGGTCAAGAGAAAATTGTCCGAGCATTTGCTGAGATAATGAAGAATATGTCTCGCATGAAGACCTGTGTCCGCCCAGCTATGTGCAAACCTTATGGAAAACAATCAGAAGCACTACAGAAAAGTATGTACCTACATTTACAGCTTACTTTTTGTTCAAGAACAGAGAATAGGTATTTCTTATGCATGGTACAAATTACAGTAGCCGTGGGTGTATCCCACAAGGGAATGCATAAAAATAGGAATTGTGATAATTTAATGAGTGGCTTAGAAATTTGTATTGATGGTAAATTGCACAGGAATAAAGGCAATGCAATAAAATAGAATTTTTTATTTAAACTAGCGCTGTAAGATTTTGAAAGTTTTTTATGCCCATTATGTAATCAGAATTTTGAATGCGTGAAGACATATCCCTCTCCATCCATACTCTGAATGTTATCAGAAGCTAGATTTCAACTAGAAGGCTCCCCAACATTACTTTGTATCCCCCCTGCCCCAGTTGCTGTTGCCTGCTTATTCATCGGGGTCTCTGAACTTTTAGTTAAAAGTCTACTGCACTGGAATTGAAACATGTGAAATTGTTTACTCCGATGTAGTACACATATTTTACAATTTGCAATTGTGATTTTACATACCTTATTTGCTGATTTACTACAGATACAAATCACGCCTTGTGTGTTTCAGAATTCACTTATACTATATGCCCTGTTTAGATTATTTTTATTGGAGGTGATGTAATTGAACATGTAGTGGGTCATTCCATAACTAATTATAAATTGAATTAACTTAGTAAGATTAACTGACCCAAATAAACCAATATGTAGCTCAAGTTAGAAATGGTTATGTGAAGTTTCAGAATTATTAGGTAGTTCAGACATATGAGTATAACTTAGATAAGGAAAACAAGAAATCTATACATAATTTTGATGAAAATCTTTCAGAAAGTGTTCTAGATGTAAATGGTTGAGAACTGGGTCATACTGAATTTTCAGGTTCTCTTAGCAGAAAGTAAGTTAGATCAGTGGTTAAATAAGTAGTTAATTATATATACAGTAGAATTAATAATGTATTTAATTTCAAAACAATGTGGCTAGAGTAAGCTCACAGTCATTTTGAGAAATCTGCAGTGTTAAAAGATAGATATATGACAGGGTATAAGATTGGTAGGTCCTTTTATAGTACAGAACTACAAATATTAATAAGCTTTAAAAATAATGGAGTAATACTAAACTCTGTAGTAAGAGAAGCTATGGAGTATTGCTTTGTATGTAGTCTAAATGGGAGAACATTTTAGAAAAACAATATGGGTACTGAATTATTTCAGTGTGGAAATTATTCCAATAACACCACGTCACATCACACTGAATTTCTGACATATCTTCAGTCACAGCATTACAAGAAACTTTACTCAGTAATGCGACCAGTCTTTAAAGTAATCAGCTTACAGGTTATACACATTAAGCTACAGACATTTTGTTTCCTATGCACGTGCAGAAAGTGTGTTACATATATAGTTTATCACATAAGGAAAATATTATATTTCTGGTATACAACTGACATTCAGAAGACCCTTACTGTTTGTACAAAGAGCCTTCACAGTCTGTGTAACTTTGTCTGGCTGCCTGTATATGTCACCTGGTTGTTCTGGGTAATCTTAATAGTTATACATAATAACTATAATTTTCCATATGCTTATACTTAAGCCTTAAAGAAAGAGGATTTAACAAGCATTTTAAATACTGAGGTTTCTGTACCCTTTGAATCTGAAGCTCGTCTAAACAATATTTAAGAATTCAGAATGTACCTCTAAGAGTAAACATCACTTCTCATTACAAGAACCAGTTTGTTGATGGAGATTAAGGATATAATACCTCTTTACACTGGGAATCATATGAAACCCATAAATACAAAATGAAGAGTTCATGACTGTTGAAGCAGGTAGGACATACAGTTACCAGTGGGCTTTAAAGACTTAAGAATGTTCCTTATAGTAGAATTTATATGAAGCTGGGTAATGATTATTCTTATGCCCCATTTAAATAGTGCACATATCAATTTCTTCAAATCTTGCACTTGATTCTACACTAACCCTCTCTTAAGGATACAATTAAATTAGCTGAATAATTCTTATCATGTACACGTCATAAATTTTTACAAATCACTAATATAAAAATATAAAATCATAAAAGAAGAGCCTGTACAAATTAATATAACTTTTATTTAAAGTCTCATAGTTTCATACGAAAGGTAATGGGAGCCAGAGCCAATTTCTTTTTGGAAGGAATGTACTGAAAATATTGAATAAGAATTCACTTACGCATAAATTGTTTGTCAGAGAAATCATCGTACGTACCATGCCTTTAGAATGGTTGCTGAAAGTAGTATCCTTTGCATGGTTGGTCTCCATCCTTAGTATGGACCTCAGACCACATTAATAGACCTAGAGGTAACATCCTTCTCTCATGTTAAGACTGATATAACAATTGAAATTTTGATGGTACCTCCTGAAAGAGGAAGCCTCAATCTTTCATCAGATATGAATTAAAAGTTCATTTTATATAATGGAATGTAATATTTTCCTTTGTTTGAAAACAAAAACAGGTTATTTGTGCAGTTTTCTTGTATATACAGGGGGAGATATTGTGTCTGAATCAGTACTTGTACTACAGACCCTCAATAAAATTGCATGTTGCTGAAATTATTGGAAATCTTGCTAGGTTGTGGACATAGATTTTAGTTAAACAGTTAATAGCATGTTTGTAACTAGTTACAAAAATGTGCATATGAGCTTTGTCCTGTCTCCATCTACATGTGCTCTTTTGCAGAGTATAATTAAAGTTTTGACAGCAGAATGCATTCTGTTTTCTCATTTGTGGTCCCTTCCATGGAGAAGTCATGAATAAGAAGAAGAAGAACTTGAGACAGAGATTTTAATAGAGCTATTTCTAGTCTGTGAAATCTCAACACATAATTTTTGACACATATTCATACCCATCAAACTCTCAAAAGGTTGAACTTACAAACTAGAGAACTTATATTTATTTACTGTACAAGGGTATAAATAAAAATAGCTGCTATTTTTCCTGGTCATGTTAAAACACAGAACCCTCCCATATCCTTTCAAAACATATTATGCTCATTAAAACATATTCAGTGATTTGACTTCCAGTCTATTATGTGTTTTACCTTGGGCCTGATGTATGGAATTTAAACCACAAATCAAATTATTGTTTTGCTTCAGATACAGTTTTTGGGGTACAATTTTGCAGTATCATCTAGTTGCAGAATACCATATAAAATGACTGTTTTATGGCTTGTTTTAGGAACAGTAATCAAAAGCAGCAAATTGGGTCATTTTTTAAAATAAATTAGCATTTCATATATGAATATCCCCAAGAGATGGATAGCATAATGTAAATAATGCAAAAGACAAGTCACAACTGCAAAAAGTTTGCAGCATGTTTGGGACTAGTGTAATACAACTTAATTCACAGCTTTGGTCTTACCTTACTTCTTAATTACTTTTAAAAATCTGAGGATAGATAAGGAAGTTCTTGGTTGTAACTGAAGGATATTTACTGTCCTGTTCATACAGCTCTTGTGGACACGATTCAGCTAGTTCAGTCTCTCAGGTCCTTCCTACCACCACCACATATTGCGGTCAGCAGCTGGAAAAATGAAGATAAACACAGGTTCGTGTGACAATCCTTTGCACTTGTGGGCATCAGGAACTGTAACAATGAATGAGTTCAAAATAATGTGTGCTCTACTCTGAACAGTATGACTGTCATACTGGTTTCTGTATGTAATACATAATTGCATGAAAAGAGAGGTAATTTTTTCTTATTCACTGCTGTATTTCTCCACACAAACAAAAATATAATGATTAAGTTTTACCATTCACTGTAATTAGTATATGGAAGGACAAAGGTAAGTAAGAAATTAAAGGTAATCTTATTGTGGGTTCTGACAATATATTTAGATAGTAAAAGTAAAGTTTGTCCCACTACGTGCCATACAGGCGCTTGGGGTGAGTGGAGGTATAGCTCCTCTCTTTCTTGACCTCGGCACTAGATGGGGGTGACTTCTGGCTGTTGATACAGCACACTAATAATAAATAATTGAATTGAATTTTGTTAATGGACTAGCCATTATCAATATGTCACAGTATTATCACTACTCAAAAGTCAGTAAAAACCAACTACATGAGGGAAGGTTCATGTTACTTTTAGCTTTTTTTCAGTGCTTCTAATATCATTTTTCAGTTAAACTGAAGTTGCCTTTACCTGTTGTCTTCCGTAAGTTATTTGTTTCAATAGTTCTGGCTATTCCTAAGTACAGGTTGCTGTACAATTATGGAAAATTATGTACAATTAAGATGAAATTGTTGGTTTTGTATTAAAGAAATATAAAAGCCTAAAAACACTTCGATATCTTTTTAGTGGTAATTACTAGCCATGCTGCTGTTTCTAATCCATATATTTTGTTGCACCTTATTTGAGTATGCAACAGGTAAAGGTTTCATGTTAATGGTTGTCTTAACTCTGTGATCCATTCTAGAAAGAGTGGGATGGAGGAACTCTGCGGTGATGCCGGACGGAAGATCGACTGATCCGAGCTACAGCATGACGACGCTAGGGACGATGAAGAAGGCGGGATTGGCGTCGATGGAGACGATATTCTAGTCAGACCAAAGACTCTAGACATGTGACGGAAATATCTGTGATAAAAATTTTGAGAAGGAAAGAAGAAAAAGCTTTTATCGCACATATGACATGCAAATTGTCGTTCTACAATTTCATAAAATGGAAACTCTAGATGACAGATTTTGCTTTTATTTTCTTTGTATATTTTATGGGCAGCATGACTAATTCTTTAGTACTTAAGAAAGCATAATTTTATTTGCTTTTAAGTGTACAGTAACTACTCCATTCCATGTTCTATAATTGTATGACAGTGATTGCCATTTCCTGTTCACTACGTGTCCTTTATTGTAGCAATAGACTTTAAATGTTACATACTCTCTCAGTCCACATATTTAGGAGTCGTATATTCTGACACTTGGTAGGAAGCTTCAGTCTGCAGGTTATTGTTGATTTAACACCATTCTGTGCTATCTTTGGAGTCAGCCAGATGGGATATAGTTGTTAATTTTTATATTTTAGACAGTTTTATCATAAATGTTCAGTATATATATATATATACATATAATAAGCTGCTACTTTTATTGCAAGGCTCCACAGAATGTCCATCCCCTATACTGTCTTACTTATGTAATGTAAGCTTACTTTGCAGTCTCTTTTTAAAAATCATAAATATTAAGTTATATTATATTGATCAGTATTAACTGTTAACCATTGGACATTTCAATATCTTTAGCGGTGAATTCACTAGGAAAGTATGAATGGAATTAGAGGTCCTTATTTGTGTACATTTGTATTTTATGGGAATGAAGTGGGCCTAGTATTTGGATGAATTATGGGCCTTTGGTTAATTTAAATGATGGTGATAAAGTTTCCAAAATTAGTCTCAAATTAAGCAACCAGAAGGCATATAATGTTGGTTGGTGAGTTTAGCAGTCATTGCTTTTTATTTACTATGAATCTCAAACTAAACTCAGTGCGTACATTGGCTTCATATCGTAAACAGAAGTGTACTAATCTATTTTCTGCTTCAGCATGTGGAAACTTACGGATTCTCCATGTATAGTTTGCCTACCATTGCATGCTTTTTCACATAATTATAAGAATTAAAGATTCCAAATTGGTCCCGCACCATAGCCGCGCGGTCTGAGGCATCATACTTCGGACCGGCGACGCGGAATACGCTCTGGTTCGAGTCTCAGGGGAGAAGAAATTTTCTCATGAGCTTTCGACCAGTGTATGGGACCAGTGCTAACCCAGCATCGTGAGGAAATTGGGGAGCTACAATGAGTAGTGTAATCCGGTCATGGAAACTAGCAATGGCTGGGGGTTCGTCGTGCTGACCACACGTCACCCTATATCTGGTTGGATGATCGTTCACCTCTGCTTAGGCATGTGAACGTGAGGCCAGCAGCCAGCTAGTCAGCTTTGGCTCTCAGAGGGCTGTTACGCCACGGATTTTTAAAAGATTCCAAATTGGGAAGCTTATAGATTCAACCATATCTTTGTTACTTTACACCACTGCCATGACAAAGCTTAATAAATAACTGCTCTTACTAGTAGTGAACGTTCTCGTATATTTTAAACAATAAATATTATGGATGTTCCATACAGTTGCTTATATTACATTCTTTTTATATATGCTCAGTCCTGTTATATCATGGCAGCTGCACGTTTTAATGCTGTTTTGACCAAAATGTATTTGCTGCTCTGGTGAATCTGTATGACTACCGATTTAAATTCTTGCCAATGTGATGTTATCTTATTATAGGCATTTTCTATAATTTGTTTTGTTATTACCCTGGTACAACTTAAAAGTCCCACAGTATTCAACTTACATATGTGTACATACTTCAGTTGGTGCCAGTATGACCCTGAGCCCTGTGCAGAGAAACAGGGTTTTAATATGTTGCCTTGAATTCACAAAGAACTCTTAGAAATGCTCATATTCTTGCCTACAATGGACACAGGAAGAAATGCCCAGTGCTTGAAATGGATAGGCGAGTTGAAACATACATGAAGATTTCTGTCTTCTGGGTTGTTGCGCTGTGTAGTCTGGTTGATGTTCACCAACATTTCAGAGGTAATACTGCCTCCGTCATCAGGGTGATTCATCTACAAAGACTACACAGCGCAAGGACCCGGAAGACAGAAATCTTCATACTCACCGCTGTGAAAACCTCAAATCTTACATTGAAACATACACTTTATACTGTTGAATATAGAACAGACAGTCTACTGGGATTACTCAAGTGTCGTTCCTATTTTTGTGAAAGGTGGATAATAAATTTATGAGTTCTGGCAGATGTTTCAATATTTATAAGTCTGTAATCATTAGTGCTAAGTAAGTGTTGTATAGGTATAGTGTTAAAGTAAAGTAAAGCTGTCCCACTATACGCCATGTAGGTGCTTGGGGGGAGATAAGGTATAGCTCCTACTCATTCTTGACCTCGGCACTAGATAGGGCTGAGTGGTTGGCATTAAACCCCGGCCTCGCTTTACCCCTGGGAAAGGACCCCGGTACCCATCGGATAGGAGGCCGGGTTGGCCCCAGAGCCGGTCTGGACGCAGAGGCTAGAGGAAAGATCCTCCGTCGGGGATCGAACCCCGGTCACCCAGTCCGTAGCCAGTCACTATACCGACTGAGCTACACCGGCTCAGGTATATTGTTAGTAAAACTTTTTAATTAAGCATTTGTATTTTCTAATAGGTAGTTCTTTATTCTTATTACATTAATTTTGGACAGATCTAGTACCTGCTTATATGTTTTGTGCAATATTTTCCTTTCTTGGAAGATTTGTTGATACGCTTGTTGCTGTTGAACCTGACTTTAAGAGGACAAAATACAGCTATAAAAATTACATTTTTAAATCATTAAACCCTGCAAGTTTTCTCTCTAAGTTCTAGAGATTCTGTGGAGATTGGAGACTATCGTCTTGAAGACATTTCATTATTTGACCGATACTTGAATGAAAAATTGCAGTTGACAGATCATCAAAGGATGAATTGATAGGGAACTATTTCATTCAACAGGAGAGGTGGGTTTAAATCTCTCATTCTGTTAAGCTGAATACGGATTAATTTATCCGAATGTACTGTAGCTATAGCAAATTATGATAAGTCCTGGCTTAAAAACTGTTCACTGAAACTCTTCTTCTTCGTAAGATATTCCTGCTTTATGTGAGCCATCTGAAACCAGGTCTATCCATCTATTTCTGTCTTCCCACAGTTCTTCCTTACTCGTTTTGCGTCCTTCCTTCCATGTGACATCTTTCATAAAATGTTGCTCCCTCCTGGGCATTTTCCTTTTACTTTCACATTAAATGTTCACAGAAAATAACTACCCCTATGCTTCATAAATTCATTGGAAAAATCTGACAAAATTATTTAATTATCCTTAATGTAGAAGACTGTGGCTGTATTTTATCCTCTTAAAAAGGTACAATCTTCATTTTTCATTTGTATATAAAGGGGGTTGAATATAAGAAATGATATGTCTCTGGAGGACTGGGATTTTCAGAAAGGTTTCTACTGAGTGGTCCACATGTATAAAGTGTTCCATAAACACATTTTTTGTCCATTTCAAGCACAAAGGAATACAGGTAAACCTCGATTTACGCTGGAGATGCGTTCCTGGACGAACCGGCGTAAATGGAATCAGCGTAAATTGAAACTTTTTATAATATAAATCAATGGGAAGTCAATGACATGCGTTCCCGGCACCCAAACATTGACGACTTAAGTTCCTCAAAAATTGTCTTTGCCTTATCCGTGATAGCAATTTCAGTCAAGGGAATGTTTTTTCGATTCATGTCATCCACCCATAGCAACAGTAATTTCTTGCGTTGCACTTACTCTCGTAGCCTGTTGCATTGACTGTTTTATCAGTACGAGAAACATTGTAAAACGTTATAAATAATAGTAAAATATATTTTTTTCGCTTTTTGACTTGCTGGTTTCAAAAGCAGCGTTATTCTGAAGCGGCGCAAATTGAGGTTTACCTGTATCATGTCGCATGACTAAGATGCCATGTGAGGGATCATTCAGTGTTTAACTAGATATTTAAGGAAAATAATACTCTCCTTAGATTTGCTTGTACTACTATTCAGAACGTACAGTGAGCTTTTATTATAGATCTTCTGTCCTAGTTGTTATTCTCTTCCAGGTTGTTGGATCTGTTGTACTGCAGGGGATGTAATCCTCGGCAACATAAAGAAATAATCCTATTCCTTCAAACTTATAAATAAATATCAAGTAATGGAAACTACATATTTATACTTTGTTAATAATTTGTAATGTGTTAAATTATTTAGTTATTCTGTAGTACAGAGCGCTATAAAATCCATGTAAACCCTTTGTAAGTCCAGTGAATGGGCAAATCAGCAGTTATTTTTTAAAATATGGTTTAACTAAAATGTAATGTTAAATTTTTATATACCGCGTGTAGGATTTATCATAACTATGCTTCAGTTAAGTAGCCAGAGCTTGTTTCAGTAATGTATACCATTTATGTATTTGCCAAGAAATAAAATTAAGCCTAAAGACACATCCCTTGATGTTTCCTTAGTAGTTTATCTAACTAACTAACTAGATGGCCTACCGAACCCGAAGGTCCATCACCGAATTAACCAAAGCTCTGTCCTGGGCCAACAAAATCCAGTCTCCTTCAACTCCAATCTCCCATAGATCCCGCCTGACATTATCCTCCCATCTATGTCTAGGTCCCCCAGCGGTCTCTTCCCCTCAGGCTTCCCAACCAATACCCGGTGCATACCTCTTGTCCCATCCATGCGCGCTACATATCCCGCCCATGTCATTCTTCTCGACTTAATAACCCTGACAATATTGGGGGAGGGGTACAAATTTTTAAGCTCATCTTAGTAGTTTATCATATGCATCAATTGTATTTCATGTCTGCACAACCATGCAAGCAGAGTCGAAGCAAGCAGCAGACCCCACCCCCTTCTTATTCTAATCTAAATTTGCATGTCACCCAAAAAACTGTGGGTGATAGGAAATTTGATTTCATTTTCATAATCTGCATAAAATTACATATACATCGAGTATAAACACCTCTGACAAAAACTTTGTTGAACAGTATAAATTAAAACAAATGTTGGATATGAAACCTTAAGACTTTTTCTTACTTTTATTATATGACAGAAACCAACCTGGATAATTCTGTCATTGCACACAGGTAGCGCTTTCGCATGATCATACTTTTACATTGAACATAATGTGCTCTTCCACTTTATTATATTATGATCCTTGACAGTCATACTTACTTTGACAGTTCTTGAATTATCAGCTGACGTCTCTCTGACCTCCTGAGGCTGACAACACGAACACAGCATCGTCTAACCAATAGAAAGCCTGATTGAGGTCGCCCTCGCAAAGGTACGGCACCCGAGACCAGCGCTCCACAAAGAAACCAGACGCTTCAAAAACACTGATTGCACTACTAGCCTGCTCCTCAAAATTTGAACCTTGAATCGGTAGCCATTCTGTTGGTCGATGATCCAGGCGACCTATAAATAATGCGATTATGCTTTAAACTTTAAAGTCCCCCCATGTGTTTAAGATAAAACATTTAGTCCACCTGCAGTGTACAATGTTCTAATTAATTGTGTAACATTTATTTATGGTATACCTATAGTGTACTGCAGTGATCCCCAACGCGGTGCCCGCGGGCACCATGACGCCCGCCAAGGCTTTTTTGGGTGCCCGCGGTGTTACGGAAAGAGGTTATACTGAATAATGAAGGCCGTTCAACCACGAACATCATAAAATCAAAGCTCAGATCTCGACTTACTGACGCCTATCTTGACGATTGTTTGCGAGCAGCAACATCATCCTACACTCCCAAATTTGAAAAACTGGCCGATGAAATGCAACGCCAATCTTCACACTAACTTCCCACTTGAGTAATAATAATTTTACTTATAAAACTACGTATTTTTGATTGCGTGATTTCTTGTATCATTAAACGTCGTGTTGTTTTGCGTATTATTTGGTGCCCATATCGTATTTGTCCAGAGAAAAGAAAATTTGGCTTTGTTAATTGGTTGGTGCCCGCCACGATCTCATAAACTCTCAAATGTGCCCGTAGGCACAAAAAGGTTGGGGACCACTGGTGTACTGCATCCGATTAAATTTCACCCACTTCTTACTGAAAATCTACTTACTATTGCTTTGGACATTGAAATGTTCTATCATATAGTTCAAGAGAATGAGAAAAATATGACTATGAAGCAGAGTTGCGTCCGATCAATACTGGCAGAGCTAGTATCCACACTCATTTATACAAAATCTGTAGTTAAGCCTCGAATTAATGAAACAACGAGAAGAAAATATTCACAGACATTTCTGTCTACTGTCAACTTACCAATTTCAACATAGGGGCTGAATGGAAGCACAAGGGCTACAACAACCCTACCACCTGGACTGAGAGAAGCTTTAAGTTCATGGAGGAGTGATAATGGTCTATCACATCGGTCCAAGAGGTTCAGGCACGTTATCACGTCAAATTTTATCCCTGCTCCAGTCCATGTCTCCACGTCTAACAGTCTGCAACAGAAAGCCAACCAACGGGCAATCAAATCACCCTTCTTTTCCATTTTGACCCACCACTACTGGAAAAACATTGTATATTAATGTGTGATATCTGTTACTTCGTAATGCTCTCAGATACTTCTGACTGCCACTCCCAAAACTGTTGAGAAAACGGAAAATATTAATACAGATCATTTCATTTCACAAGTACATCTGCTGTAACTTTTAAAATTACTTTATAATACAGGAGCGGTTGAACCAAGAATCTTTTAAGTTCGGCTTCTGATAACAAGAAAGAACAATGTGAAATACGAATCAGTATGACAGATAACGATTTCCAAAGACTTGTTACACGAAATAGGGTCAATTTAGCTAACTACTCCGGCTAAAAGCTTCCTCTCAATCTGTCCGACTTAACATCCACAGCACTCAGCAGACTCTATCTCCTTCCTTCATTTCCTTAATGCCATCTTCAGCACAGTCCACATTTCGGAAACAATATCCTGCTTAAAGATGTTCTTGAAGTTTACTTTGGGCGGGGGAGAAGGCGAAACGAACACAAACACCAAGTTCCAATTTATGTTGATGTGTAGACCTGAGGACGGTAGAACTTATAAAAGTAGCTTACATTAAAGTTGGCAACTTATTTATGCTAAGTGCAGTAGTTAAACTTGCGGCGAGTCGCTTGATGCTGTGGCTAACAAGTTGTCCTGGTGCTGTTACAAAGTTTTATTACAAGCCTACTAGCACCTCGAGGAGACAATTTTAAGGGGACAGTTAAGACGTTAAGACGATTAAGTGCATAGCCGGAGCAGGACGAGGCTCTATTTTCAAGGAAATTATACCATTCCAAACAGAGTACTTCTACAACAGGTGATTTTATGGAAATGCTGGATGTAAAACGAGCCCTGTTTTCGACGTGGAAAACATTTAAAGTTACGAAACACTTCTGCTACCACTAGGTAACTTGTAAGGTAGATATCCGCTTATAAGTCATTTTCTTCGACGTACATTAGGCCAGGCATGTGAAACTCGCGGCCCTCTTCGATGTTTTATACGGTCCGACTCGGTTCTCGAATTAATACGAGGTGGAGCTTCAAACGTTCCAGCTGTAACAAATTATGAGTTAGAAATGCAGCGTCAAATAGCGCCTAATCTCAAAATAGGAATTAATAAAACTAGGTGATTATGAATTTCCTAACACCTCTTATTTAGGCGGCACTTAGTTGACAGTGAGTCTGGCACATGGAAATCAAGAGACAAATACGCAAAGCTTTTTTCCCTAGATAAAATGTGCCGGTACTCAGGTAAGGCGAAATCACAAGAAATGTGCACGAAATTCGTACGATGATTGAGTAGACATACTGGTGACCCAGTTACATAAAAGTTTACTGCGAATGGAGTCCTACAGAAATAATTAATCTTCATTCATTCGTTTATGGATGAACGAGCTCTTCTGGCAGACTTTATAGGCCTAGATCAACACCTTCTAAAAGTCTTTACTCTCACCCACATGAAGGAAGATGCAGCACTTGAGCAGCGAAATTGAAATTACTTCTGCCTATACATAAACTAATACCATCGCCGTTTGTTTAAAATGGTTCCTACCCCATCCACTCTACTCTTCCAGTTCTGGAACACCTAGACCCAGCGTTTTTTGATGTGCCATTAAACCTAAACCAGGGGTAGGCAACCTGCGGCACACCTCGTTCCCAACACAGGGTTCACGTAAGTGTTGACGTTTTCGAGATGGCCTGATGAATTTTATGCCGTGTCGTCTCATTAACTCAAAAACCGTTCGGTCTATTGTAATCAGATTTTATATTATGAGTCCCTGATCGTCAGCCCCACTTCTTTTAGACTGTTTATAAGACAGCTTGTCAGAATTCACGAACTGAAAATTAATGAGCCAATAACAAAATTAATGAACCAAATTGCTATGCTATGCTACGTTTCATAACTTGATGGGCTTGTTAAGTTTTAATTAGGTCAATATTTTTCGATGTCACAGAGTTTCTACGACAAAACACACACGTACGCTCGCACGCTTGGTAAACACTATCCTAAGCAACCACGTCGTATAGTGGTTCGTGAACCGGTTGTAACTGCGGAAACATTTCTAGTGGTTGCAGTTTAGTTTCCTTGTACTATAGGCCCTACCTTACTGACCTGTAGAAAAGAGGGTGGTAAGATTATGTCCATTTACACCCCTCTCCCATTGGTCTATTACAGCTACATTTTCCGTAACTCTCACTTAAACTGCTAAGAACCTTACTTAATTAACACTAAAACTAAACTTGGAGATCTTATTCAATTATAAAACACTCTCCTGGAGCTCATGCTTTTTCGATATAAACTGTGTTTCCTGTCATATTATCGGCCCCACGTTAAATACTTGCTTTCAGCTTTCTTTCATAACTTTATAAAAACTACCTAAACACCGGTTTATCGTCTGTGTTCCTTCTACCAGAATTCAAAGAGCAATATCGCAGAAAACATCTTCATACCAATATAAAGTCTGGAGTAATATGAAGCCGTTGTTCTCTCAAGAATCTATATTCAATTTCTTCCAAACCAAGTACTCATTTCAATAATTAACATGCCCATATCATATCCCTATGCCATCTAGTTATATCAGGTTCTATTTGATTCTGACGATCCTTGATGTGCTTTGCGGAACGTGCGCGACAGACGTCCGCTGAAACTGAATCTGAAAATGCACTGCGAACCTGCATTCTTCAAGACACACACACGCATATGCACGTGTTTGTCGTGTTTCAGTCAACTTAATTTTCCCCTACCTGCAGCTCAGTAACCGCCAAGAAGCGGATCCATGTTGATATAAAATTTTTGAACATTATCAGGAGTCACTTCCTGAACTTCTGAACAACCCGTATATTCAAGTAAATTTCACTTTCATAATTTCTCCCAACTTCTGTTCACTTTAATCCTTCTAGAATCCACCAAAGGTTCGACTTATTTAATATGCTTTCATAACAATACCAACCAATAACAGAATTACGTTTTGCTAGTTGTCAACTTATTTTCTATTGCGAGTGGAAAGCACGGATCGGATCTTTTTCAATATTTTATTTCGGTCTGACCTCCAGGTACAACGTAACATTTTACATTGATCTCGATTTTCTTATTACATACCAATATTTCGGCCTATATACATTGTACACATCTAGGCGTTTACTTCCTTTGAAGGCTGCCAGGGTGGCACACGTGGGCTCAAAACACCCTATAAGCCACGAGCGTGGCAAGGAAGGGTCCCGCTTCCTATTTCAATCAAGTCCGAAACTGCATCTGCACTCTTAAAACAAGACGATAATGCGCGAGACATCGAGACGAGGCGAATGATACTGTTTGAGCAGCTCAGGGGAACCGACACATTAAAAATGCTTTCAGAATAATTTGATTACCATTTTAGTGACGGAGCGCCTTACCTACAAACGTGTTCCAAATGGGTATATCAGGGGTGAGTAAATTTCGCGAAACAAAGAGCCACATACAAAGATATTCAAGAGTCAGCATAAAATCCTCCGAACTACGACATTTGGAAAACGAAGAAACGTAGAGCTCAACAAGATCCATGGAATATATTTTATGTCATGCACGATAATCGGTTTTCTAGAAAAATTATCTTTCGATTTGGGAGTCACGTAAAGTACGTTCTTTATTGGACCGTTATGAATAAAATTAAATACACCCGACAATTTTCAGTGCAGCTCCCAATACCAAAATTAACCAAATTCAGATGGTTAGTTAGAATGCAATACGTGGATGGTCAGCCTTTCCCGCGCGCCAGAATTATTCATGTAATTTATGATCTTCTGTTTGAGCAAAGTGAGCACAAAACTTAAGAGCGATTACTAAAATTGTTCCTACAGCTATGCAACACGCCATAAAGCATGCAGATGAATGGTGATAAAGCACCATTCATGCATTCTCACCACAAACTTCACGATCCGGCTGCTTCACAGCCGGGAAAAAAACCCGAAGAACTTCCTGGACAGGAGACAGTCTGCACGCAGTTGCGAAGGTAAAAATACCCTTGTCCCTGTTGGAAGTTGAACCCCGGTCGTTCAGTCCACAGCCAGATACGCTACTAATTGGCTGCAATGTTTGCCGAAATGCTAGATAATTATCAACATTCGAAGGAGCTCATCCCCGAAAGGCAAAACTATACTTACTTCATAAGAAAATTACCGGTCACCAGATGGAGACAGGAGTTTGTACTGTTGATTGCCCATTCGCAGAATCCTAACTTTAATATCCAAGTACAATATGAAACAATGCCATTTCTTGAGTAATTCGCAAATATTACTTCCTCTTGGCTCTGTGGGGAGCAAACTTGTCTCGCATATTTTTCCCACAGTATTCTAAAAAAACGTATTGTCTGTTCCTTGCGACTTTACTTTACTGTCCAGGTCTTCTTTGTCATCATTTTCCTCGCATGTTTCTGAGGAACTGGACAACCCCCCCCCCCCCACCAACA